GCCGCCCCGAGCCATGTTGGTTCCAACTTCCAGTATCTACTTTACCTTGGGTTCGTACTACTACTACGGACGATGGATCCTTATTGCTAGACCTACAGCCTACAGCCTAGAGCGTTTGGATTGGTGTGTTGGCACGTTGCATTTGCGGTTTGCCCTGCATCTGGTATCATTATCAGATGACTGATGAACTTTCGTTGTGACTCTCAGACTCTTAGACTCTCAGACTCTCACTCTGGAGTCTGGTCTGGAAAGTAGCTGTCGCGTGGACAAAACCTGTATCTGGTATATTGAGAATCATATCCGGTATATTTGTCCTCTCTGGTATTAATAACCATACTATCTGGTTTATCAATACCATATCCGTACGGTGTACCTGGTATGTCAATAACCATATCCCGTACCTGGTATATCGAAACCATTGAGTATGTAGATTGTGGTTTCTTTCTTTTATATCGCGGCATGGCCTTTACTTGACATGGTATATCTTGACATGTTATACCTTACTTGGCATGTTACAGTCATATATCGCTGCAGCGCCGCAGTGCTGATTCGCTGATTCGCTCCTATTTCCGCTGTCAGTCTGTTAATACTCACTTGATTCATTCTGAAATCCGGGAATCCGGGAATCCGGGAATCCGGAAACTCGAGAGTTCTTTGCTTTTCATTACCTCTTTCTTCCCGTCGTCCTCCTCCTTTTTCTTCTTCTTCTTCTTCTTCTTCTTCTTCTTCTTCTTCTTCTTCTTCTTCCCGTTCTCGTCGTCAGGTCTTGCAACATGGCCCTGCCCCTCATGGCTCATGCATTAGTCATGTTGGACTGTTGGACAGTTGAACCGTTGGACCGTTGAACACTGGACCGTTGGACGTTGGACAGTTGAACCGTTGGACAGTTGGAAAGTCAGTCTTTGCCTATAGGATATAGGATATATCATACATGATACATGATACATGATATAGCTCTGACAAGGACACGACAGCACACGGTGCACAGCACGCAACATGCTAGATAGCTGGTTGCTGGTTGCTGGTAGCCTGATAGATGTCTGCATGGTAGTCTGCATTGGCAATTGTCAAACAGCGTTGCTCAGTATTCATTGCTCAGTACTCAGTACTCACTACTTACTACTTAGTATTCAGTACTCACTGCTTATTACTTGCTGCTCACTGCTTAGTGTGTAGTACTTACTGCTTACTACTTAAATACTTTGGGCGTTGGACCATGAACCTTGGACCGTGGACTTTAGTTTTCTTGGTTTTCTTGATTTTGTTAGACAAGATATACTGTATGCTAGCAAATCATCAAAGACTTAGAACCAACTACACGTCTTTCTATTATCTAGCTAACTACTAGCTACTATCAATACCTAGGGTAACGGATCCTAGGGTGACAGGTCCTAGGATAACAAGTTCTAGATCAAGCCTGACTCGAGTCTTGACTCTTGTACTCCAAGCATGGCTGTATAAGTTCATGACTAACCAAGGTAAGGTAGGTATAAAACTAATTGAGCAGGATAAGGATGTATTTAGTTAGATTTCCCTTGTTGCTAACAGGACTGGTGAGAACAGTACTAAATATCAAGGGAAGTTGGAATAGAATAAGCTACAAGTTAGTAAGTTTGTAAGTTAGTAGAGGGTTTTGTAATTGATTAGTTGATGCTATAACATTGTACTCATATAGTATACAAAGAGAGATAGATAGACATACATGCATGAGGTAATAAGGGGGGGGGCGGGGAAGAAAACAAAAGAAAAGGCAAAAAACACGAGACAACAAACGATAAGAAAACAAGACAACACAAAAGAAACCCCGAGCATAAGAAAGAAATATTAGTAAGGGAGGGAAAACAGACAATCCTGTCTGCATTTCCTCAAAATCTACATCAGCATATCACAGCACAGCACGCACAGCACCGAGTCATCAACACTGTCATACATTGTTTGGGTCAATCCACTACAACTAGCCCCCACGAGAGACTTCCATGCATGAAAAAGAAAAATAAGAGAGGGGAAAAAACAATGAAAAAGGAAGAAGAAAAAAACAAATATTCCCATTATCTTTGCTGGTCCAAACGAAAAGGAAAAAGAAAAGTAGAGTTAAAAAGAAAAAGAGACGACACAGATCCGCACACACACTTCGCAAAAAGCTAATAATTAAAAAAAGAAGAAAAAAAAAAGTAAAAGGGAGAGGATCGGAAACAAGGTCAGAGACACAACCTAATTCTTAAACCCTGGCTTCTCCCCTTCACCCGAAACGGGGCCCCCTCCCTAATTTTTCTCATACAGATCATCTTTTCGCCTCATGCTACACACAATATCTGGAAGCCTCGTCTCCTTGATTGCATCTCACCCTACTCTCCTCGCCCATCCCAAGTCAATCCCTCGCTTGCTCCATTGCTCAATTGCTGAACCCGCTCACTAACTCACCCGTTTTCTCTTCGTCGATTAAATCTTTGCAAGGTCAGTCTAAACAGAGGGTGGCCGCCCATGCCAGTTCATAGATTGAACAAATTCGTGTTTTGTGGGGATTTTTATTTTTTCATTTTGCTGAATCCGTAAAAAAAAAAAAAGTAGTGCAATTTCCGTACGTACGTAATGGCGGTCTCCATGTGGAACCAAATCCGCTGCGAGCTGAGAGAGGAGGGCGAACAGATCAAAAATGGAGAGGGAGAAAGAGCCAAAGATGGAGAAGAGATTTGAACGTCCGGTTTTGGGAGAGAACATGGCGTACACCGAGGAAGGAAAAGGATCTGGATTCGAGACGGTCATGGTGGAAAAAAAAGGGGCGTGGAGCGCGCGCGTGCGCGCGACATTGAGATCAAATTTGGCGGCGTTGGATCATCTCCGCCCGAACCTGCTGTACACGAAAAGTTCGTATTGTTTACTTCTTTTGCTTCCTTGGAGGAGTAACGGGTCTGCCAGAACCTAGGCCACCGTAGACGTACTTTTGTTTCTTTTCTGCGGGTTTCAGAATCTGCAAAAAAATCATCAATTAGTATAACAGGTTTCTTCATAGGGAGGGCGGGGCAAAAACGAACCTGGAAGGAACACAGCAAGCTCTCGTCCACGCTCATCATCGCGCCGGCATTGTCGAATTCGCCACAATAGTTTGGTGCGCTAAACAGTGTGACGAGCTGTCTCTTGGAGAAGAATTCGTATCCGTCCTCAACGACCTGATGAGCTCGGCAAATCAAATCCATGTCGTGTTTTTGCAAGAATCGAGACACGACGTCGGGGCCAAAGGTGAATGAGACACCTCGATCGTTCTCGCTCCATCCAGTAATGTCCTTGTCCGGGTCGGACCATAGCAGATCGCAGAGAAGGCCGCAGTCGGGGATCTAAAACGGTCAGCGGACCAAAGCCAGAGAGAGATTGTGAAGAAAACATCTCTCCAAATGGAGCCACACGAAAACAGGCCCGCGAGTTGCCGGCTTCAACTCGCGGGAGGTGCTGGGAGTAGCACCAGAGGTAGAATGAGAGCAGAGACAAGAGCTGCTTCGATCAAAAAGTCAGACGGTGTCAACTTACATCAGTAGGGCGCATGACGCGGCGAATCTGCTCCATAGAGTTCAAGTCTGGACTCAAGCCGCCGTGCATGGTGAAAATCTTCTCGTCTATAATGGCCGCAATGGGCAAACAATTGAAGCAATCGGTAAATGTCTTCCATAGTTTAATATTGTATCTCCGCTTGCACTCATCGTAAAAGCCATAGATACGATTAATGGAGGCGCATTCGTGGTTGCCGCGAAGGATGAAGAAGTTCTCTGGGTATTTGATCTTGTATGCCAATAGTAAACAGATGGTCTCAAGGGATTGCTTTCCTCTATCGACGTAGTCGCCAAGGAAGAGATAGTTTGCTTCGGGAGGGAAGCCGCCGTATTCGAACAGCCGGAGGAGATCGTAATATTGGCCATGGATATCACCGCAAATCTAGTCAAAGAAAAAATTATCACGAGAATGTCAGCCAGTTCCCAACGGCCATGCCAATCAACTGTCCAAGGTGATTTGGCTAAGATTTGAGAGAAGAAGAAGAAGAAGAAGAAGAAGAAGAAGAAGAAGAAGAAGAAGAAGAAAAGACTGGAGAAAAAGGCGACGGGAAACGGGAGGGGGAGAGGGCATTACCTTGATAGGTGCTTCTAGCTCTAATAGTATGGGCTGCGAGATGAAAATCTCTCGTGCCTTGGTGCAAAGGTAACGAATTTCCGTCTCAAGCAGTTGGACCTGCTTGCCAGGCCTGCTTCCCCTCACCTCCAACAGTCTATCGATGATAGAATCGAGATCGACATCATTCTGGTCCGCCATGGCGTGCCTACACTCGCCGCAGCGACGATATTATGAAAAAGACGCGAGAGGCGAAAAGAGTGGGGGGATCGAAAAGTCGCGACAGTTGCGGTGCGGCTGGTTGTGGGTTGTTGAAGAGACGAAGGAAAAATCGCAAATAAGTGATCCGTGCGGGCGGCGGTTGAGAAACACTGAGAAACGCGTCGTTAGAGCTTTGGCTCTTTAGGTGAGAAAAAAAATAAATCAAAAAAGGAGCCTGAGATTTCACCCGAGGCTAGACCCGGCGCAGATGGAGGGGAGAAGGAAGATCAAGATGATTGGAAGGGAAAAAGAGATTGGGTAAGAAGAAGACGAGAGGGGAGAGGGAGTGAAGAAGCGATGAGCTTTTTCCCCAGGATAACACATACACACAATTACTTGGCGAAGAGTGGAGCGACAACAGCAATGGCCCGGTAAACTCACAGATCGATCGCGATGCGTTCTGGAATCAATAACGTGGGGAAACGTTGCTGTGAGGATGTCGACGACAAGAAAGACGGCAAAGCCGGCTCACGCGAGGACGGTAAGTTAGTTGGGTCGAACCCTCTCGGCGAATGGGGCGATGAATGAAGCCGAGCCTCTTTGGGGGGAGCTGCCTCTTTTATTTGGCAGAAGAGTCACTTCTCACTTCTCTCGACTCTGCCCAGAAGAAACAAATACAAATAAAAGAGTATTCGTGCGACCGCCAGAGGAGTGAAAATTGGGAGTGAAAAGAAGAAGGGGAGAGAAATCTGATGAAAGGCGGGATAACAGTTGTATGCAGGGTTCTTGGAAAGCTGCCAAAGAATAGGTGATGGAAGCTTCAGCGTTTAACCGCTTATGTTATCGCTGGTACTCTGTGGACCGTGACCACAGGGCGGCTGCAATACCAAACAAAAGCCACTGGTAGGTCTAATTCAAGGAGGACAAGATGCTGTGTGGAAAGGGAGAATAACAAACGAGAAGGAAAGGAGGGAAAGAGAGAAGAGAGGGCAAAAGGTAACTACGGTGTGAACCAAGTTTAGAAACAATGACGCCTCAAGGGAGATTCCCGTCGGTCACTCTACACCACAAAAGATATCCTAGACTTTTCTCTTATGTCTGTCGATTATGGCTCAAGTCAGGAAGATGTCTAAAGACGAATTGATCCTTTGTCACTCTTTCTTGTTGCAATCGATGGTGAAAACGTTGCTTCATTGAGGGCAATTGGATTGACCCTGTTCACGGTAATATTGATACTATCTCTTGTGGCTTAAAGCTTGGGCGTTAGGCGCAAAAGGCACGCGCGTATAGATATATTGTCCTGGCGGGGAAGACGTGAAAGTCCTCGTCAATACTGGCAATTGTATAGGTCAAAGTGGGCTGCGTTTCTTTCCATCTTCCTTTCCCTGGAGCTTCAAAAAGTTTAAAATTTGAACATCTTCTACATAATAGGATTGGACGATTCAAGGGAGAAGCTCTTTTCAAGGGGCAGGGGCATGTCATCATAGCGCACATGTGGCACACTCATGTATCATGGCCAGGCGTATTGTTCTTTCTCTCCACCCTTAGACATATCAATTTCATATGAAGAGTCACACTACATGTCGAGAATTGAGCTTGATATGATATCACGGAGAAAGAGGGGATGGAACCTTCGGAGCATCAACATGAAGGAGGAGCAGCACCTGAGGAGCCGGAGTTTGCTGCTCTAACTCCCTCAAGAACATTGAAATGCTGCTCAGATCTTTGCTATTTTATCATTCATAGCAGAAAGGCTCATAGCGAAAAACTCTTTCGAGGGGTCATATTTCTTTCGATTCCAACGGCCCTTCGCCTCGCTCCAAGCTGTACGCGTCGCCTGTAGCGTGACGGTCCATCGGCAGTCGGGGAAGCGTCAGACTAAATCCTTTTCTGGACTTGTAACCTTCTTGGTCCTCTCAATACAAGTACTCGCTTTTGTGATATGCTTTTCATCCTCGATCCTCATTATTGCACTTGATAACATCATCATTGTTCCATTGGTCAGAAATGAAAACAGGTCAAGCAAGAGATCAATTGATAGAGAGGAATCATGTCAAAACATATACCAATCTCTCTACCTGCACTTCATCCTGGTGACAACGCTGATGGCCATGCTGCGGCGTAAATCTTGACAGGGCCACGCAAGAGTTAAAAGTACCGTGAAAACTGTGTGTATGTACCTTATGTGTTGTGGCTGTCGCTGTCTCTGATTACTCATTCTAACTGGTCGCCCAGCAACCGGCCGTTAGCTCTTCTTCCCCAAGACTTCCCTCCGCTGCGTTAGACGGCTACGCCACAACTTGTATCTCTGCAAGGAAACATGACGGCAGTCGGTCACTGCAGTATCAATGAATCTTGCTAATCTGACACTGCACCTGCTTCTACCCTCACTTCAGACATTCAATTTAGATTTTTTTTGGTAGTCGCCATAGATTCAGTTCATATGCACTCTCCGAAACACCACGGAACAGAGCGCCTCTGCTGGTATTACGCAGTTCAACTGCTCTCCAGCAGAATTACACCATCATTCAAGGTTTCTCCCAGCCACAGGTAGACGATAAAACTGCTCAAGTGCATCAACCATATGTGTAGCGCTATTACAATGAATACATTAATGACTCGCTGGTCATTGGTCTGTTTTATTGGCTCTTCATTACATCGTAATCGAAATCGAAAACGTAGGAGGCAAAGAAAGAAAGAGAACGAAAAAGAAAAAGCATTGCAGAAACAAAAACAAGTCCCAGGGAGAGGGGAAAAGGACGAAGGAGGCTTGTCCCTGAACTGCCCTTAAATGCAACGCCGAACCCATGCCACTATATCACAATACACGAAAGGTATCAAACTGTACGTGCTGCAACAATCGTGACTCGTCACCAATTAGTACTAACGTGAGATAATCAAGTGCTTGCAAGTCATCAGCAATGATAGACTTGATTAGGCACATTTGATCGACTTGCGTAGAGTGAAAATTTATCAGAAATGGACAAGAGGAACAAAGAAAGGTGAAAGAAAAAGGAAAAGCGGTCAAATCTCAAGAAACCCCTCCCAGTAAATGTGAACAAAGCCAATATCAAATATTGTACAAGGAGAAATGGATATCAAAAGCTGTAAAAAAAGTGAAAAACAAGCTTGGTGAACTCGACGTGGCATCGTAGCCGGCACAAAGCATATTTCCGTTTCTAGAAATTCGCTTCTAACGGCCGGCATTCATGGCAACTCGGCTTTTCAGCCCAGGGTCCGGCCTGAAGACGTGATTCCCTGACCCTCAGCCAAGGGCGTTCTAGGGCCGGACCGGATAGTGCTGGCAGGACTGTAATCTCGTCCCGCCGGATGATTACGGGGACCCGTTTGGTTTTCCCAGCCCTCTTCGCTGAGAACGCTAAGCCACCCATTGCCGACCTCTGTCTTCAGCGCTTCGAGCTTTTGCTTGTAGCGCTCACCATTCAAGTCTGAGCCCTTTGTGTCTTTGGAAATCATTGGTTTTGCAGAGGGTACTTCGAATGCTGATCCATCAGTCGGAACGGATAGACTAGGATCCACCTGAAGGCTAGGTGGTTGTCTTGAGGAATGTGGTGGCATATCAGAGGTTGCAGAGTCGTTTACAGAAGTTTTGTTCGGTGCTTCTCTGTCTGAAGAAAGCTGGCCAAGCGAGCTGTTAATGTTGCCCGGACTGGATTCCTCTTGCGTCGCTCTAGGCGGACTACTCGACTGTGAAAGATTAACCATTCTTCTCTTTGGGCCCTTTTTTCGACGAGTGGAGGCCTTCTTAGCATCGACCGTGACTGTCTGATTCTCCGCTGGCGGCTCTTGAATCACCGCAATTTCTGACGGCTTTGCAGTAGGCTTGCTCTCTTGCACCGGTTCAATATCGTGCACTGGAGGAGGCGGGTCCAAAACAGGCACATTTGACGATTCAGCGACACGGTCGATAAGGTGCCGCCGCTCACTGTAGCTAGGTCCCGTCGAGTCGATAATGATGTCGGTAGTGTAGCCAGGAGACGATCGAAAGAGATTGAAAATGGTCACACGATAGTTGCTATGCGTCTTTGTAAAAGGGTTGCCAAAAACCCAAATCTCTCGGATCTCAGGTATACTCGTCAACCGCGCGAGTTCGGTAGGATCGGTTAGTTTGTTGTCCCGGAGGTCCAGTCTCTCCAAGGAGGGCAATCTTTCAATGCCGGCTAAAGAGGCCAGGCGATTGCCGCGCAGATTCAAAGCATTAATTGCGGGAAGCGGATGCTTCAGCAAGGAGTGCAAAGACTCAATCATACAATTTGACATATTAAGAGCTCTCAGGGAGGTGAGAGTCGCGAGGCTGTCCGGGGTCTCAGAAAATAGGTTGGACGACAGATCCAACGAGGTCAGTGTTTCGGCAACAGGTGCAAGACTGGACGCGGAAATGGCAGTCAATGAATTGTCCGCCAAGCAGAGGTGTTTTAGAAACCTCCACTTTGAGGGACCCATTGACGCCGAAGTAAGAATGTTCGTAGAGCTTCCGCTGCGGTATGGCCGACTTGAGCGGGCACTAGAGGTGGAGCTCCCCGAGCCGGAACGCTTGCTTCTGGGGACGGTCATCTTGGTCTGGCCGTGGGAAGAACCGTGCCTCGAGCTGACGGGCCGAGCAGGGGAAGTGCTTCTCGGGCGGGGAGATTGAAGGCCTCTAGAGCCATCCGATGCAGCACTGACTACGGCAGAGCCGCTAGGACTGCCACCATGTTCGCCTTTATCATCGGGTTTTGGTGTTCCTGGAGCGGAGTTGCCACCGACGGGTTGGGCAGTCTTTGACACGGGGCTAGGTGCTACCCAGGCAAGCACAGGCGACGACTGTGCTTTGGACGAGCGCCGTCTTCGCTTCTCCACGTCATCCAGTACAATGTGAATTAGAAGCTCGGCGGGGTCGTCTAGCTCTGCGCGCTTAACAGTCAGACTGCGCAGCTGCTCGGCCATTCGGTCCCAGCCAAAGAACTGGCGAAAATCGACATCTACAACCTCCAGAGCACTAACGTTTTTGAAAGCAATCAAGGGTACTGCCGAGTCAAACGGAAATTCCTCATAGCCCTCAATGAGGCGCGCCTTGTAGTCAGGAGATAGTCTCAGACATGGAATCTTTGTAAAGGCGGAATACAGATATTTGAGGTCCGTCTCAATCGCTTGCTTGGCCTTCTCCGACTTGGCTGCAGAGTTGGAGTTGAACCCGAAATTGGACCACATGGACGTCATGGAGGACATTACGCTGCGCACACTAGAGACGGAGTGAATTGAATCACGGTCTGCACTCCGTCGCTTGGTTCTCTGAGACTGGCCAAGAAAAGACACGTAATTCCCAGGAGAAGCACTTGTGTGTATATTTTCAAGCCGGACATTCATGGGGCCCACAGAGATACCCAAGTCTTCGAAACGGGAAAGCAAGTAAAAGAGGTGATGAGGTGTGAGAGAAAGCTTGGCGGGCTTTATTGGTTGTGAGGAGAAACTCAAAGAAGAGAGAGAGAAGGCTGCTGTCAAGGCGCTGGTTGTGGAAGATGAAGTGCTCGATGAGCGTTCATGAGAGCTTGGGCCCGTGGGGCGAGGTGTTGGGTGACCATTTCCGATCGTGCTTGATATGCTCGAAGATTGCCCATGCTTGGCAGGCGGTCGCCGTAACTGTAACGCGTTTGCGAGTGCCTTTTCATGAGTCCGGACGAAATAAGCCAGGTTCTGTGAAGGAAGGTAACGTGTCAGTAAAAGACTCTCTGCGATTTAAGACTCTCGAGCCTTCTCTTGGTGGGAATCTAGAGACATGCCTTTATGAAGTTTGATCCGTCTTCGGTGTCCATGATGGCTTGGTGCAGGCAACAAAGAAGAAAAAGGACGTCTGCCAATAAAGTGTCGAAAGCTCAGCCTTTGGGGTTAACGGTTATCATGTCGAGGCACCCGAAAGTAACATGTACAGTGAATTCCAAAACGCAGCGCTGCTGCGCGTGCTGTATTCTGAGATGGATCTTCGAAGGAGGTGAGGTACGTATGAACAATCTGAGATGGTGACATGCCCGTGTTAGCTTCATCTACCCCAAGATACAAGCCCCCAGATCCCTGGTGGCATTACGGCACAGCGACTTGAATGGTACCCATCATAGTCACAGTGAGAACAAGACAAGAAGTTGTAAAAACACAGTGTAGAAGGGATAGCAGCTAGAGTGGCCATCACCTGGCAAGCAGAGGACACACTTCAGGTCGGACTCACCACCTCGTTATGATCAAAAACAAAAGGCCGAATAAATGTCCAAAGCAGACCGTCACCGACAAAGACAGATTCTCAAGTCAGAATCCAGGAGCGACCTGCGACCAATCCGGGGTTGTGCTTGAGCGTGTTTGTGTGACAGGGTTTTCCGTGTGAAGGTGTGTCGTGGGTGCAGGTCCTGCCTCACCTGCACACCCAAGATCAAGACGAAAGCACAATAGTTGACCCGTGCCGAACGCGAGTCCAGAAAACACCGTCTCTGGTGAGATGTACTGGCCACCGCCTAGCAAATTAATGGATAAACAAAACCAAATGTACAAAGGCTCCAAAGCAGCCTGAGACCGAAGTCAATGAAGGCAGATAAAGATTAAGGGGAAAAGAAGAGGAGAGAGAGAGAGAGAGAGAGATCAGGGCCTCTTTGCGCAAGGCGGAAAGTTTCGACCAAGGGGCCTGAAAGTGGAAAGCTGTAACTAATCCAGCACGAGAAGGAGATGAGAGACGGATTCGATAGCCCTCGAGGCGCCTGATTTGGCTGAATTGGCGGGGCCCGGCACTAAAAGCAACACGAAGCGAGAGATTGCGATTTTGGAGGTTCGGCTGATGATTGGACGTTTCGGGGCCGACGAACACACCAATTTAACATGCGATGGGACCAACCCCATCCCACTTCTAATCCTCCTCCTCCCTCCCCTTCAGCAACTAACGTACAAATACTGTTGCAGACTTACATCAATCTACATATTATCTGCCTCTTCTTGCTTGCTATTCTGTAGTTGTTACACTCCTACCTCTTTCCTGTCTTGGTTGTTTGATCATCATCTCCCCTCCCTCCCAACAATCTATTTCGACCCTTGTTCCTCCGTCGCTGTCATCTCTCCCCTTTGCAACACAGAATGATTAGATGGACACGATGAGATTGTTCTCCTTTAATCTTGAATTCGGCACATCACCGATCGCCGATCGAATTGACCCGTTTGTTGCATCAGAAAAAAATTTTTCATTACTCTGCGTTTCAATATGAAGAGGGTCTGCGCTGAATTAGGCCGTGCTGTCCCGGACGTAATAGTTTTTCCCAAGTAGCTATGGTGACGCGCTGGAAGGGAAAAAGAAGGGAACCCCTGTTCATGTATTGATACCTTTAGTGCGCCTGGTGCGCTGCGCCTGGGAGGCGGCGCCCACACCACTTTCAAGGGTCTACCACCTCCAGAGCCTCTCAGCTGTGTGGACGAGGCCATGAATGTCGATCATGAGCTCAGCATGCTGCAGCCCCCCAACGCGACAATCAAATAAATTTCCCTTTCGAAGGATGACAGGCGCAGATTCGGGGTGGGCACGCTTGAGACCACCCTCCCTGGGGTCATGGCAAATGATCCGAGCGGGTATGAGTGAAAGAGAAGTGAGCGCGTCCGTGTGGGTGCGCACGCCCGGATCAATCATCTAGAAACAATTCGCACCAGTTTCAGTTGATCCGCAGGTGCTTTCCCTAGCGGCGCTGCTTCGGAACTGGTCCCCTTCATTCAGGCTCAAACCTGCTCCTGTGCCTCCAACATTCTTCTGCTGCTCATCCATCCCGGACAAGTTATGGATCGGCCTACCGACCGTGGGTAGGCCAGTCGCTAAATTGAGCTTGGTCCGGCGGCTCGAGGGTCCACATGAGAGAGAGCTAACCGACCATCATTGCACTCTATTTCTCGGCCGTCTCCTCCGAGTACGCTCCCGGTAAAGGCACTTGTACCATATCGCAAGTGATAGCCAGATGGGCGAGTAAAACAAGATGATGAAAAGAATCCGAGAACCAAGACTCAAAGTAAGAAAATCAAAGTAGAGAGTGACAGCACGGGCCGCTATGACCGAGCACCACAGAAAATAATTATGCCGCGGAACAATGGTGCGTGTGTGGGCGCGCCATCTGCGGCATCGCGCTGGGCCGATAAGCCCGGTCGGATAGGTTATCAGATAGGATGGCTCAACTTGCCTTAAGCTAAGTTTTACCCTTGCCGTTCACGGTCGCCCACGCTACTCTAGAATAGGGTCTGGCTTTGCGCTCAGTGGGATCCACCACGCCCGGGCATAACTCCGGGCTATCCTCAGTGAATGCCGAGTTTCTGAGGCAACGCGCTATCGGAACCAAATAAACTGTGATAATCGTCTGAAACATCTGACCTTTATCAGAAGAGTGGCACTGCATCGATTATGAACAATGCTCAGAGAAACAGTCGCCCTTTTAAATTCCCCAAACGAGCAACTTCAAAGTCGCATCTAAACGGTTGTATTGACGATTTCCATGCAATTTGGCGCTTCGTAACATGCAATTTGCCGGCTCATGTTGACGACTATGGTCTGGGCTTGAGCCTAATACCCATCGCGTTCCACAGAGCTCACAGTGACCTCGCACAAAGAACCGTTATAGCATTTGCTTGCTTTTGCTGCTTTTTCATGCGCGTAGCGTCGCGCAGGCCATAGATCGTTCGCTGCGCGGCTGCACGGCCGCCAGCAGCCTGCAGAAATCCTAGCTACGCGCCCATTGCACAAAATCGATCAACTGTAACCGGAATTGTGCTGTATCTGCATTTGTGCTCCCATAGTCCTCTTGGCCATGCCAAGGCCTCATCATCCTTTTTCGCCTTGAGGGTGGTCGGTTGTCGGCAGGTTACCGAGAAATGACCGGGGTTGTATAAAGATAGGGTTCACTCTATGACCGGCAGGAAAGGGAGGGGTATGATTCATCCCTCGCTCCCGAGCTATAAACATCATCATCACCTGACGCAATTTTTCTCTTATCCCATCTCCCGACTCATGCCATAACTACTGCACGGACCAAAGCAGCAGGGCTCTGGACCCTGAACCCTGAGACCCCGCAGGTCAGCGCGTGCAGCATGCCTGCCTTGTCCCCCCCTCCCCCCCCCTTGCCCTCGTCATCAACTCACACTCAAAACTGTACGGCACCCATATCCGTCCTCTCTGCACTACCAAAGACCGCGATGAAAATGCAAATCCATCGCGGCCCGAATATGACACCTCTGTTGTCTGCTGGAATGTGGGGTTGATCGAAGAGTAGATTCCCCCCACCTGTCAAGAATGTCGAAGGCTCAAGGGAGTCGTGCTCGTTGCATCATGGCACATGACCTTCTCCGTGCATATCCCATCTGAATCTTGTTGTCCTTTGTTCGTTGACCATTTATTATCATGCATCAGAAATGGCACAGTTACAGTCCTGTAAGAATGTTCAGACCGTCAGAAGAGAGAGTACAAAGACCTCCTTGGCACAAAGGCGAAGAGGCGGCTACAGCGGCGAATTGGGCTAAGTGATCACTGTCAGAATGAGCCATCTAAAGATATGATGTCTCACATTTTCAGTTCTCGTGCAGAACAACCGTCGCCGTCCGTCCCTTCCGCCACCCGGAACGCGAAAATGGGTCAAAGTGACGAGTCCAAAATGGTGTGTAACCAAGACCTCTGGTATCATCGTCCCACCCGTAAGTCTGGCTGCATGATGACCTAAAGTGCGCTTTCTCAGGCGAGGCCGGAGAGGCGCCGATGACATTTGGAGTGGACCCTGGGTCATGAAACGCCTTCTGCCACTCGTTCTGTTCTCCTGCACGTAGCGTCTTTGTCTCGTTATCTGATAGCTTCTCCTCTTTCAAATGATCCGCTCTCCGACCATGATATTTTGGAGGATCAGAATACTCCCTAAAGAGCGGAAAGATATCCGTGCTGTTGGTCACGTATGTGAATGATCACTACCGTGACGAAAGGCTTGCCTGGATTCGATGGGATTACCCTTAGGTTTAGCCTTAGAGCCCCTCCTCTGCCAAGGGGTCTCAGGGTTTCTCCCTGGAGCAAGGCTCCCCTCGCTCGCTACCTCCGTACCCTCGGGTAGAATTCAGGTAAACAAAGCTAAGATAAAGTCTACCACTAGCTTCATCCAACGTATAACGTCTTCGTATTATTTCATCCCCGTCATCACCATTAGGCGGTGAGAGCTCGAATCTCTGTTGAACAAACAAACTTCTTCTCATGGAGACGCGACCCCACGTCCTCCCTCTCTTGTTTTCCTTTGTTTTTTTCGAGAATTTTTGTGCTCGTTAATTTTAGTTCGTTTGTACAGTCAGGATAGCCCCACCAGACTATTTTCAATTTATATCAGCTCACAGAATTAATTCCTCTCTCGTGCATTGTCTATATACCTATGTTTACAGCCTTTAATGTCAAGCGTGCTTGCTTGCTTTAAAAGGTATACTATGACATTGTGCATCCGAGAAATTCGAGAAATTCCCTGTTACAATTGAAATATCTCACTTTCTCCCGCCTGCTAATTTGCTATACCATCGTAGCTTGAGCAGCCAGAAAAAACTCCATCTATTATTTTTTATTTTAACTTTTTTTCTTCTTCTAAAAAAAAAGTCAAGATAAAATCAATATCAAAATAAATAGGAGAGACAATGAAAACAAAAATAACAGACACCTTTCGAAGCCATTAGAAAAACCACATGGCATGGCGTACACAGTACTATCTTCTACCACAAACAAAACAAACCCCGGTATGCGATATCACATCATCCAACACATGTTAGCATATAATAAGCTTAATATACGGATATATCAACGGTCTAGACCGCAGACGGACCGTCTGTTTTTCTCGGCTCCCTTTCTCTTCCCTTCCCTTCCCTGCCCTCTCCGTGTCTCTCGACAATTTGAAACAGCGATGAGCCTGCAGCAATTACACCCAACTCTCTCATGCTTTTCGATATCTTTATTGTCCGTGCGGATGCATTGAGCATTTAACTTTATGCACGATTTGATGCGAGTAGACTGCATTGTATCGCGCGTCTCGTCTTGCATACCTACCCGTAAGATCATATAATGTATAGTTATACACTTCTCTTCCACACATATAAGATTGATAAAAGCTTGCGACTTGGACAAGGTGAACGTCTTCGATTACCTACATAGTAGCATATGTACAAATCATATTGCCGTACGAAGGCACAAGAATGCGAAATGCCGAATTGCGAAGAAGCGGAAAAGGGTTAAAAGGCGTGGGGCCGCCCGGGCCGCTTGAGTCGCTTGCGGCGCTTGGACCGCTAGGGGAAGTATAATAATACTGCCATAGGCATGAGAAACGCATTAGAGGTATGAAGGGGAGATGCTTGGAGATGCTTGAGATGCATGTCTCATGTTTATGCACATCACAGTGCGGTGTTCTTTTGTGCAATCACGGGGGTGATAGTAATGGAGATGGCAAAGTTATGGAAGAGAGAAGAAATATGGAAAGGAAGAGGATTTAAGAAGTATAGAGATAATGAGTTCGAAAATGGTGGCCTTGTATAGCATGTGCCTACATAGGGGTAGCTACATTGGCTAGAAAATAGTACACAGTGCTACACAGTACAGTAGTTTGCTACTTTAATTTCCTTCTACGACATGCACGACGGGCAAGTGGAAATTAGGTGAGAAGATGTCGCTATCGAATGTTCAGAAATAAACAACTCATTAACGACGCTAGAGGTATTAACGAATGCATATGCCTTGACAGAAATATGAAAAGAAAAAAGAAAAGACCTCATCTTAAACACAATCGCTGTGGATACTGGTCGATCTAACCTACGCCTTGACCCCGGAAAGCAGATGTAAAAGGCTGCAAATAAAAGCCGAGCATCGTTTTTTAACAATGCACAAATCAGCCCACAATTGTACCTTCATGAGTGTCGTTATCTTCAAATGCCTGAATCGCATCTTCCTCTCGCTCGCGTTCCTCCTCCAGACCATGCTTGTCCTTTTCCTCTTCAACATCCCAAGCTTCATCAGTTTCAAGGCCGTCAACATCGCGCTCGCCTACACCGCCACTTCCGAAGCTGGCTTCACCTTCCGTATCATATGCCTCAGAGTCATCGAGGAAGACACGGCTCTGACGACCAATCTCTTCTAAAACGCCATAACTTGAGCGCCGGTGGTTATAGTCATAGCCTATGTCGTCATCATCACCATCATCGTCGCCCGAGAATTCGTTTGTGGTAGGATGTGATTCAAATGACTGGTGAGATGAGGAAGCATTCAAATTCTGCAGCCAGTCGCTGAACCGTTTGCTAAAGGCAGCACTGGGTTGAGCTTCGTTTGGAGGTGATTTGCTCATCGGAGTCATCAGCCGGGGTGCGACAGGATTATCGCGCTGACGCACTTCACGAACGAGGGATCGAAGGTCTTCTTCCGAAATTATACTCTGTATCGTTTTCTCTTCCATCTGTGGACGGGTAGCACGTCGGGCACTTTCGACTATTCTTTCATTTTTCATGCGGTTGCCGATAAACACAAGTTTCGGAAATGTTGACTGCTGGCCAACATGAAGCATGCGTGCAAGACGCTGAGGAGAAGGGTCCGAAAGGATATAATAGAAATCCGAAGGGATCGTCTTTGGCCAGATAGTGATAGTACCGCTAAATCGCTGTAGCCAGATCTCCGACCAGTCTTGCCCCAGTGGCCGGGGAAGTAGCTCGAGATGTCGAAGTACTTTCAACCATTTTGTCAGGTCAAGCTTGAGATATTGTTCGGTGGCGGAGCCTAGGAAGCCACCTCGCCAACCTCGTCCCCGGCGATGTGTGACTGGCCTGCCTACGCTTCCGCGGGAGCCAAAGAAAAAGAGGTTGACATGGGGATTTACTTGTGAAACAATGCTGAAATTGACGTTAAAATGGAGATTCAGTGCCTTGAGAGGAATGTCTGTCCTCAAGCTTCCATCTTTCCATTTGTGGCCAAATGAATAGGGTGAGATTGTGCCATCCTTGTTTTTCTTCATCAGAACTACGGGATTCAGTATTCCCGGCACAGCTGCTGATGCAAGAACAGCAGACCAGATGACACAATCAGGGGACGTTAGATAATTGGCAAGAATGGTAGGCGAATGGGGATCCGATGGAACGCAGCTAACGTTCAAGATGCGACCTGTACGTTCATATGCTTCGCGGAAAGTCATGCTGCCACGGCAAAACCAGCTGCAACGCCTGGCCCAGTCAATTGAGTCGAACCGTGCTCCTGTGCGATACCATCTTCGAACCCACGTCAGAAAATCGTCATGGCAGGCAGTGATGCGGCCCGCTAGCGCCGGGACAAGGGTGGCTTTGAGTTCCTCATTCGTTCGCGTTGCGACGAGAGCAGCGACGAGAGCACCACCCGATGTCCCTGTAATTACTTGTGGCAGAAGGTCTGCATCCAAAAGAGCCTTTATCACGCCGAAATGATAGTATGCAAAACATGCACCCCCCGAAAGACATAATGCAGAACGACCGAAGTTGGTGTGGACATGCTTAAAGAGACTGCGCTTTTCTTCCTTGGATAGCTGATCAGTGTGGAGCAAGAACTTCAGAGAAGCATTTACTAGAGATTGATGTTAGCCTAGATCACGAGGAACGCCTAATTTCTCAACTTACCTTCGTCTGTGTAGGTCTGAACGAGGTCTTTAGTACCATGGTACGTTTCGCTGTACAACCTTGGATTTTCCACACCAACAAAATTACTCTTTACACAAGCCTCTATCAGACCGCGTAATTCGTCAACTGCCCTAACGGTGCCCTCGTTTTCGACCTCTGGGCTCTCTTCGGCTTCCGCGAGCTGCCTCAACTTTCGTAATTGATTGACCGCTTTCTTCACGGTTTTGTGATCATAGTAAGCGTATTCATCCTGCTTTTTCCAAGCTTCATTTCCGAGGTATTTATCAAGCTCCTTTGCAGCCTCAACCCACTCGCCATAGGACTTTGTTGATTGGAGGTTCCTCCTCAGACGTTGTCGGGTTCCACGCCATGTAACGAATTGCTCGTAAAAGTAAATATAAAGCCGCGTAAATATGTATATTATTCCGAGAATGATAATCCATGCCAGGACAGAAACTAGCATAGGCCACTTGAGCAATGTATAGACGAATCCTTCTCGGGTTTCATCTTTCCCCCGTTTCGGTGGACGTCGTCTACGAGGGCCGCCGCTTTTTCGACGCCCACGTACCTTTTGATGAACGGGACGCCAGTCATTTAAAGCCGTTATGAATGCCGGTGCCTGTTGAGACAATGAAACGTCTTCATTGGAATTCTCTGGGGCCGCTAAGGCTTTCGCAAATTCGGAGAATTCAGCTTCATGAACGAAATTGGTATCGTAATCGGGGATATTGTATGCATCAAAAGCCTCTGGCGTGTATGGGGATGGCCCATCAGTGGATTTTTTCTTGTCCGCCATGAGAGCGCGAAAATGAAGAGAGACAAGATTAAGGTTGATTGAGCGGTGACGCTGAGCTCATTCAACCCAACACCTTTCGGCCCCAGAATGATGAAGGAGCGGGAATTGCCGCGCCGGTCACGTCAGTCAGCCATCGCTAAGCTGTCATTTCGCGCACAGCCAGTCTGGGGTATGAGGATACCGAGGGTACCTTCCCAGAAAAAGTATAGCATGAGGGATGCCCCAGCGGAATGGCACGACAGGGGTCCGACGCATCGCTTACCACTCTGTCTTCTGGGTGGTCAATGGCATGAAATATGAAGGCGGGTTAGGATGCATAAGAACCGATGCATATAATCGTTGACTACTTTTCTACTATCTAGTGTATATTCCTTGACAATAAACTTTTGTACTGCACAATTCGTTGAATCATCTCGTTCTGAATGGAAACATGCATGACTGAAGAGTTTTGTAACGCGTAGTCATGCAGTCATTGTTCCTTCACAGTCCTTGGATCGTGTATAATTGGATTCTTTGCTGGTTCCGGAAGCATCACTGATTGGTCTGAGAAACACCGGTAGACTATGACATGGTTTCTTATCTTTCTTAAGAAATTTTTATATTTCATATCCTATAATTTACATAACGCTGAGTACAACAAATAGCAGTCTAAGGTGCGATAATGGGACTGGTATTTTATTGTTTCATAGAAGGGAAAAAATTGCGTGGACAGATAAGCATTGATGGATTGGATTGAAAATAACTATACAACCAAACGTCCTGGTTCAGCTTCAAGCAGAGCCTTAACTCGCTTGAGGAAAACCTCAGCACGCTTCTCATCCCCTTTTGGTGTAGTCACAAAGAAGACATTGGTAGTAGGAGGCTCGTCAGCAATGATGGAGGCTTTGCTGACCTTGGTTGGCTTGCGGGAAGGCTTTCCGCTGAGAATATCAAAGATGTCAGCTTTGGGAGTTGCCTTGGGACGCAGCGAGACCGTTGACGGCAGTGCAATGATCTGCGGAGTAAAAGATCCACGAGATGCATAGGATTTGCCAATCTTGTCAAGCCCAAGAACCTGATTGAAAAGTTCATCCGCAGAAGGCTTAACCGTCTTGGAACGTGGCAGAGCTTCATTTGCCACCTCACTGGCACGAGCAATAAAGGTTGAAAGGGGGAGGAAGACTCCTAGGGTCTCCTGCACCCGTCTCTGCACCTCTACGACGGCCGTCAAAGAAATTGAGATGGTAACCTCTGAGTCAGGCTCTGGAGCGGGCGCCGCCACGACTTCCTCAGCCTTGGCTGGTGTAGGTTCTTCGCGTGCTTTCGGCGGGGCAGCTTTAATGTTGCTCAGGTCAAGGTGACTGAGTTTGGAAATTCGAGCAGAAAGATCCGATGCGTAGTTAGGCTGAATACGACCGAGATAGGCCAAAACGTCTCCCTTCAAGAGTCTACCATTCGGACCAGTTGCAGGGATCTTCTCGGCCTCGGACTTCGACAGGCCATTCTGGTGCAATAAGAACTCCACAGAGGGGTAAAAGGGATATTTCTTGTTGGCTGGCTTCCCAGACGTTTTAGGCGGTCCGCCCGCTGAAGCTTCTGAGCTGGGCTTAGAGGTTGGCGGAGCCTCTGCCTGTGATCCTGAAGACTTTGACGGGTCAATTCCTGCCGCAGTCTCCTCCTGTGGGGTCGGGGTAGATGGAGCCGCGTCATCTGCCGGCAGAGAAAGCTGGCTCAAATCATCGCCAGGTTCCGCCAGGACAGCTATCCGTTCGCCGACCTGGATGCCTTTTGTGCCATCCCCTTGCTAGGTCCTGGTTAGAGTCTTATTCAAATTCAATAAGAGGCTACTGAGCGTACCATGATCTTAGCCAAGATACCGTCATCAGCAGCTTCAACGTCCATTGTCGCCTTGTCTGTCTCAATCTCCAATATGACGTCTCCAGCGGCGAATGATTCACCTGAATCAAGAAAATATCAGCAATTGAGGTGCCAATTGATTAAGCCAAGCGTAGCGTGGATAGAAGAACTCGCTCATACCTTCCTTGACCTTCCAGGAACTGATGTTTCCCTCGGTCATCGTTGGAGACATAGCGGGCATTGCAAAATTCTGTGCTGCGAAAGCGGCGGCCGAAGTTCGATAGGCTATTGGAATGAATTTTAATTAGCCGTGAGGAATAACAATTCCATTGATAAGTGGAAGCGTACTTCTGGAGGCCATTGGCTGTCGCAGCTGACCGCCTACCAACCTCGCAGATAGCCTGCAAGCCGCCGAAAGAGATGCCATGGTCATCCGAGGCTGGCCAGGTGCCAGAAGCGTTTGCGCTGGATGAAGTCGAGTCTTGAGGAGACAACTGCGCGGTCAGAGCTCTCACTTGCTGGATGTTGGGACGGTGGTTGGCGATGTCTCGGCATCGGAAAATCTTTAGCGCGATATTAAACCCCGATGCCCAATGGGTTCTTCCCCGGCCCGTTGTTGTTGGCACTTGAAGCGATAAAGTCATGGCATCAAATGTCAAGGTAATTAAGGGACGTTAAACAGACCTATATAATTTGTGTTAACAATGATTGTGATAGATGGCAAGTCTCCTACAGCTCCGCGCAACGTTGCGATCGCTACAACACTCAGCACATTATCCATCAATGCGAGTCGCTCTTGTGAGGCATCTGCCCAGCAACGCCCCGACTGCTAGATTTTTCTGTCGCAGTCAATTCCTTGAGCATGCGGCAAAGAGACCGGAAAAGGTTGCCGCAAGTGCGCAAATGAGCGGATCCGTCAAAGGAGCTCCCAGACCGGGAAAATACGTCTCATTTTCTGAAGCTCTAGCATCCCGGGGATCATCAATTCTACTTTACGAAGCACCGTCACATCGATTATATATGACTGGGTGCTACGCGTTTGGCAGTTTCTGTTTCACATATGCTGGCTACAATTTCTATGCGCAGTATCTTCATCCGCCAGCTGATCTTGCGACATGGATACCAATAGCGTTTGGTGGCGTATGCTTTGCAATGGCTTGCTTTGGGACATACTTGGTACTTGGCGCTCAGCGGTACGAACAACCTGTGTCATCTCCTCACAAATCCCCAGCTAATACTCTCGTCAGATTGATTCGAAGGATCACTGCTGTACCATCGGCATCTCGTCGGGCACTTACTCTCTTAATCGACGTTCGACCAATGCTTCCTTTTCGATTTAAGAAGCCGAAGCCTATAACAATCTCTCCTACTGACGTATCCATCTCCTCGCCCCTAATTCTGCACACGCAAAGCTCAGTTGCCTCTGGTAACATCCGAGACATAAATGAAGCAAAAAGGCTCGGGGATGGGTCGCCGAAGGGGTTTTTGAAGCACCTTAACTTTTCTACTTGGCGTGTACTAACTAATCTGAGACGAGTATGGACAAGAGAAGGATTTATCAAAGTTCAGGTGAAAGGGAAAACTGGCGTGTACAGGCTGGATACCGAGGGTCGAGCCTCAGATGCACTAGACCGTTTGGTCAAGGTCCGCGAAGTATGAATGACCAGTCGTGCAAGCGACTAAGATTTTCTGTAAAATCTAGCGTAATATCGAGATTGCATTTTCTGGAGTCGGATGGTCATGATAAACTCTTTTTGGTTTACGAATGCGTTTTGACGTCTCTTTTCTCCATGTTCTGTAGAGCTGAGCAGAGACGATCAATGATATTTTGCGACCTCATATGTCAAACCAATGCATCCACACTAGCATCTAAGCGTCATTTACTCCTTGCTGTTTCCTTGGCTCAGGTTATGAGGCCACAGCCTTCTATTGGACTGGATTTCTTCGCACATGAGAATCATATTATCTCGATGGAAAAGTTGAACGATATATCCAGACTCTGGAGAGAGAAGGAGACCAGATTGGTGGCGGCGATGTTTTTAAGAGAGAAGCACTTTTCGTACGCGGGAAGAATAATTCTACCGTCGAAATCTTATAGCTCTCAAGGCTCGAACAGCACTTATGCAGCTTGATTCTTTTGTCTTTGCAAGCATACCTCCTGCGCTCCACTACCCTTCCAGGCACTCAGAATGAGGTCGACAATATGGTTGACATTCTTTCCGTTCTTAACCTCGGCGAAGATAGTTGGGCCACCCTCACTGGAAATGATCAGAAAGTCATTACTTTATAACTGGGACGTGCAATCACATACCGCATTTTTCGAGCATCGCGGTCCATGACGTCGAGGTCCGCGCCCACAATGTGGGCCAGGTCCGTCTTATTGACAACCAGCAGGTCACTCTGCGTGATTCCTGGGCCACCTTTCCGCGGGATCTTATCGCCACCACTGACGTCGATTACGTAGATGATAAAGTCTGCAAGTTCACGGCTATAGTTGGCTGCCAGATTGTCTCCGCCACTTTCGATAAGTAGAATATCCGTGGCGAACTTGCTGTGGAGATCCTCCAAGGCGGCCAAGTTGGCACTGATGTCTTCTCGGACTGCGGCGTGCGGGCATCCACCCGTCTCAATAGCACGAATGCGTGGCGGCTCCAGAGCAGCATGTCGCGTCAAAAATTCAGCATCTTCCCTATATGAGACTTTCTGGTTAATTGGAGGTTTGATAAAACCGAGAAACTAGCCTAGCGGTGGAGCATGATTTGTGGAGTACTCCGTACCTGGTGAAGATATCATTTGTCACTGCTGCGATGGAATACTTCTCGCGAAGAGCCAAGCATAGAGCAAGCATGAGCGCAGTCTTGCCAGAACCAACAGGCCTTTTTAACATGGATATATTAGCAAGTATATAAAGAGCCACAATTTATCACGTCCACGAACCCTCCAATTCCAACGGTAAATGCACGCTCATTCCAGTCGCGCCCTTCAATTATGGGCATCTCACGGCCCAAAAACGAGCCAGGGCCATCGAGAATCTCATGCGAGTGGCCATGCTCAGCAATGGGGTCATGAGAATGGCTAACGCCACCATCATGAGAGTGGGTGTGAGAAGCCATCTTCAATGAATTATCAAAAGAGTAAGAAATAGGTAGAATGAGTCAAAGAAGAGTAAGAAACTACTTGTGAGGTTTTCAAAGCAAGATTTAATTAACTGTATGTCGATAAATTTACCTGTAGGTCAACAGTGCGGGGCGGCGGGGTTCCCCGAAAGTATGGCTGCAGTTCACTTACGATAAGCTGCTGCTCTGGTGCCAATCAATAAGATTGCAGGGCTCCCCAGTTCGTGCGAGGGTTCAGTGCGACAACAATTAAGTAGCGAGATAGCCGGCCTGCTGGCCAAGCTGATAACTTCCAGTTAGTGAGTCACTACTGGAGCTTGCTACGAGGCCTCCTAACACGGTACCTAAGGCTACGTAACTGTGCGTATTGCTCCCTTTTGCACGGCCCACCGGAGGTGGCTCCATGCCAGTCAAGGGCGTTGATTCGAGAAAAATGAGTTTCAGCGAAACGATAGAATTCCCTCTTCCCTTGACCCGTCACGGTATCTTATTGATTTTATGACAAGCAGTTACTAAGGTATCCAGAATGAGGGTACTCGTACATCTGATAGCTACCCGGTACATGAAAAATTGCTGGCGTTACTGAAAAAGGTAAAGTATGTTCGTTTGCCGGCTACACTAAAAACGGAGTTCTGTCATTGCGCTGAGAATCACCTGCATATGAATCCGAGCAAGCAAATTGAACAGGTTGCAAATTCTTTCTTCTCTTAAACAACACCGTTCGATCGACGTCACAAACTAAAGAGAGAGTCAAATTTAGAAAGGCTTCGAAGACATCGTTGTCAAATTTTGGAACAATTTTCCCTATATAGAGCAAGCACAATGGCTGCATCTGCAATTACTGAATCCGATCTCAAAGGAAGCCTTCCGCTTGTTGCTCGAGGCAAAGTACGAGATCTTTATGCCGTCGATGACCAAACCTTACTGTTTGTTGCGTCGGACCGCATCTCAGCATATGATGTGATTATGCAGAATGTATCAAACCCTCCAAGCTCTTGTTTCACCTACGGAATACTGACTCAGTCCATGAAAGGGTATCCCTAACAAAGGCGCTCTTCTCAACCTCCTCTCAGCGCATTGGTTTGCTGTCTTGACAGATGCAATCCCTGACCTTCGCACACACCTTGTGTCTCTTGCTATTCCGAGCTCAGTTCCAAAGCATATCCACCCGCAGCTTCAAAATCGGAGCATGCAGGTTCGGAGACTCCAGATCTTTCCCATTGAAGCCATCGTCAGAGGTTACATTACCGGCAGCGCATGGAAGGAGTATCAGAAGAGTGGAACTGTGCATGGTATCAAGGTGCCGGAGGGACTGAGAGAAAGTGAAGAATTCCCTGGTGGAGCGATTTATACCCCTAGCACAAAGGCTGAGGCTGGGAAGAATGATGAGAACATTCATCCGGATGCTGGTAGGTTTTTAAAAGCTGCTACAACGAGAATTCTTGTTAACCTCTGACCAGCTGCTGCTATTGTTGGCGAGAAATACGCAAAGAGAATTGAGGAGCTCGCTTTGAAGCTTTACAAGACGGTATGGACTTCCCACATTGAACTTTGGGAGAATGCGTCTCTAATCTGAGTATTCAGGCCAAATCATATGCAAAGGAAAGAGGCATTATAATTGCCGACACGAAATTTGAGTTTGGGCTTGATCCTGCCACGGATGAGATTGTGCTTGTGGACGAAGTTCTGACGCCAGACTCGTCTCGATTCTGGCCTGCTGCTTCTTACGCGATTGGCCAGGGCCAAGATAGTTTCGACAAACAGTTTCTCAGAGACTGGTTAACGAACTCAGGTCTCAAGGGCAAGGAAGGGGTTTCCATGCCTGAGGAGATTGCCAAACAGACGGCAGAGAAGTACCAGGAAGCGTTTGAACGGCTGGTCGGTCACAAGTGGGCCGATGCCCTGACCGGAAAATCAGCGACAGCATAAGCAACGACTCGATCTATTCAGGTCCGGAGGGCCAATGCAATTCTCGCTTGCCGGACTATGTGTCTAAGCCAAGTGGCTTGCGAACCTGCCCTGTGGCTTAGAAACTTTCTTTTTACACGACTCAAGTCAATAACGATGACCGGTATATACAAAAAATAAACCATAATGACAATCAATCATCATATCACCTTGTGAGCAACTAGCTTAAGTGGAATCTGAATACATTGTGTCTAAAGCCTGGCTGAATATAACGCTATCTCTGAAGCAGATGTTCAAAAGCCACAAACGGAGGAACCAGCCCCATTTCCATCCCATCCTAACAGTCTGTTGGCGATGTCACTAACATAGCTCGCTGTTGCGCCGTTGCGATTACTCAGATTAGTGAAGTCGATACTGCCTGAATTATATCCTCGCACAGCATTATAAGGACTGCCATCAGTATTTCCGGCGTAACTCGTCTCCGAGTCACTATTGAGCCACTGGACCAAGCCGGGTCCTTGGGCGGTGCCTTGGGTACCATCACGAATCATCTGCGTGATAGAACCAAGTGAATCTGAAGGATCGAAGGAAACGCTTCCGGCAAAGGCCTGCATTAATCCGCAATTTTCAACGCCGTTGTTTGTGCACGGAACGTTGACATTTCCAGTGGACTATGATTCGTTAACACAACTAGCTTCACTGGGAAGCAAAAAGAATTTTGTAATCTTACCTCTTGCATAATCACGGCAAGGATAAGCCTTGGATCGACCATAGACTCGCTAGAGACCGTTTGAATAGCGTCCCAGATGTTTCCTTGAATTGGCCCACTTTCTAATTGCGACAGGGAGACTCTCTGGTTGAGGTCAAACATTTGGGTATAATCCATCCATTGCGGATAGTCAGGAAAATTGGACGCGGGGCCGGAGAAACATTGGTATGTTGAAGGGTCGGCGTATCCTGATACGCCAGTATTCGCATCGGAGGTGTACCATGCCAGGCCAGCTGACGCAGCCACGGTGCTCCCGGCACCATTACGTTTCTCGAGGTTCTCGACATTCTCCGAGTTCTCGGGGCTCGGGACCGGAAACGCAGCTGCCAGAGCTACTAGACAAAGGAACGGAAGAGTCTGTTCGAAGTCGGGAAAGGTATTGGTCACCCATCCTATGGTAGAAGAATAGCTCAACATAGAATGCACGTACACTTTGCACAAACATTTCGATTTCAAGTTTCAAAAAATGAGCGGAGAAGCAGATTTGATGCAATAATGGATATATAGCAATGAGGGACAGAAGAAAGAACGAATGGCGCAGCCAAGGTGAGAACGAATGAAGGATCTGGCGTAGAAAAAGAACGTAGTGTTTGCTAAAGACCGGCTTGAAAAAACTTGAAGTCAAAGAAACAGCCCGCATTTTATATTTCTGCTTTGAAGCCCCTTGAAGAAATTTGCGGATCAGTGCGCAAGAGCCCTTGGCGGGGCAGCTAGACCTCGACAGACACGGCGTCGGAGACATTGTAGATGGGAGTAGGGATCCTAGCAATGAGGAGCACCTATCTCCTGGCCTGATATAATATTGCCATCGTGATTTGCTCAAGAATGCAAGTGGCACCATAGCTAAGTCAGTTAAGTGCTATCGATCTGGTTAGGCAGAGCCCGCCCTACGGGTCTCAGCTGTCGAATTGTTCCATTGAAACAAGCATCACTGGCAATGCTCCGGCCCGTGGGCTGAGGGTGTCTGACCCACAGCGGAGCATCAGTACATTTTGGGTAGCTCGAGAATAGCCCTAGCTGACTACAGAGCATTGAAGACCCCTCACTGGCAGAACGGTTTAAGATTGGCGCGGACCGGTGGTCTGTTCCATCTCAGAGATCCAGGAACAAAAACATGTTCCGCGAGAGCCAGGCGTTTCACTCTTGAAGGTTTATGATTTTGATCACGAAGGAAGCGCGTGCGGAGTCGCTGATAGGGCACGTTGAGTGCGCCACTGCTTAGCGGCGCATGGCCAGTCAGCTTGGAAGGGCAACGTCCCCTTGATCCCCGTTGGCCATGGCGATTGCCTGCCCCTGCCCCTGTATCTCAGACAAGTTTCGGTTAAGGGTTTCCAGCCGCTCATTGGAACAAACACCATGACACCATCTCGCTTCAAGCAATCCGAAAAGGAATGTTCAAGTCAAGGGGCGCTTCTTTTTTATTTAGTCATTTATGTTTTTGAGTAGACTCCTTCAAAATGCGACCCCTCTCGATATAGCTTCGATGAGGTTCAACTGTGGCAAGTTGTCCAGTATGTCGCCGGAACCATCCGGAACACGTGCCTGGACCACAAGGGTCAATCACGACGATGATTATGTGCAGAGAAGTCCAGAAGGCAATGGATGACCATGTGGTAAAATATTCAAGATGCTGTGTTCATCAAGAACGTCGGTGGCTGTGAGTTACCACATGGTGGCTTGACCAGACTGTATTTCATGCCATGTCCACGATGAATCGCACGCACGACTTGTTGACTTCCTTGTCTCAATTTCAATTACTCAATCAGTCACCTGATCTTGGATTCAAACTCAGCACGCTAAATGGGACTACTGAATGTCGCGAGACATGATTGTTTCTCTATCACAAAGTTAATTCAACATTTGCTTGACTAATTATATTACGTTGATTGATCTATCTAGTTTCTCCCTTTGGGTTACTCGACAAATTGGGGCTCAAGACAATATTGGATAATGTCCATGGTCTTGGCGAATTATTATTAGAGACTTCACGACCTCCAGTGATGAAATCGTCGGTTCTGGGCCGCCTTTTCCTCCATTATTCTCAATTCATAGTTCTGCTGATCCAAGGCCTCTCTAGTCATGGGGTAAGAGCCGTTACTTGGCTGGCCTGGCTGGCCTTCCACGTGTTGTGGGTAGACTGGATATCGGTGACCATGGACAGGTTGCGATCTACCGGCATTAGGAAAGTCTAAGGGCGGTGAGCGGTGTCTAATCTCTCTGCCGTATGGGCTCTGCGTTGACCGAAATTCCCTCTCTTGATGATTCCTCTTTTCGTTCTCTTCAACTTCCTTGGATAGTGCACGCTGTCCAGGGTCAGTTAATCGCTCCAGGAGAAATTCCATCTCGTCAGGTCTCAGTCCCTCATAAGGCGAGGCGGGTTTCACGGTAGACTCCAAAGACATGGATCGGGTCATAGCTCCACCAAAATCTTGCGGGGTGGACAATCTTTGTTGTGCATGGATCAGATGGGGAGGTGGGAATGAGACAGCGTCAGGTCGCAAACCTCTTTGGGTTGGAGTGGTTTCATAGCTGCTACCCAGGGTCGCCTGATTTGGAAATCGAGGAGACCATTTGTTGATCATGTCGGAGCGTGTTGGTTCCGGGCGTACGCTTCTATCATCCTCTGGATCATGGACTTGAAGTTTTGCGAGATCGAAATCATTGCAGGCATCGCCACACAATGTATGGGACTTGGCTTCATGACATGGCTGATGCTGCTCCACAAATGCATTGGCTGCCTGCTGGCTTCCAGGAGGCCCCGGGGTAGTAATTTTACTTGTCTGCGAGGACGGCAGACCGGTCGAGTCCCAAATTGATCGAATTTCCGACCAGGAATTTCGATTCGACGAATTCTTGCGTGAAGCCCAATTGCTGACACCCCAGGGATCCGCTGGGATTCTATTGCCTGAATCAAACCACAGGTGTGGCGAAGTTGCAGAGAAAAAGGCATTCTTGGTTTCTTCGTTTTTGGATTTCTCGGCCGTTAGACCATATCCTAAGGAAGAGCTTCTCAAGTCCGGAGAAGTATCAGTATTATCATTTGGAAGCGGCCGCGAGTACAGTTTGTCGGCCGGAGGACAGTTCGGCTGTGTCATATCTTGACCAAAGGTGCGGCTGATTGTACCAGTATTGGAGGTGCTTCCAGCCTCAGGGCCCCCCTGGTTAGCTTGAGGCCCGAACCATGAATTATATGTCCATGGGTTAGACTTTAAGCTGGTGTTCGTCAACCTTTGTTGATCCTGGCGAAGAAATTGGCCGCCTGAAATTGGTGGACCCCTTTCGTGGCCGTCAGCATACGGGTATCCGCCCGCAAGCTTGTTGATAGAGTGCTCTTGAAAAGGAGTATCTGGCGCTCGAAGGTTGAGAGGAGACGGTGTCTTCTGAGAGTGTTCCAAATGGTTTCTCTGAAATTGGTTCTGTCGCCGGGTGCCAATGGGAGCGTGTTGCGTTGGGGGATCATAGTCAGAGCAGCTCTCAGCGAGCAATGGTGTTTCCAATACTCTCCCTGTCATGCTGGGGGTCTGATACCGGGCTTTGGTGGCGTGAAGGACATTTCCCCCATCATTTTCCTCAACTTCTTCCACAATACGGCGCCCTGGGTAGGTTGGGGCATTTACATCAATTACAGGAGAAAAGGAAGACAGCCGACCAACAAGAAGTCCACCAGATTGAACCTCAACTTGAGATCCAAACGGGTTTGAAGGAGAAGGGCCGACAGGCAGAAAACCAAAATGGCGGTTTGCATTTCCTCCTTCTGTGGCAGGGACAACAAGCTGTCCCTGCTCCTGTTGAGCCCTTCGAGGAATGGAAAAGCGAGAAAATGATGTTTGCGAATAGACGCTAATTGAACGAGGTGGAATTTGTTTTTCGTCGCGTGCTTCTCCTTCTTGTGTGGGAGGCATGTTGACTCACGCTCAAAAGACAAAAATAAGACGCGCACCAAAAGTTAACCAATATCACACGCTCTCTAAAAGCAAGGTTGGGTGTGTGGACCAAAAAGATTCAAGAAGAGAACAAAGTGCGGGTGTTCACAGGTTGGATGGGCCTCGACCAGCTATTTATTCCCTTTTTCTGGGGGTGAGGCCACACCCCGGAAGAAGGCCATGATAGCGGCAGAGTGGCCGCTTTGGTTGTGGTATGCTCAAAGTGAAGGATACTGTGGCTTTTCCTGCCATACTTGCCCTAGGTGAGCATGTCGAGGTAGTCATGCTCCCCCAAGCTGGGCTGGTGTTTTGCCGGCCGCCACGTATTTTGAAAGACCTCTACACAAAAGCGGCACATGTTAAGGGTATAGTACCGCCAAACCTGCCCTTCCCCAGCCAAAATATTATCTTTCATTAATTCAGCTAACCTAGTGCAGAAATTTGTTTAGCTGAGAATGTTCTGTGTCAGAACGGCCAGTGAGTCTCATCGAGTCGAGATCCACTTACTACACCTTCTTCGCCAAATAAAAAGGAGATGTGGCGTCCTCGGACGCAATTTCTTAGCCAATTCGATGCTTCATCCGATCAAAGATTATTCCCAAAGCGGAATGTTTTCTCACACCAGTCATTTATGCCCTCGAGCAACATCAAAACTAATATTGCAGGAAGGAAGATATCAGGAGGATAAGTATGATGTCAGAACCTCAGAAATTCTCGAAAAATATACATCGAAATTGCCGTCTTTTGACAAAAACAAACAGGCAGAAATTGAGGGCACGCGGCTCTCTAGATGCCGCTGGCCAAAGATTATCATTCCGGAAAGGCAACACATGCCCTTCTAGTGTCAGTGAAGATAGAACTTGTCCTCTTTCAAGGTTCCGCTCCGCCAAGCCAAGCCAAATACAAGCGGGACGTTGCGGAGCGGGCCGCTGGGGCCGGGTATGTCTGGTCCGCTCGCAGCCTGTCGATGTGTCTTAGTGCTGGATGAGCGAATCATTTGCGCATTGTACGATTTGGGGAAGGAATCATTTACCCGTCCAGTTCCAAACATATTTCCTCTCGGGGGTTGGCAGTCGACCGCGTCTAGTGCCGCCCATTTCCGCTACGCTGCTAAGCCACAATAAGTGGATCGTTCCTTCCAGAAATAGGCAAGCCCTGCCAACGACCGCCCAGTACAGCGGAACAATAGGCGGATATGCAAAAATTTGACAAGAAGCTATACCCTGATAGATTTTCGTCCATCAATCTACGTGGATTTAATAGAATCACAGCTAGGTTGTAGTGTGTCGAAATCTCACATGCCCTTCACGTTGTATTATTTTGTTTGAAATTTTTATCTTTTTTTGTTTATTGATATTTTTTTCTCTGATTTCCCCCTTCTCGCCATTGCCTCCCTTCCTTTACCACTGGACAAGTTAATTAATTTATCTCCGACCACTGAAGGAGAGACTAAAAGCAGATTCGAGCTACTCGCACCTGCGGCAATGGACAGGAGGTGCTCCCCATCTCCCGCAACCGGAATATTCTTTTTGGTGCTTTGCATCGAAATTTATGATAAGGCTTTTCTAACCGTCGAGTTACCATTGGTAAGTTTAGAAATGATCCAACCCGTCCTTCCACGTCAACATATTCCCATTATAGACACAAAACCAGCAAGGTTACAACCCGACAACATAGAGTGGCGCCGGCAACGAGACGGTTTAGTTTTTTTTTTTTTTTTTTTTTTTTTTTTTTTTCCCCACTAGAGCATGCAGCCAGTCAATCATAATATAATCATTGGACACATTTCATAATCTATATTTGGGGTTTTACGAGTCCACGTGACGACTGGGACAGACACTTTCCCTTTCCCCCCCCAAAAGCGGCAGCTCATGTTGCTGGACGACGACTATACACTATTCTATTCACATACCTTCTATACAGCCAACCACTGGTCTTGCTACGGAATTGTTTGGAGTCCCTGGACGTCAGGCTCTCAGCTCCAATATAAAAGACGGGAGAATTTGAACCCGACACAGCGCTCTCCTGGATCCAAAAGCTTGATCAAAACTGACCGAGGAGGCCTGTAAATGATGAATCCGGCCCATTACCACACCATTTCTTTGCAACAGAAATCTGTCAATCTGGCCTGATGTTCGATGCACTACGTTACTTACGTCCTGTATAGCAAACTGGGCCAGGGAAATTTTCTTTCCCTCTAGAAGAGGGCAAGTTCCCGTTTCCGCAACAGCTAATTAACCAGACCACTATCCAAGCGTCAAATTGTTACAGTAGTGCGGGTCGTGTCTTGATCCGGCAAGTTTGTCAGTGGCGGACGTAAATGCACCCAAAAAGAAGAAAAAATGACCGAGGTAGACTAATAATAGTCACATATCACATCCAAGAACACATCTCAAGTTACGTTGATAATTTGATCGAGAACAAGACTACTACAATGGGTTGAGTTTGGACTGTTTTTTCCCGCCGAAAAAGGCTAAGGGAAAAAAAGGGGGAGACGCAGAAGGCCGAGGACTCATTTTGCATTAACTTGAATGGCGAATTTAGAAATCGTAAAAGCTATACATGACAATCATAGAAAAAGCTAAGAGCTGATTTGGAAAGAAGACCGCAAGAAAAATGAGAAATTTATGATGAATGCCATAGCTAGGAGAACTATTGCAGAAAAAAAAAAAGCGATGGAACATGAAACGACGCCTTGTAAATGCACATGTGGTGCCGTGCCAACGTAACGCTTCTATAGGTATTTCCGCAACTGTGTGACGAGTACTAGAGTTAGCAAGCACGAATCTTCAAGCAAAAACCGAAAGTGGTTAAGGTTATGAATGGGAACGTTCCCAATGCTTCACGGGAAAAGGGAAGGAAAAGAAAAGGAAAATTTCAAATTTGAAAGAAAGAGAGGAGACAAGGCCATCAGAAATGAAACCCTCCCCCCTCTCTCCGCAAAGCAGACCCCCTTCCCTCCCTCGGCGGAAGCAAGCCCGCTCCAGCCCGACCAAAATATAAAAAGAGAAGAATAAGAATAGTAACAGTACTCACATCCAAAGTAAGCGTCTTGCTAGAATTGATAGCCTGATCACGATACACGCCGATCAAGGCCTCACTGCCCTGGAACAGTCCGGTTTTGAGACTGATCACAATGAACTGCATGCCGGGTCCGGCATGTTCGCGGATATACGTTGCTATTTTTGCGACATTTGCATTGTCTAGGGCGGCGTCGACCTCGTCGAGGACGAAAAAGGGCGAGGGCTGGTAACTGTGCACAGCGAAGAGGAGAGCGAGGGCGGCCATGGTCTTTTCGCCTCCAGAGAGGTGCTCCATATCACGGAAGCGCTTTAGCGGCGGCATAGCGTGGTATTTGATGCCATCAAGGTACGGTTCATCAGAGTCTTCAATGTCCAAATAACTGTTGGGGGAGGATCCCGAAAATAGGTCAGCAAGCGGCAATAAACAGGGCACAAGAAAAAATGAACAAGCATCCAACTCTTTAGGCAGACAAGGAAAGCAAGTAGGATGAGAAAGAGGGAGAGAGGGGGTGAGAGAAAGAGAGAGCCAAAAACAAAAGGGGATAGAAAATGGTAAACATACGCTTGACCACCTAATGGGAAATTGGCACTCTTGGTTAGATCCTTATACACCTGATCAATCTGTTCGGAGATGTGGGAAAAGGCTCTATTGAACAGTTCGTAGCGCTGCTCCCTGACGGCCTGGAAGTCGTCTTTCGCCCTTTTGGCCGCTTTTCGGGCGTCCTCGAATTCCTTGTCGGCAGTTTTCAGCCGAGATTCGACTCCTTCTAGCCGCTCAATAGCACGCATGTTCGGTGCCATCTTGTCAAGTTCGCTACTAATGCTAGCGATCTTATCTTGAAGCTCATCGTCTACTTTTTCGTCGGAGTTCTAGGAAAGATTGTTAGGAAATGAAGTCATGTATCGATTTAGGCAAAAGTGCTGGCAAGGGTAGCTTACATCTTTGAGGTCATCATCAAGATCGTCGAAATCAACTTCGATGCCGTAGTCTTGTACCTCCGGAGCCGCGACATTGCTGCTCTCCGGGTCATGATCGAGATCCATGGCGTCGGGATCGGTTCGTAACAGTTCGTCCACTGGCAGAGCATCCAAGTTGGCAGATTGCTCACTTAGTGGAACATTGATACCATCAAGTTTGCATCTCCGTAGAGTGGCATATCTCCCAGCAGCGTTGCGCTGGATTACGGCTTCCATTTCAGCGACTGTTTTGAGGACCCCTTCGACCTCGCGGGTGCGCTTTTGTACTTCACGTCTTTTTTCACCGACTTGTTCCGCTGCCTCGCCGTATTTCTGCTTTTGCTCTTCGAGTTGCTCATGCAGGAGCTCAAGCTCGGACGTGAGAACGTCCAATTCGCTCTGGATCTGTTCCTTTTGAGCTTCGAGATCAGCAAGGAGCTTTCCATCCCGCTTTTCTTGATTCCTCATGGTTTGAATTCGATCCTGCGTGGTCTGTAAACGTTGAGTCTCAAAGCTGAGCTGGTTCACTAGCTTGCTCTGTTGCATGGTGAATTCCAACTTTTTCTGCGCGCTTTCTTGTTGGAGAGAGCCTTGCTGAGCTTCATAAGCACGAATATTGTCATATCCTAATTGTCTGCAGAAATCGGCAAACACCTGGTCCTCGACCCTACTGATTGCGTCTCGGATCCCCTGAATGCTTTCCTTGAGATCTCGCAGGGCAGCAGATTGCTCATCGTACTTTGGCCGGATCTCATTGATTTGACGTCTTGCAAATTCGATTTCCTTGGTCTCGCTTGCCAGGTTTCTTTCAAGGCTCTTAAGCTCCTCTCTGGCATAGCTAAGTCGCTGTTCTAGGCCAGTGAGCTCCCCTTGAATAGTCTCTTCCTCTGTTCCTCGTCGGTGACCTTTGGGCAAAGCAGCAAATTCTGCCAATAAATTGTCCCGCAGCTTCTTCAGGTTTTCTACCTCTGCATCTTCCCATCGTCTTGCGTTTTGTTGGCCAGGCCCTCTACCACCTGTCATGAGACCTCCCTTGTGAATGACGGTACCATCAAGTGTGACGGCTTTCGCTTCAACCCTCTGTTCGTAGCAAATATATTTTGCCGTCTCTAGGTCGTCACAGACGACGGCATTTCCGCAGGCATAAGACATAGCACGCTCCACTGACGAATCGTATTCAATCGTATCGATTGCCATACGCATGCCGCGATGCATGCCTTTAAGATTCGAGTTGATTGCCTTGACTTGTATTGTTTCCAAGGGAATGAAGGTGGCTTGACCAGCGCGTTGGTCGCGGAAATATTGGATGCATTCTTTGGCCGTCTTTTCGGTGTCTACCACGACAGCGTCGAAATGCCTTCCCAGGACGGTACTCACTGCGTCGCCATATTTCTTGAGTTTCGGCTTACACAGCTCACTGACCCTTCCGCGGACACCGGGGAAGATTCTCTTGAGCGTCGCCACTGCTTCTTTCATTCGAAGCTCCTTTTCGCTCTGACGGCGTCCATCATCGGCTTCAATGAGCTTTCGAAGAACTTCTTGTATCTTTTCGTCAAGCTCAGTCTGCTTCTGGGCTGTACGAAGACGTTCTGATGTCAGGTTGTTGAATGCTTTCTTCTTCTCTTCGGATTCTTTGGACGCATGCTTAATCGTAGTATTGAGCTCATCTCTGCGGTTGCGGAGGTCTTTCATCTCTTCTTCGAGCTTCTTGCCCTGCCATTCAGCAGACTCAAAGCTTCCCTTGAGGCTCGCCACCGTTTCCTCGTCTGTCTTTTGTTGACGAACGAGATTGTCTAATTGAGTCTGATCCCTGGCCGTCCGCTTGTTGACGTCCTCTCTGAGCTTGTTGTATGCTTGCAAGTCCGCCTCGCTCAATTCTCGGCCTTCTTGCCTTGCCAATTTTTGCCACTCTTTCTCCCACTTGGCCTGAGCTTTGTCAACAACCCCGAGGTTCTTTTTAAGCTGATCTACTGTATTTGACTGGGCTTCCCTTTCTTTTTCAATCTCGGCAATTCGCGAAGCATATTTCTGAATGTTCCTCTGCGAGATTGTAATCTTCTCCTCGACAGGAACAAGAGCGTTCTCCTTCTCCTCGATATCCTTTTCCTTTTTCTTGATACTCCGCTCAACTTTCCCGACGTCTCTGCCGACACGTGCCTGTTCTCTTTTTGCGTCATCAAGATTCTTTTCGTATCGTTCCATACCGCGACGAAACCCTTTCAGCTCCTCTTGATGCTTTTCAATTTCGGCAGTAGACTCTTCAATAACGCGCTGAAAGTGATAAAGCTTCCAAAGTGCGTGAGTAACAATTGCCTGGTCACGCTCTTCAGCCTTTTTGGCATAATTTTCGGCTTCTCTCTTCTGTTCCTGATACTGTTTGATCTCGGCGTTAATGCCTCTACGCCGGTTTAGGGAGTAATTTTGGTTCTCTATGGCCTGTTCTTGGACTTCCTTGAGCCTCTCATATTCGGCTTTGTGTTCCAAGCTTCCGGATATCTGCTCGATAAGTCTTGTCAGATCCCGTGGCGATTGTGATGCGATAGCCTCAACATCTCCTTGGAATACTAGAAAATTGCGAGCTTTGATCAAAATATTCTCAGCCTCGAGGGCTTCGTTGTATTGCTGCGCAGAAACAACACGGTTGTTGATGCGGTATTCGCTAACGCCCTGGCTCGTAATGGTACGCTTCCAATGCTGCTCCTCACCAGCATCGTCTTCATAGACCGCCATCACCCAGGCATTTTTAGGGTCGTTTCTTTCAGATTGGCTCAACTGGCTGCCATCCACCCCATTTTCGGTCCCGACTCCGTTGGTCTCAATTTCGCCATTCTGTCCCGGAACGGTCGCCGATCCGTCATCATTAATTTTGGCAGTGCGAAGGACGCGTCCACGGTAGACAAGGTCGCGAAGATGAGAAGATCGTAAATGTGATGATTTGATACCGAGCACGAAAGAGATAGCATCCATCCTTGACGAATTAGCGACATGAAGCTGAAAAGGGCATGTACAACGCACGAATTCGATTTTCCTGATCCATTGGGCCCGATAATAGATGTGAAATACGAGTCGCCAAGAAGCAGCGTATGGTGGCCCTTGTAGGATTTGAAGTCTTCACAGTTTACCATTAGCTACATGGAGAACATTGAGGTCAGGTTTGCTTTAAGACTGAAGCTTACTGAAGAGTTCCAGGCGAATTAGCTTCCCCATACTGCCGACAGTTTTGCGCGCGTAGAAACGCGCCGGTAGACGGAAGATGATGCTCCCTTTATCTCTATATTTTTGCTTGACTGCTCAGACACGGTTATTTCGTCGAGCTGCGCGTAGACACCGAGGACGTGTCTGAATGATTACGGTAGGCGTTTAGTGCCCCCTTTGCCTCTCATTCCATATTCGGAATGGCGGCATCTTCCCCGACGCGATACCATGTCAGGCAGGCGCACGTCCCTGTTGGAGCTGCTTAGGACAGCACGACCGTCCCGGTCACCTCCTGTCGACACATCACGTCACATGCTGGCTGCCGTTGATATTATTTGCGTATCTTTAACCCGCGCCTTTTTTTTTTTGAGTGCACCTGTTCCCCCACGACCAACAACACGTCTAACGTTATCTGCATCTCAACAAGCACTTTGAACAGCGCATGGACGCAACCCCAAGGAGCACTCACGCCTTGCACAGATGAGCGCTATGCGCTATTGAGACTCGCTTTGCTATATTTAACAGCCGTGGGATGTTCACTTCTCCTCTTTCATAACCCCAGCTTCTCTTTTCCCTAAAAGGGTAGATCTTGTACGGAAATATCTCGCCATGTCGGATCCTATCGCTATACACGGATCCAAATCCAATTCGGAGCCAGCTCTCAATGAAGCGACTGAAATCACTTCCAGTGTTGGTACCACAGACACGGTGATCTCTGGCCATGACGATGATCTACTCGCTCCAAGCGACAAGGCTTCTGGCATCTCCTCACCCCCAAGTCCGCGCCTCTCAAGAAATGGATCATTCTCAGACAAGAGTTCATCGCACGAGGACTGGGATCCTTTCCCGCCCATCGAGCGGCTGACATTGTTCGACATACTTGATAACCTTGCCTTGCCCCAACGGTTGGAGCGACTACAAAATACAATTCAAGCTCAGACGGAGCGTGTGAGAAGACATCGTGAGAAGCTAAAGTCGACAAGTATGAATGCGCGGGATCTTGTGGTTGACGAGTGGCGTCGAAGGGTCCCAGCGCCTGAAGAACAACTCGAAAAATACCGGAAACGGATGCGTGACTCTGTAGACAAACTGGGCCGCCGTTGGAATGACACCAAAGCTGTAACGACACGCGAGAAGATTTCCTTTATTGGCGGTGTCCTGAATATATTCATCAGCGGATATCTCATTGGAGCTCGCCCGGAGTCCTTTTATCTGTGGTATACTTGGCAGCTCCTTTATTATATGCCAATACGCTACTATTCTTACCATAAAAAGGGCTGGCACTACTTTTTGGCCGACTTATGTTATTTTACAAATCTGCTTGCATTTCTCTCTTTTTGGGTTGCGCCTAGGTCGAAACGATTATTCATCAGCACATTCTGTCTGGCTTATGGTAACAATGCGGTCGCTATTGCCATGTGGAGAAACTCTCTTGTCTTCCACTCCTTAGACAAAGTGACTAGGTAAGGAGCTCTCCTTGTCTCGAGATGTTCTACACGTCTGTTCTAACGTCGGAGTAGTTTGTTCATCCATATCATGCCTCCGGTTGCGCTCCACTGCATTGTGCATCTAATGCCCCCAGAATTTCAAAAGCAGCGCTTCCCGGCTGTTTACGCAATAAAGACTAGTCCACCCGGAAGCAAGGAACATTACTCGCTCCTGGCAATGATGATCTGGGCTACTGTGCCATATATAATATGGCAACTGTCCTATCACTTCCTTATCACTGTTCGTCGCCGCGAAAAGATTGCTGCTGGACGTCCGACCAGCTTCACCTGGCTTCGAAAATCATATGCCAAAACATGGATTGGAAAGACGGTGCTATCGCTTCCGCATGTACTGCAGGAGCCTGCATTCATGCTTATCCAGTACGGATACGCTCTCTGCACCATCATACCCTGCCCCCTATGGTTTTGGTACCGTTGGCCGAGCGCGATATTTCTGCTCGTCGTTTTCACGTGGAGTGTGTATAATGGAGCCACGTATTACATTGACGTGTTCGGAAAGCGCTTTCAGAACGAGCTGGAGCAGTTAAGGAAGGATGTTGCGAAATGGCAAACCAGCCCAGCAATGACGGCCAGCTCTCAGCCTCGACAGAAATCGGAAGCGAGTGACCACAATGCCGGGGACCTACAATCAGCAAACGTTGAAGGAACTGCAGAGGAGAATGGGTCCATCTCAAAGAAGGATGGGACGCGAAGAACAAGCATCGATAACATACCATTGCTCGACTCAAAGAATGAGGGACCTACGGGTTCTGATATCGGCATACAGGATATTGTAAGGGAACGGAAATAATTTGGGAACCCTATATATTCCATTCTCGTCCCCGATCTTGTTTTCTTTGCCGGAGTATATTTTTGGTAGTGGCTCTTTATCTTGGACACCCGTCTTCGCGTATACTGTGTAATGTAATATCAATCCACGATGGTCTCTACTGCCCAGTGACCAATGATGCGGCTCGAATTAGAGTAGAACACGCCTTGATTATTTTCTGCAGATCTCACAAATGTCACAGATACAGTACTTTATTTGATGGCGGGCCCACATGTAGATCTTTGTTGGCAGGAGAGGGACTCACATTTGCAGAGACGGGCGTATTGCTTATGAGAAGACAAACCATGTCCCAGGGTCTTGAGGCATTTCGTCAGATGGGGACCAAAGAAACTGCTCACTTGACAAAATTTGTACCATTTCTCGTGACCATCATGTCCTAAACCATACAAATGATATGAAATCAAAAATACTACACTTTCTATAAGATTGTTAATAGCTAAACTTCTTTGCATTTGGATAAAAGCAATGAAAAGGTCTAGATGACTCAGCACATGGCGAGCATGATGAGTCTCGGCAATGGTGTTTTGATTGACATCATTGAATCATGCCTGGCTCTCATTGTTTTGCTTGTTGATCAGTCCGCAATATGGCCGCAGGCAAACAATCCTGCTGTACGTGATGAATGTTGTACTTATTACCGGTGTATAGTACCCTCTCAAATTATGCCCCATGGAAGCTCCGGCAATATCCAAATCTTGTTATACTTGCCGGCGCCGGCGTATCCAATGCGACAGGTCGAAAACACCTTGTCTCAAGTGCGAAAAGGCCGGACTTGACTGTTTTGAGGAGAGGCCTCTACGCTGGGTGCGCGGGGTAGCTATCCGCGGGGGTATGCGGGGACGATCCTTCGCGAAGACCTCGGCGGAGCAAGTGGATGAGTCTTCCATCCTGTCCTACTGGTCCCTTGGAACTCGCCTTAAGCCTGGTAAGCACGATCCATTTGCTTTGACGTCTTACAGACCTATCAGGGCGTTGTCTACGGGTAACTAGTTCGTCCTGACTGTGACTCCAACAGATGTGCTTTTACCCGAACTTTCCAAATATGTGTCGGGTGCTCGTTCATTAGGTGTGCCACGAGCTATGATAGATGTGGCTATGTCGAGTTTAGATAGCAGATCTAGATATTACTTGGACTACTGTAAGCTCGAGGTTTTGAACAGTGGCTCATATACGAATATCTGACCTTTTACTTAGATAATGACCGCATATGCAAGGTCTTCATCGTATATGACAGCGAGAAAAATCCATTCCGAAGTCTCATTCCTCTTGGCTTGAACGAACCTGTTCTCCTGGAAACTATCCTCGCACTAGCAGCCCGTCATCTGGCGAATGCGGGCCATTTATTTTCTGATCTTGGGGAGAGAATGCTGCCCGAGTCTGTCAACGCTCATTGCGAAGCGCTTCACTTCAAACACCGTGCCATCCAGGGACTTGCAAGCACTTTGAGAAATCCTGCGTTGTACCAGAAAGACGCCACTATCGCCAGCGTATTTCTTCTGGTATTTTTAGATCTTCTAGAGTCGGGATGTGACCGATGGAACTACCATCTGGAGGGCGCGAAGAGGTTGATGACCTTGATGAAGCCGCACGATCCAGGCCGGACCATTGAGGGGATACGCCATTTCATTACCAATCAAATTCATCTGTGAGTGCATGGTTGCCAAAAGTAAACTTGCGTTATAACGGCTAACCACTGACATCTAGGATTGAGTCTCTAGGGACTACTTTTGTACGACCAAATCTAGTTTCCAAATTTATCTCCGCTCAGGAGACTGAAACTCCGCTTCAAGACGTTGTCGAGCAGTCTTTCCTTGGCTGTCCCGGGTATATATTAAGCGCTGTCCAACATTTCTCTGTAGTGAGAGACAGAATAGCCGATGGAGACTCTGCTAGTCTCACTTCCGCTGACAATCAATTACATGATATTATATCCGTCCAAGAGTCTATCAAGAATTTTGACTGTCATGCATGGGCTGCAAATCTGCCTCAGGAGCAGTCCGCTGCACGGGATGTTCAACAGCTCAGCATGCTCTCCCGATCCTACCAGCTGGGCGCTAGTCTATATGGCCAACGGGTCTTAGATGCTATAACCCAGAAGGTAACGCCTACAGGCACGATTCTGAGCGAACTAATCGAGGTGATTGGCGCACTACGCGATGATCCATCTGTGTTCAAATGCATTCTCTGGCCCATTTTTGTCGCTGGCCTGGAGTGCAAAGATCCGTTGCAGAGGACGTTTTTGATTCAGAGCCTAGAGACCTTCTGGGAGTACACATACTGTCTGAATGTGATCAACGCTGCCCGTATACTGCAGGAGTACTGGGCGCAGGAAGAAAATCGAGGAAAACTGCCTTCGCAATGGATATTTAATGTTGGTCGCCAGGGACGCGACTGGTTGCTGATTTGATTGCCTCGAATGTCGGGTGACTGGATCCATCTCACCATAGCCTCTACGGACGTTTCTTTCGACCTCCGAACCCTGTCAGATCTTCTTATCAAAGGCCATTTCATCCCCCTCCCTCCAAATCCGCGAAGTCCACCGGATCAAGAGGACACGTTAGGTAATGCCTCGAGCACTCTGCGCTTACCAGTGAGCAGGGCATTCTCAAGTCCCCGGCTGCAGGGCGCTTTGGCCGTCTTGGTTCTAGTTGGAGGAAGCATATATTCTCGAAAGTGGACTGGACGCAAATGACTGCGTGTCGTATGTAAAGGCAGGATATATATTCCAGAATTCAGGCTTTTTTTGTGCCAAGCATGGAATCCTGATGACCCAGCATAGTAAGTTTTGTGAGAAATTTTTATAATTATTCTGCTAACCAGAGTTTCAGGATTCAATGCTTTGGGTCTTGCTGCTGGAGTACCTCTACTAGACCTAGGAAACTATAGACCAGTGACGAGGTTCATGCTCTAAAGGGTCCTGTTGACTCCAGACAGGTGATCCGTCGAAGAATAAATTGGAGACGATCCAAATTATTTCTGGAGAAGGCATCTAGAATAGATACGTTATTTAGCATTATCTTAGCAATTCTGCAAATGCTATCTAGGTTATCCTTCAGTTTCTTTAATGACTGCTGGCTAAGCAATGACTGAGCAGAGCACGAGGTCCCACTAAAACAAATTCAAATCATACTTCAAATTAAACAGAAAATTAATTCAAACCACGGTTTCATTTAGTTTTTCTGATAAGGATCCAAGCTTGTTAATATGTAAAATAACCCATTCAAAGACCATTTTTAGCCGCACTCCATTTTATATACTACCGGAGTAAACATGCTTGTGCTGGATTTAATAGTCTTGTTTGTCCGAACAAACCATGCTATTCCTATCTGGGACTTATCATGTAAGTTACGCGGAACTTCCGCCCCGAAACCCGCAGATCGTAGGCACCAACACTTTAATTCCTTCTCAGCTGGGAAATCTTAAAGCCAGAGGAGGGAGACCAGTGCGAAAATATATCTCCAATTGAGAATACCAGTATAATGGCTTCGTCACCGAAATATTTGACAGGCGACAAGGCCGCAATCAATGAATTCCTTGACAAGTTCGATGTAAGCATCCGCTTCCTGTTATGCGTCATTTCATATTATGATACGGCCAATACAGCCAATTCCTAAGCAATGGCCCGGCAGATTCAAAGCAATTTCATGAAATAGTGAAGCTAATTAGACTCCAATTAGGTCTTTCTATTCGATTGCGATGGTGTGTAACCCCGACCTCCCTCTATCTGACCGAGCTCAACAATAAGACCATGGTTGAAGACGGCTTTGAAGACATAAGGCGTCCAGACATCACATAAAATATATGGCACGTTTACTGAGGACCTGAGGAGAAACACAGGCGTATTATGGTCAGGCGATCATCTCTTCGAGGGGACCGTTGAAACACTAGAGTTGCTACGATCTCGAGGTATGTTCTTCCTCCTGTGCTTTACCCCACTATAACCCCACCTTCGAAGGGACCCCTTTCCAAAATTTAGTATCTGGTTTGGGAATCGCAGTTCAAGGCATCCCACGGGGACTCCACACCAGAGGAACACTGAGAGCTAACTGAAGTGCAGGAAAGCAAGTCGTTTTCGTGACAAACAACAGCACAAAATCCCGCGCAGACTACAAGAAGAAACTGGAGTCAATGGGAATTCCAGCGACTGTCGTAAGTCCCTCTCCTTTTCACCCCTTTTACTTACAACTTGCTCACGCAAGAGTCAAAACTATCCGCAGGACGAAGTCTTTGGCTCTTCCTACTCTGCAGCTATTTATATTTCGCGAATCATCAAGCCGCAGCCGCCGCGTAACAAAGTCTTTGTACTAGGCGAAGCCGGTGTCGAAGCCGAGCTCGAATCCGAAAACATTTCTTATATTGGCGGAACCGACCCGTCGCTGCGCAGGGACATTACACCCGAGGACTTCAAGGCTATTGCCTCGGGCGAGGCGCTTGACCCTGCAGTCGGCTACGTGCTCGCCGGACTCGACTTCCACGTGAACTACCTGAAGCTTTCGATAGCATTCCAGTATCTTCGACGAGGCGCTAAATTCCTGGCAACGAACGTGGACAGTACCCTCCCGAACGCAGGATCACTCTTCATTGGCGCAGGTGGCATCAGCGCGCCCCTGATTCGTGCCATGGGTGGCGAGGAACCTATTGCGTTTGGCAAGCCCAACCAGAGCATGATGGACGCGATTGAGGGCAAGTTCCGCTTTGATCGATCTCGCGCTTGCATGGTCGGCGATAGACTCGACACCGACATCAAGTTTGGCATCGAGGGTCGTCTGGGAGGCACGCTCTGTGTCTTGACAGGTGTGAGCAAGCGCGAGGACTGGGAAGCCGAAAACCCTGCTGCTGTGCCGGCCGCGTATGTGGATACGCTGGGCGATCTGCGAGTGGCCGCATAAATGGTACGGAGACGGTCGACCTCCATGATTGTTAATATGGTTCCGGGTCAAGCAACACAGACGCAAGCATAATCACTTGTACATAGACTCGTTTATATACTCTGATGAAATTAGAAATAGAATTCAAAGTATCCCCAAAAGACTCCATTACACTGCCCATATTTGCCCAACCTGCCAAGTCATCTGCCGTGATGTATGAAAACGAAAAGAAGCAAATTCAACACAAAAGAAAAGGGAAAAAACAACAAATAAGACATAATAAAACCTCGTAACGAAGGAGTTAGAGCTGGAGCGCTATCACGATTCTGCTTCCTCCTGCTTCACCGCGCCCAGATGTTTCAGCATATAACTCCGTTTGAAATATGTATTCGGATGCACAATCGTATCGAGCTCTGCTGCGCCCCACGTGCCGTCATCTTTGACCTTTTTGATTTCCCCCTTATGCGCATACTCAAAGACACGATTACACGCCATGTGGAACCGTTTCTTCTCCACATCTTCGCGGACGCCGCGGAGGACATCGCGGTCCGAGACGCCCGTGGCCTGCAAGAGGGCCGTGAGATTATCCGTGCTGAAATGACGATAGGGGCACCCATGTGCTTCCCCGGGCCCGGGCGGATGTTCCGTGAGGATCTTCTGGCAGGAATACGGACTGTAGCCGCGTCCTCGACGGTTCGCGTCGCCGCCGACATCGCCGTACGAGTGGCGGATATTGTACCGGTACTCTTTGTTGAAGGTGTCGTCTGTAATGTTGCGGAAGGACTGGCGCCAGAACAGCAGGCAGTCTTCGAGCGAGAGCCCGATGCCCTTGAGGAAAAGCGTGTACTGTAGTCGCCCGAAATGCTTCAAGTGTGCGTTCTTCCGCAGCGTCATGTGTAAGTTGCGCATGCACAGCGGGAAACTCTGGGATAAGGTGTCGATGGATCCGGCGTTGATCGGCGCGCCGGGGATGTGCGCGTTGCTGTCGCTGTAGGTGGAGTCCGGCGCGGTGAAGTTTTTCGACAGGTGGCTCAGGATGGGCGAAAGGCGGTCGTCCTCGTCCAGTCGAGGCAGAGCGCGGCTTGTCAACTGCAGAGCATTTCGACTCAGTATGCCGATGATGATTTGGAAAAGGTACTGCATCGGCAGCTCGGAACATGATGAAATTGGGAAGGACGGAAAGAAAGAAAGAAAGAAAGAAAGAAAGAAAGAAAGAAAGAAAGAAAGGGCGGGATTAAAATGGGAAATAGATATATCTAGACGTACCTCTAGACTCCGCTCAAGACGGGCAGTAAATTCTGAAACAACCATGCTCATCTGCTCTCGCATCGGAACATATGCCTTGCCGCGTTTCAACAGGACTCGTCGGCCTTCCACCAGCTCCGGGACGCGCTCCCAGTCGAGCTTGAACCAGTTTTCGTCTTCCAGGCGTCTGACTCCGGGCGTCGACTGAAGCAATTCGGCGCCGAGTTCACGCTTTTCGTCATCGCCCACGACCTCCCAGTCAAAATTCAGAGTCTCAACAAATGCTTGTCTCTCGCGGGCATCGTCATTCTGGAACCGTAGCTTGAATAATGCAGTTTCGACGCGCGCGAAACGGCGGCGCAAGTCATCTGTAGCGGAGAAAGCGAGGCGTAGGATAAAGTGGGAATAGTGATCTTTCTTTCTCTCATTTGCGAGCTCAGACGAGGAGGATGTGTTAGATGAGAGCGGGAGATATTTCTGTAGCAGAGGGGTGATGTGGGCGGCGGTCTCGGCGGGGGTTTTGTTGCGAAAGGAACATGCTTCTAGTTCCGCAAGGACTGTGAAAAGATTATATACTGTTTAGCAAGAGGAAAAGGCAATTTTTTTTGTAAGGGGGATTGCGACGGAGCATACTTCGCAGACGATCAATGGCCCACTGCTCGAATTCCTCGAGTGTAATCTCTGCCGTAGGCGGTATTTCATAAAAGTTCAGCCGGTGAGGATATTCCTGTGGCTTGTAGCTCGCTGTCGCAAATTGCTTTCGTTTGTGGTCGAATGTCGCCCGCCTTTTGGGGTCAATCCGAGCAAAATCTTGACGGATCATGGTGGGGTTGTTTTGCAAGTGCTATGCTTAATTGCTGCCTCTCACAGCTGGCCCCCGAGCCTTGGTGGTTGAGGTTATCCACGATCAGCGGGAGACGCGACCTAGCGACCACACGCGACGCGTTTCGGTCATAATTGATTGCTACGGCGATCCATAAAAACCATATGTGCGACATCAACTCCAGGCAAGTGCTTGAACAGTCGGAGAACAAGCTCAGTTCCAAGATTGTGAACTTGTTATTCTAATTCTAGGCGCTCAACGCCGCGTCTAATATCTAATTACAATGCGTTTATCTTATGCAGCAAGACTTCAACATATGAAAACTCTGGTGGTATATCGAATAAGAACCGCTGCAGGACGTCAGGCAGAGAATCTCGCTGTATTAATCCTTCCGTAGAGATCACGTCGTGCGGTCAAGGGGCCAACATTGTTTGTGACTTGTAATCCGGATCATGGCGACGATACGTGCTTGATGGCTTATACAGTCCGAATGGCATATGATTCTGGTATCGGATCAATCACGATCTCGGGCTGAAGAACCAACTGCTTCTTTTGTTGCCGCTGCTGTTCTCCTGAGATTGCACCGTCGGGAAGCTGGGAGGCATACCGCTGGTTTCCATCGTCCCTCCGCCACGCAGGGGTTTAGCTATCCTGGAACCAGCCCCTCCAAAGCTGAACCCGCCCGACGAAGGCGAAGAGGAAAGACCACGCGTAGAACCGACCTTTGCTGCTTCAAGTCGCTCCTTGACGGCCGTGAGCTGAGCCTCGAATCTGGAGTTTCTTTTAGTATTCTTTCCCGGTTGAACGCCACGAGTTTTAGAGACGTACCTGTGATTTGCTGCCGTCAACTTCTCTTGACTGTCCTGCAACAATCCCTCGAGGCTTTGTATCCGTTCATTTCGAGCGATCAATTTCCGTTCCGCGATCGCAACTTCTTTCTTGAGACTACCATTTTGCTCGACCAATTGGCGTTGCACGTGTGTCAGTTGCTCCAAATTCCGCTCGAGGAATGCCATTTTCTTCTGTTGGGACCGGTTGTTGGAGCTCTTGAGGACGTTGTTATATTGCTCCCTGGCTTCGTCTAGCGATATTTCCAGTTCGATCACCTAGTCCAACGGTTAGCCAGTCATTTTACTTTTGAGCAACAAAAGACAAATACTCACTCTCTCGCAGCGATTCTGAAGGTCCCGCATTAGACTCTTTTTCATCGCATCAAAATCGGCAATCTGTTGCTGCACGGACTTTCCACTTCCGCCCGTCGGCGCAGCAAGGCCATTGAGTGCGCCCGCTTTCAGTGCTTGCCGTGTATTTGCAATATCCGCTTTGAGTTTTTCGTTCTCTTTTGAAGCCCGCTCAAGGTCTTCCTTGAGCTGCTCGATTGAGAGATGGCGAGTATCGTCTCTATCGGAATAAGCGTTCGCGAGGCGAGACTTGACTTCCTCGATGTCTTCGCTACTTAAGTTGCGCTCGAGGACCTCTTCGTATTCTCGTTGTACGTTTGAGAGCCGCTCTTCGAGCTCGTCTCTGCGTTTCTGGTGCGCCGCGGTATCTTCGCCTTGAACATGCAACGAAAGATCCATCTGCCGAACAAGGTTTTGCGTCTCAGAAAGCTTAGACCTGATGTTTTTGATGTCATCTGGTCTCATTTCAGAGCCCACAGTCGTAGCTTCGAGCAATGAATCCACAAGCCAAATAACGTCGTTGATGCTCTTTTCGCTCTCGGAGAGACTTTCGCCGCCCAAGTCAAAACCAGCCATCATCTTCGCCATTCGCTCTGCCTTCTTCCTTTCCTTTTCATCCAGCGCAGCGGTTGTCTCCTTTGCGCTCATCTTCACATCCAACAATTGCTGCTTCACCTCATCTAGCTCTGTCGTGAGCTCCGAGTTGGCTTCTTTGAGCCCATCCATGGTAATTTGTGCCTCTCTGCTCTCGAAACTAATCCTTTCAAGAGACATCCTCATCTCATCAACTTCGCTGGTAAGCTTTTCATTCTCCTTTGCTGTCTTCGAGTTGTGGTCTTTGAGGAACTGTAGCTCCTCTTTTGTCTCTCTCAGAGTTTTTTCAACATTTGCCAGTTGGGTCTCTTTTTCGGAAATCTGATCCTGTAATTCATTTTCGCGGCGTAGGAATTCCTCTCTTTCGTCTTTATCAAGAAGGATGCTTGGCGTGCTCGCGCGGTCTCCAAGTCTTGAATCCGGTCGAGAAGGACTGTCCGTCCTTCCTTGGTCTGCATTCTGCAGTCTGGACGGAGTAGCAGGCCGCGGTTTCGTATCCGACTTCAGATTAGGTATGCCATCTATGGCAAGTGGTAGAGCCCAACGCTCTTTCGGAACGCTCTCGCCGCTCCGCCACAGCTGAATTTCACCTTGCAGGGTTGACACATAATTTTCAAACGTCGTTACCTGATGTTGAGCCTTTTTGAGTAGCTGCTTCAGCTCTGCCGGACTAAGCTCAGCGTTGATCTTTGCCTTATTCTTGATCGATTTCGCCCGGACACCAAATCTTAGGGTGCTAATAGTCTCCGCGTCATTGTAACTGCTCGGAGAGCAGTTGATGATCAGTGTTGTTCTTGAATTTCCACCCAAACTTTCTTGCAAGATTCTGGTAAGCTTCGAGTCTCGGTAGGGGATATGTGTAGATTTGCCGTCAGTCAGAGAATTAATCACCATTCCTAATGCACTCAAACTCTTGTTGATTTTCTTTGCTTCTTCAAGAGTCTGGCCGCTCGCACCCGTTTTCCCGACCTTTTCGCTACCGGCCAGGTCAACAAGAAAGAGCTGGCCACTCTTTGCGGAGCCAGTTTCGACATTTTTTTGGGTGATTGTGATGACAAAAATCGAATGGGACCGTGATGACTCCTGGTTCATGTTCGTGGCAGCCACTGCTCGGGCGTTTCCACCGCGGCGCATGACCTCATAAACTTCCTGTACGCTAGAGACGTAGATTTCCAAAAGACCCTTGACATATACACCTCTATTCTTTTCTTCGTGCACCGGAAGGTTGTCATTTTGAGGAGCCAACAAATCCCTGATCCTCTCCATGTAAATCTCCATGTAGCTGACCCTAACTGTATACTCGATATTCCCTGGACTGGCCAAAATACTCGCAAATATTTGTTCCACAATCCGTGGTATTATTCCCTTCGTATCATCGTCGTCGATATCTGATCCCATCATGGTATAAGACTTTCCCGCACCTGTCTGGCCATAGGCAAAGACGGTTCCGTTATAGCCATTTAAAATATCGTCGACCGTGGATCGGATAGAGAAATCGAAGACATCGTTTTGACGGCAGTTCATATCAAAGACGCGATCAAATGTAAAAGCACCGGTTGCTTCCTTTGACTATATCCCGTCATGTTAATACTGCCATTTGAGGTAGAAGATGCACATGTATGATGGGACTGTATGTGTCCAAGCATGCAGGTTGTTCCAATGTGACCTACATTTAGACGGCATGTATCTTCCGATTCAAAGTCGACTATCGGTTCTCCTCCACTGGACAGCTCGACCTTATTCTGTGGTCGAAACCGCGCCACCACTGGGATACTCGTCAGCCCATATTGCAAAGTCAAAAGATATTTCATTCCCGTCAAACAATACCCTTTATGGAGTTGTTCGCAGAACCCGTGCTGCTCCTATTCCGTTATCAATCGTTAGTACCCGAGATTATCATGGATTTGGGTCCCGAAGACTTACGCCATGATGTTTAAAGTCTTTGACGATTCAATATTAGTTTAGCAAACTCGACAATATTGTCATAGATTTCGATCTCTACTAGTTTGAGCCTGCCAGTCCCACGACGCATTGATTAATTGGTGAGGGGAGTCGCGGCCTCTGCGATGGTTCCGCCGTTACGGCCTCGCGCAAAATGCTGCGCAAGGTCAGAAAATCGGATTCGGCCGGTTATCGATCAACAGACGTGATCGCAAGACTGCCCGTGGAGCTACTTGACGTGCAGGGGCTATATGCACAGCTTTGTCACACTTGACAGGGCCAAATTAATGGTGTTGACAATTGGTGTTGTTCGGCTTAGGCTCGACAACGCGCTAGCGGCATCCCTAGCTAATGTTGACCCCTCGGACCCCTCGCGGCCCGCCCACTGAAATTGGCAAAGGCGGCTCGCAAGATATTCGCCAGGAATAATCACTGACGCAGAACACCAAAATCATGTTTTTTGATAGAGAATGAATGGAATTTCGATCTGTATGAAGTAGAGAAATGTCATGAATCGACAAACGAGACCGCTTTGCTATGCTTTTCACACCAGCAAACACCGAGCAAAAAACTAAATACATAGGGGATCTCCATAAAGAACACCTTCCCAAAGAAGCACCTTCATCCGGCACTCAATGACACCAAATTCAACGATCATGATCTCATCATTCCGCCCGCAAGGGACATACATGCGGTATATGGCCAATCCACAGATTCCGAGTATCCGTCAAGATTCGCCGTTCCGGAAGCCAGGGAACTTGAGACAAAACGAAGCTTCATCCCATAATGCCGCCAAAAGAAAAAGACGCCCGAAAAGGAAAAGTAGTGCGATTGTTCAATCCTCCCAGCTCTTCTCAACGGTTTCTCGTACTCGTTTGGTGTACTCTCGGCGGTTGTCTTTATAAAGGTTTGAGGCCTCCACATTAGCAGGAGAGGAGGTGTTGGGATCGTTCAGGAGACTGTTCGAAAAGTCCATCATCAGTACTCGTGTTCAGTCCACTGGTAGGAATGAAAGAGCAACACCGATTGTGGGAATTTACCTTTGAATGCTTGTGAGAATGGCAGCTACGTCATAGGTCGGACTCCAGCGATTTTGCAAAATGTCTAAGCACAGCTCACCGGTACCATAGACATTTGGATGGAACATTTGACTGATGAATTTGACCCCCGGAGGTTTATTTGGGTATTGTTCTTCAAAGTGCATCACTAGCCGGAAGGTGCCATCCTCGAAAGGAGTGTCAGCAGGCCCAATAATCACAGCGTTCCTGGACATCATTCGAATTAGCCTTATATGTTCCGATGTGTCGGATTCTCGTAATTTCATCGTAGTCACGTACCAAGTCATGACATTATCGGCAATGGGAGAGGCCGATACTCCGGCGGGGGGATCGGTTTGCATGCGCTGTGACATGGGCAAATTAGCGTCTATTCAATGTAAATGTTGATTCGTAGGACAAAAATTTGAGTCTATAGACAATATGTATCGATGTGGGGTTTATGCAAAAAGCGTGAACTTCAACGCATCATGGCGGGGCTCACCTTGAAATCACGCATCAAACGACGTCGTGCTGAAGTCGACATGATGGTCTCTAAGGCGTCCGAAAATCTAATCGATAATATAGAGAATGGGTAATCTGTGTAGAAGCGATGCAATGCGCAGAGGTTGAAAATGGCTGAGTTGAAACAACTGTCTGGCGAGAGCGAATGTATGATGAAGAAAGGAAGAGAAGACCAGCGGAGTCTGAGAGGCGATGATGTTCCGATCCGCGGGGGGATTATTGGAGGTCGTTGCGGTCACCGTAGATAGCGCCTCACCTAAATTGAAGCGAAACGGGAAGCATTTGGTAAGATTCTCGGATCCGCAATCAACTACGTATTGTAGACGGCAAAAGACGACTTCACCACGTCAGTTGGTCAGCTTGGTCGGGGGTGAAAGAGCACCTTACATGTGCTTTGTGGCTTATCGTTCATTTACAAAAGTCTAGGAATGTGCCATACTGACTTACCTTATCTGATAGCAATACCAACGGTGTAACGGAAAATGGAGCCTCATGACTCCTTTGCCGCCTTACCAGAAGACATGCATCATTCACCGTCAATCAATCTATGATTTTTAATAAAACCAGACAAAACAAATATCAGCATCTTCGATATCTGCGGGATTCTATGAAAAAATTAATCATTGAGCTTTGAACAAAGCCAAGAGCAAGGTCACGAGATCAATCATTATTTGGGGAGACATTTATGCTTTGGGCAACCATTTGGGGTTAGACTGGATTGCTTGCCGTGTGACGCGCTGGCGTTATTCCCCGTCTTAGACCTGATTGGGTAGCTTGCTGTTCATCAAGGTGCCCTCGAGACTAATCCAAAGAAGGAAATTCCGTACCTTATCCAAATCACGCGTGCCCATTTATCCCCCATTTGCCCTATCGTCTGAGCTTCCCCCAGACGGAGCTGATAAGAACACACTGTATACGAGCAGTCGGTAGCTGAACCCTTGAGCTCAGAGAGTCTTAGTCACCGCCCCTCTTCCTGACGCCTATATCTCTCCTCCTCCCCGTTGTCCCCAGCTCCTTGCTGCTTTTATCATAGCTCTGCAAAATTCAGCCTCCGTAGATCATCCTTGCTGTTATATCTGTTTAACTCGGAAAATGGGTGCCTCCCAGTCCAAAGTACCTGACCCAGTAACGAATGAGAAGCTCCCGGAGCGGCTGCGAGCTCTCGAGATTAGGGGAGAAGAATCCTTCTCAGAGAAAACTCTCAAAGGTATCGTAAAACACCAGTGCACATCTATCCTTAGGGTCAGATATTCCAAATCATACGGCTGCTGATCGGTATCTTCTTGCAGTCCCACATTATTCGGCTTCAGGGTCGCCTGATGTCTCAATAACTAAGGCCGAAACATGGGAGAAAGAGCTACTCGAGGACCCAAAGGTATATTCGACCTCGGGTTTAGATCTGAATGAACCAGCTAACCTGGATCACAAAGAACCGTCTCGCCCTGGCGGCACTCTCCTCAAACGCGCCCACTACTGTCTTGACGTCTCGATCCGCTGAAATCGCGGACACGCAGAACTTCAATATCAAAATCCCATTTGAGGGTGGCCCCGTCACTAATCAGAACCGCTCCGGCCGTTGCTGGCTTTTTGCCTCTACAAATGTCTTCCGTGTGGCGCTCATGCGAAGATATAGTTTGGAGCAATTCGAACTTAGCCAGTCCTATCTCTTCTTCTGGGACAAGCTTGAGAAGGCGAATTATTTCCTCGAGCAAATTCTCGACACACTCGACGAAGACTTGGACAGCAGATTGACCCAGACTCTTCTGGCCAGCCCTGTCGGAGATGGTGGTCAGTGGGATATGGTCGCCAACCTTGTTGAAAAATACGGATTGGTAAGTCTGAACAGCACCTATTGTTTCTTGCGCTCCCTGCTGCACAACAACCAAACAGGAATCTGTCACGCCTATAAACCGCTAATTTACATTTGCTCATGTAGGTTCCTCAAACTCTTTATCCCGATTCGTACAATGCACGAAACTCGAGTGCTATGGACACACTCTTGACGACCAAGCTCCGCGAGGATGCTCTGGAACTACGCCGTCTCAGCAGTAAGATTGTCAATGCCAAGTCCTCGCTCTCCGGAGTGAAGGAGAAAATGATGCAGGAAATCCATGGCATAATTACACTTATGCTTGGGCCTCCACCTAGCCCATCCAAGGAATTTACATGGGAGTTTTATGACAAGAACGGCAAGTTCAAGAAGATTGTCACAACTCCACTCAAGTTTGCCCAGGACCTTTCGAGCCCCGAATCTGTTCGCGCTTGCGCAGGAACAGACGTCCATCAACTTTTCAGCCTCGTCAACGATCCAAGGAACCCATACGGTAAGCTGCTCAGTGTATCCAGACTTGGAAATGTCACTGGCGGCCGACCTATTACTTATGTGAACGTTGACATGAATGTGAGTTTCCCTGAACCTCTCCCTTAGATCCATCATTGTGGTCATGGCGTAAATAAAACACTTTCTGACTGTCAACCTTCCTCCTTCTATACGAAAAGACCATGAAATCCGCTTGCATTAGCATGCTTCGCGCCGGTCTGCCCATCTTCTTTGGAAGTGACGTTGGAAAATACAGCAACTCAACGTCGGGCATCATGGACGTCGACTTGATTGACTACGAACTTGGTTTCAACATTAAACTTGGCATGTCCAAAGCGCAGCGCCTCATGACTGGCGAAAGCGCCATGACCCATGCCATGGTCTTGACTGCCGTGCACGTAGTCGATGGCAAGCCTGTCCGATGGCGCGTCCAGAACAGCTGGGGCACCAGCGCTGGCACCGACGGGTACTTTGTCATGAGCGATCGCTGGATGGACCAGTTTGTGTACCAAGCTGTGGTGGACCCGTCCTTTGTTTCAAAGGAGGTCAGAGACGTGCTTAAGAAGCAACCAAAGTCAGTACTCTCTCTACGTATTCCTTTAACAAGCCAAGTTGGTTTTTCTTTACTAACGTATGAAATTATGAACAGGATGCTCAACTTGTGGGACCCAATGGTGAGTATCAATCTTAAATCACCGCACATGTAGTCTGTCACTTGCTAACTAAGAAACTAGGGTGCTTTGGCATAATTTTGCCCGCTTTGGTATATCATAATGAATAGATGGATATATTATGCATGGCGGATGCATCGAATCTTTTAGTTTTGGGTTTCTCGCGTCATATGTTGGATATCTTTTGTACTGTGCTTCCCTCTAGGCGTAGAATTTTGATATCTCGATGCAGCTTGATTTTGATTTGCTCCTTGATTTTCCTCCCCGTTCTGCATAGCTGACTTAGGCCATCATCCGTACTGCAATATGATTTTGTCACCGTTACACTGTGGCCTTGCCAGTAGATAGACCCATTAATCGAGAATAAGAATTATGGCAAACACGAGATGCAGTCAAGAGTTATACCCCCGAGTGACTAATCCCAGTTGACATGATCCTGGATAATTCAAACGTTATATTATATCCTTCTTTGCAAGTGAAAAAGCAGGATTGCTTTCCAGAGCTAAAACAACTCTATGACACCAGTCACGTAATATAATTAATGCAGGGTTCGAATAACATATTCAGCCCTCCAAAAACTCCTTGTACGCCAAACCCTAGTTCTTCCCATGGGATGATCGCGTCTCTTTCTCCGTATTGCGGTTTTTCGAAAAATGCAATGATAAAACCCTCGTGTAAATGTGCCAGTACCGTGATGCGAGATCTGGTAGATCGTCCGGCCAAAATGCTGATGCACCATCGACGCAGACAAAGAAAATTAGAAAGATATTAATAAAGAAGAAGGAAAGCAAGGAAAATGGGAACAGAAAGTAGAAAACAGAAAACTGAAACAGAGAACGGAGAACAGAAGCAAATCTATCGTTTTGCCTCAATCCACGATCCAGCAGCCCAGGCAAGTGCACATGCTAAGAGAGCTCCAACGCCAGCAATCGACTTGGACCAAGTGCGATCTACTTGGACTTTTACCGCGCCGATGTTTTCTCTGCGGATTCTTCTTGCTGCTGCGGCTGCTGCTTCACCTCGTGGCTCGGCTTCGGCACGCCCAGGCTGGGCAGCAGGAGGTGATGCAAAAGAAGAGGAAGAAGAAGATTGAGCCTGCCGCTCGGGCGTATCAGACCGCTTGCGCTTCTTGGCGATCAATTTGCCCAACTGTACGAGATCTTCTTTCCACTCGGACGCGTTTCCTGCGCCTGAACCGCCGTTTTCGACTTCCACATTCTGGACGTTGCCGAAGAAATCCATGACAAGCCTGCTCCGCGCAGCTTCTTCCCCGCCGGTAAACAAATCGTACCGGATCCCAGGGTGCGAATGGATCTTCGCCTCGTCGTAGCTGTCGAATAAATCGCCAAGAGTCATCTTGGATGAAGGCTCTCGAACATGGGTCTCCAAAAAGTCCAAGTTGTAATACGTATATCGATCAATGACGGCGACGCCGACGTCGTTGTCTGCGTGGTGGGAATAAGACGACTGGTCGATTTCCGAAGAGCCCGTGGAGATGATGTTTGGAGAGTAGATTTTGCTGTACATTGTGTTGGCTTGGCATGTGTCGATCATGAAGAGCATTTCGTGGTATCTGTACACGACAGGATCATCAATTCTCTGTAATTCCATGAAGCGGCGGATTTTCCCCAGAAATATATCACAGAAAGGATGTGAAAGCAGCATACCTCTTCTTTTCCCACATTTGCTCAAACGCATCAGCGAGGTCAAACGCGCTGATCTCTTCTGCATCCTGAAACTTGAGAAACTCGTTTCCCCCATGCCCAGTCATGTATACAAGAATATTACTCCGATCGTCTGTCAAGAGCCGCTTGCTTCGAGGCATTTCTTCTCCAACCCGATCGGTCAGTAGTCTGATAAAGTTCTCCACAGTGACTTCGTATCCGCGATAGTCGACTTCAATATTATCTCCGTAAAGATCCAGTGCTCGATCGGCGTTGTTGTATACGGTTCCCGGAAAGGCATTGCGCGGGTTGCAGGCCATGTCGTCTGGTAGCATGAGAATGATCTGCGAGTCGGGGATCCCAAGCCGTTTGACGGTCCGGTAGAGTGATAGCACATTGGCCAGGTGTCGATAGTTGAACCAAAAGCGCGACGTGCATACCAGAACGGCCCAATTCGATGTATGCTCTGCGCTCGCAAGGGCCAGATATAGGAGTAACCCGAAGAGGGTCAAAAGTAGGCGCATCTTGAGGATGGTTGAGTGTGTTGAGTCTTTCTCTATTTGTGCGAATTCATATGGTTATGCGGATATGGTGCCCGCACGAGACACCGGTATTTCAGGTGCTTCTGTGCTTGCTGTATAGAATGCCTAGGGTGGTGTGTTGGTGTTGTTCTTGAAACAATCAGGATGGCTTATGGTGATTAGTGATGATGATGTTGCCCCGTGCGCTACGTAGGAGCCAAGGGAGGAAATGCTAACTGTAAGCGTCCGTTCTCTTACCCGACTACCGATACCAGACTTTGCAAATCTCGCTACTACGGTAGCTAAATTTGGCGTAAAGATGCTGTTAGTTTTAGCCCCATATCGTGTTGCCACTGGCCAAATTGTTATAAAGCTGGCTGTTGCTTTCCAGCGAAAATAGGACTTTTGCTCAGCATGAGTTGAGCCTGGTTAGGGTATATGACCCCGGCAGTCTGTTGAAAATTGATCTGTATTAAAAAGGAATTTTTGAAGATAAATATCATGTCCAGTATCTTACTTCTGGTCTTCAATTGTTTATTTGATATTTTGTGATTCAAGCAATGGGAATATAATAGTTGTATTCTTCTATGGCTCGCTCATTTGGGTCATGCCTGGACCGTCTGCTCCATGATTATCCGCCCCTCTAGTCTTGGCCTGATACCGGTTGTCCAGCTCGGCATGAACTCGCCCTCATCATCCCAGACCATACCAACATTCTCCCTCTTGACGCCAGCCAGTCTCATCCATTTCCTGGTAACCATCCTCGCCACAGTGCATCTCCTTTCACGATGGTGGGTACCTGGAGAGGCCCTGCCAACAGTCATCGTTTCGTCGTCTGTATCATAGTCTAGTTCGGCTGGCTTTTCTTCAACCGCAGGTTTCGGTGCTTGCGGATCATCCGTGTCGGTTGTCGTTTGACCAACCGGTGCTTGCGAGTCGGGCTCTTTGAAATAACCGCTCTCACACATGCGCTCATGAATATTCGTTAGATGCATTCGAATGTGTGGACCCATTCGTCGCCATTTCCCAATAACTTTGAGGCTCATAAAATATTGACGCAAAATTGTGCTGATCATGACGCCCTGCTCTTCTGAGACCAATTCTTCTGCTTGCCCGCCTTCGCTTTCGACAAGTAAGGATTGGAAACCGTCTTTCCCTCGGCCCATATACCCTCTTGTACAGAGGACATATTTTCGTTCGAGATCGAGCGGACCATCCCCGATGCGCGCCCATAGTATCCTTGATCCAGACGGCGCTTTAGGATTGAACTTGAATTGAATGCTAGAAACTTGCGAAAAACGACCTGCAATGTCTCAAAGTCAGTGGTCTACTTGCTTCGCGTGTCTAAAAAGACAGTCTCACCTTCCAATGCTGGATATTTGGAAACAGAGTTCTCTAATGCTTCTAGTATGGCTCGGCCAGTAACTCTGAGAACAATGACGGGATCTTCAAAAGGAAAGCAGTTCATGATGTCTTTCAGATGAATGATACCAGGAGAATAGATCTGATCTCCTCTGATTGTTCCTCCAGCCATGAGCGCACAATCAGCGTTGTAGTAGTGACGCATCAAATCGCACACGAAATTTCCTAAATTTGACTCTTTCAAACGGGCCGTCTCAAATCTGGCATCGAGAGGCACTGCTGAGTATCCTATAGGCTTTTCAAGTTTTGCTGCAGAAAAAGGTTGGCTAAACTACTTTGCTGTGTAGACCTGATGAGATGCTCACCTTTCAAGCTTGTTTCAAGTCTCTCAATCGCTTGAAGCGTCACAGGATCCTCTGCTACCTCGCGCAAGACGTCTCGACGAGTAATGTCAAAATCCCATCCATGGCTTCCGTCTTGCTTTTTCCGAGCTTCAATGTAGCTTAATTGCCTGAAGTCGGTTCCAGAGCGAAGAACATGGGTTTTATTAACGAAATGATGACCATAAAAGTGATCATGACCGCCCATAATAATATCGATAAGCCCTGGTGTAGTTTTCTCTGCAAGTTTTAGATCATTGGGTTCACGCTAGTTGTGCGTCGTGTGTCAGTGAGTGACCAAGGAAAAGGGAGGCATTCTTAGATACCATATGTGTAACAGCGATGATAATTTCTGCGCCTTGGGCTCTTAGCCCAGGCACCAACTCCTCAGCAGTCGCCGATGCTGACTTGTATATAAGATTCGGCGGTAAGGAATTAATCGTCTCCAGCCTACCCTTATCAACATTCTGGTGCTTAGAGGTTGAGAGGCATTAAGTCATCTTACCACTCGCGCTCAACTAGTCCAATAACACCGACTTTAATGCCATTTGAAGAAGTGAGTATCAAAGTCTTCTGACAGTTTCCAAGAGCCGCATTTTCTTCAGCCAGGTCTGGGTCCAGCACGTTGGCTATAAGCCAAGGGAACGTGCATCGCCCCGCTAAATATCGAAACTGCGTTACACCAAAATCAAGATCATGATTCTTGGGCAGTATTAGCTCCTGATTTTAGATTATCGGCGCCTTGGAAACATGACTCACTCCCAAGCATGCCACATCGATGCCTGTGCCATTGAGGAAATCGATCATGTGAGCACCTTTGCTGATTGCTTGAAACAGATTTAGCCTTAGTCCTTTTCGAAAAATGGAACATTTATTGAATCCTTACTGCTTTCAATTGATGGGTTGAATGCATCTCCGGAAAAGAAGGTCAATAATTTGGGTTGCGAATCATATTGTGGGGAGTTGTATTCGTTGATGAGGGTCTGAAACCGAGCGATGCCGCCGACGGGATCCTGTGATCCGGCTCTATCAAAGTCAGTCAGCAAACCCCCTTTTCTTAACTTTCGTAAACAGTTTTAGAAACAAACATACTCTACGTGGTATACATCATTGTAATGCAAAAGACGGAGATCTGGAGGATCATTTCGGCCGCTAGAGAATGTAATCGATGTACCAGGTGGAGCCATGATAAGCTACCACCAAGAAGTAAAGGAGTATGGTTTGTCAAATTAACATCTAATTAGACTTTGGTGCCGAATCAGTCCGTGCTAAAATTTTCTCTGGCCTTTGTTGTCCTACTCCAGCGGCACCAAGCCCATCACCTCATTTGAGTCATAGCGTGCCCCAGATCCGCGATATTGCCGCAAAATACCGCCTTTGCGGGAGTAACCACAGAACTACCCACTAGTCTATATTCGGACAATTGAACCTTACAGAGTGATCATGGATGTGTTGATATCATGAAAGAACATTAAAACACGGCCCTGAGCAGTTCTGCTTCGGCTACCAAACAGACTGGAATAAAGACTTTTCTTTACGAATGAAGAGAGGGTTTTCATCCCTAGGATCTTACACCTTGCACAATGCATTGCGAGCGCCCCAAGAATTCATCGATGCTAAGGGTTGAAGGGAAGCAAGATATCATCCGGCAATACGATCATCAAATGCCGGGTTCGCAATCACTGATCCAGATGCTCTGTAAGTATATAATTGATTGTCATTTTTTTTGGGGAATGATTATATTATTATCATACAATGTGACATCGTGCCTTAATTTGGAAACCCGTAAAGATATATCCAATCCCAGTCATCATTAGTGAGTAGAGTAGTGCAACTTCGAGGCAGAGGGTCCAACCTGGCTCTCTGATATCTCTGTAGAAATCCAGATATACCATTGAAACCACAATCCACCCTCCCTCTCGAGCGGATACATGTCATGTTTTCATAAATATTTTATACAAAGCAAAGTATTCATAACGGAATTCCACAAAGGATTTCCTTCCGCAACGCCTCTCATGCTATTCATGACAGAGTCTAGGCATCAGGTGTCGCGAGATTCATCAATTGTCCACCGTCTCTTCGGCCCCTTGTCGCGTTCAGTCTTCACCGGCGAAGGAGAAGAACCCCAAAGCCCAGCTTGACTTGGTCGCCGTAATTCGCCACTGATTGACAATGCGTACTCGTCTTCTGTGTCGAGCTCATCGGCGGTTGTTGCAGCCCGAGGCCTGCTCAGAGTCTCCTGTGTTTCCTGGAGTATCTGTGGCTTTGACCACAGGCCTCCCACCGAATTGCTCCGTGAACCCAAAGCGTGAGATCGCGCAAATGTGGAAGCAGAGCTAGAGCTTCGTCGAACGCCCCCCGATGCCGCATTTACTTCGGCCAGGGCAAATGCTCTGTCGGCCTGGGTCGTGCCCGAGGCAAGGGAACCTACCCGCTGTCGATGGTGCGATACTTGTGCGTGGAGTTTTGGAGAACCTTGCTGGATAGTGACAAGAGGGTTTGACCCTGGTCTGAGATGTTCAGTCGATGCGACAAGCTTGATATCATACGTCTCTGACAAGCCAGCGTCAATAGAAGATCTGCGTCGGTTCATGATCGCCTCGGACATGGATTTCTCTGCATCGGCTGGCGATCCGGGCCGCGGAGTCATAGTATCCTTTCGTACCGCCATAGAGAGGGATGCCATACCCACATCTAAGAGCACAGGCTGATTTGTCAACGCGCCGATGAGTGCGTTGCAGCCAGCGCCGTGAGTGACTAAAATCAAGACAGTATCCTCATCATCGTCACCGTTGTCCGGGGTGTCCGGACTCTTGAGGCCACTCTGATCCTGATTAGTATACCATAAAACCATCCTTTGGAGGCCGTTTCGAAAACGTTTATGCATGGAGCTCCATTCTTCGCCATATTCACCGCCATCTCCCCATTCGAGTGGCTCACGCATGCTGTCCCATTGATAATCAACATCTACGCAATGATCCCGTGCATGTGCAACGTAACCACGTGGGATCGGATCCGAAGTCGAAATTGCCCAGGTAGGCGTAGGCGGAGTATACCCCATATCTGCCGGAGCGGGTGACGCGATTTTGTTGACAGCTCTTCCTCCGGCTCTGCCATTGCTTGCACTGCTAATACTAGTAATACTGCTCGCCCTATCCCTGCGCGAGAGAGCATCCTGAAGCTCAGAGGCAGGCGACGGGGATAAGTCGTCCCTAGTGGCCGCGTTAGGCTGAGCAGCTGAGCTTTTACCGCTCCAACCTCCTGGGAAGTGTCCTTGACTGGGGCGCTTGTCAGAACCGTCCTGTGCGGAATCCATATAGTCGCCGCGGCGAAGGAGGTCTGCCTTTGCTCCAGCAACCATCATCAACGAGGCTGGTGGTGGCGTAATCTCCTCAAAGTAGTCTGGCGAGAGCCATTCGCCCAAAAATGCGTCGACACGTAGGACTGGCCTTTTGAGATGTTTGCGATGATGCGCCTTCTGCAGCACATGACGAGTTGGGGAATCGTGAGGTTCGGGAATAGCTTCCAAGCTTGAGGAGCGTGCTGAATCGCCGCCACGTGCAGGCGATCGAGAATGCATGCGTGCAGGCCTTCGATTTGCAGGATGGTGGGCGCCATGGTATTGGGCCATGCCAGCACTAATTGCGATGGAGGTCTGTACACACCGGGAAAAGGGAGATGTATGGATGTAGACCTTGTGCTTTCGGCGAGCGCCTTGCGAGGGGCTCGGAGATTGGCTCTGCTGACCGCCCGGTGACGAGGCATCGATGTTTGTCTGATTTATCTCTGACGCAAGGCTATCCACACTACCCTTTCTAGAGGTAGCACCAGATCTCTCTCGCGCATGCAGAAGACTGGCTATTCTAGCACCTAAAGCCCTTGACTGAGTCCAACCTCCGTATGTCAGGGGGGAGTCGTACGGTGTAGGGGAAGTAAAGTGCCATTGTCGGTCGGCAGCATCTAATCGCGCTCCATGCCTGCCCGTTTTCATTAATCGCAAATTCCACCGTTGTGTGTTTCGCAAGTCCAGCTAGGCTGTCCTTAAACTGAGAACCATGACGTACCTGACAACAATGACAACCGCAGGTGGTCCACCCATTGCACCAACGGTTCACAGCAATGCAGTCGCACAGCTGATCCTACTCCGGAGCTCCCTTGCCAAGCAGTAGATAGATTGTGCAGGGGATTCAAGCTGATGTCGACTATTTTAAAGACCGGCGAGAAGTTGGGGGCGGCGGCGTGTGGGGACAAAAGGAGGGGAAGCGCCTCAGTAGTGACGCGAAACAAGTCGAAAGATAATATGCGGGGTGAATCAAAGAATCAAAATACAAGTCCAGTAGGATGCAATTCAGGGTTTGAATCGACCAGGATGACCGCAGCGCGCTATCCGCAGTTTGAGGACGTCCAATTGCTTTGTTGGAGGGGTATAACTGTGACAGTATACGTCAAGGCAGCAAACCACAAAACTAAGCGGGCTCTACCTCCGTACAAGTACAGAATACGCGGGGAATAATAATCCTCGGTATGCGACGTACAGCACGGACACAGGTAATCAGAATTCCTCTGTTGTCAAGTAAGACAAGATGTGAGGAAGTCAAGGTACTGAAAAACAATTTGTACAATTCTACTATTTTTTTTTTCTTTTACTCCGTGCTCGGAGTCACGATAAACTATCACTTAGTCAGGGTTGGGGATTTTTCTTCAAGGATGGAGGAAGGCGACCCCGGTGGGCCAGAACGAAAGACCCTTTCTAAGCTCGTCATTCTCGGCGTTTTTCTGCTTCTAGTGACTGAGAAGAGTAAAGGGCCCGATTTCATCATCGTGAAGAATGAAAACGATGAGTAAGCAGTGACATCTTATCTTGATAATCTCTGAGTTACGCAGGTACTTGTGCATGGTGCATTATTTGCACAGAGACGCGACCCGACGCGTCTCCCAAAAGCCAGGAAAGGAAGGTACGGCAAAAGTGAAGGCGCCAGCTTGGACGTCAACCAGCAACACGCTCTTTCCCAAAAAGTGTGAGGTCAACATTGGTCCCTTAATCGCCCCCCAGAAAAAGACATTTTATTGACGACAACAATACTGCTTTATCGACCTTGGCCTTCATCAGAACAATTCAGCGCGTCAATATGGCCTTGTAGTCGTTATATTATCGTATTGGGGGGAATGGTATTTGTCGCGTCATATCACGTTAACAGAGAACCCCGCCTGTGCCAACAATACATGTCACTGGAGGCCTGGTGATTCATAGACGCCGAATTCAACGCATCGCGGCGCGTCGATCTTTGGAAACTCATCGGCGGTGAGAGCAATGTATCTCCCGCGGAATATCATTTCCCACCTCTACCTCCATCTTCTTGAGACGCATCATCCGCTATCTCCGCCTGTTCTGCTCCTTGTAGCCCTCGAACCAGATGCACTCTGCGCGTGCCGAATACTGACGGCACTTTTAAAACGCGATTACATACCACACAAGATTCAGCCTGTTTCCGGATATGGCGACTTGGAACGAGTTGGGGCGGAATTGGTTAAGCCGATGCGGACAACGGAAGGTGGTAGCGGTGGGGTGGTAGTGTGCCTAGGTGCCGGGGGTCTCGTCGATCTTGCCGCGACACTAGGTCTAGACGTCTACGAAGAGGGTCAAGATGCCATGGGCGGGATAGAAGTCTGGGTCATAGACGCAAAACGACCGTGGAATCTGGGGAATGTGTTCGGCGGTCATTCATCACTACCTCCGGTGGATGATGGCGAGGGAGGAGATACGTGGGTTGGAGAAGATGGTGTTATTCGCGGTGAAATACAGAAGACATATAGACCGGGGAAAGGCGGAATCATTGTCTTTGATGATGGCGACATTGCCGAAGATTTATCGGCAGAAAGGGAAGCGTACTGTGCACTTGAACGAATGCCTGATTTAGGAGAGGATCTCGACGATGACATTGACGGGTCGGGATCGGAGTCCGGAAATGAAGAGGACGAGCCTTCTGTCAAGCAACCACAAACAAAGAAACGCAAGTCATGGTCAGATAGAGAAGAGGACTCAGAGAGTGAGGACGAGGAAGGAAGGCCAAGGCAAAGACGAAGAAGCAATTCGGTATGTGACCCTCGAGCCAAATAGACTTAATCCTATGTTGCTAACGTCCATTGCAGTCATCATCCATACCTTCTCCTAGCCGTCCCGCTCGCCGAGGCCTTCTTGTGACGACGGACGATCACGATACGGAAAATGACATAAGGGTCAGCCGCACACCATCGCCAGTAGCAGAGGTGAAGCAACCGTCCGCGCGAACATTGCGTCGGCGTTTGCTCCGTCTTCGACGAAAACACGAATCCACGCTGCAGTCATACTACTCGATTGGCTCATCGTACTCGGAGCCTATATCGTCCCTCGTGTACTCACTTGCTTCCGAGCTTGGCCGGGAGGACAATGATCTTCTATGGCTTGCAATCGTTGGTGTGGGCAGTATGGAATTGTACGGGCGCGGCATGACCGGTGTTGCTATTACGCATCGGGACGACGTGGGAGGTTCGGCTGGTTGGGGTGGCGAGCGCGGAGAGCGAATACGACAGGTATTGCGGGACGAAGTGCGGCGTCTTAATCCGCCAGATTTGTCGGATAGTAGGGACTTTACAAGGGGTGAGGGCAATGGGGTAATACCAACCACGGCACGGTCACCAACAGATACATCCATTCGACTATCTCCGGAACCCCGGTTTCTGTTAATCAGACATTGGAGCCTATACGAGAGCATGTTACATTCTCCATACTTGTCGGCCAAACTTCACATATGGAGCGATGCAGGACGAAAGCGGTTGCATAAGCTGCTGGCAAAAATGGGCGTGAGCTTGAGTCAATGCAAACAAAGCTACACACATATGGACATGGAGCTCAAACGCGACCTACGCCAGAGTCTGTTGAAATATGCTCCTGTTTATGGGCTCGACGGACTCGTTCCTCCATCTGCAAGCGTGCATAGAGGGAAAGAAGGCTGGGGATTTGTGCGAAGTTGGGGCTGGAAGGCTTGCTTGAGCTCCACCGACGTGGGAGTCGTCGTCGGAGCGATTCTCGAAGTTGGAAAAGCTGGTGTCAGTAACTTTGAAAGATCCAATCCTGAACGAGATAGAGCCGATCCTGTAGATGAGGACGGCAGCCTGGAGAGCGAAGAATGGGTCGGAAGGTTTTGGGAGGCTTATGATGCCTTGGAAAAGTAAGACTCTGAGATAGCAATCTTGATCCCTTTTTCTTGTACTAACACATGTATAACAGCATCGACGCGCTCAAGACGGCTCTACCAATAGCCATGCATCTGCACCGCGCTATCCTTCGTACCGGTACCGCACTCATTGAAAAGCGTCAAATCCGTCATCTACGAGCTTTCCGAATGGCTGTCGTCAAAGAAGGTCCAGACGTTCAGCTGTTCACCCACCCTGCCGCACTTACAAAACTGGCGCTATGGATTGGAGAGGCTATTGCCGAGCAGGAGAAAGAGCAAAAAGGCAAGTTGGGCCGCGGTGGCAAAGGCACTCCTCTCGTCGTTGCAGGTCTGAACGAACACAGAGGGATCTATGTCGTGGTAGGCACCGGCGGCGGTGGCGGAGTCGTTGACATTCTCGCGCGACGAGAGCGAAAAGAAAAAAAGGAAGCAAAATCGAAAGCAAAGGAAGCAAAAAAGGCCGAAAAAGAACGAAAAAAGCAGGAAAAGAAGGAATCCGGACAGACAAATGATGATAACGACGATGAAGAGGAAGAGGAAGATACCGAAGAGGAAGACAGCGACGATGATTCGGATGACTCGGACGACGACGAGGACGTTGAGAAGAAGGGCTATGGCAGGAACCGCTTCGGAAATGCGTTCCAAGAAGTTGTCGAAGAAACCAATGCCCGAGTCCGCATTGATAGCTTCGAGCACTGCGTCGTCGAGGTCAAAAAGGAAGATCTCTCCGCTTTTCTGGAATCTCTAAGCATGAAAGCTGTCGTTGGGTGATGATCTCAGCTACAGATCTTCATTTAAGAAAATGGTGTGCATGGAGATCATCCATAACCTCAAATTGGCTTTTGGGTTGGAATGGCACCCGGGTCCTGCCTCTGGTGACTAGAGGGGCCAGCGGTCTTACACAATCGGAATTTAAAAAATACTGGCGGCGCTTGACTTGACTTGACTTGGCATGACGAAGGACTGCTTCCATGTTATATCCCTTTTTCTTTGTTTTGCTTTTGCCTCCCTCTTCCTTTTGCTCATCTTCCCTTTGCTTCCAACGTTTTTTCCCCATTTTAGTCTCGCATAGCGGGTCGTGCGTTGTATTGCATTGCATTGCATTGCTACGTGTTTGCTTTTATCGTACTTTATGACTAGGGCGTTGGAAGTTCTTGTCTTTGGCTCTTTTCTTTTTTTTAACCAACTCGTTTTCTATTAGTCTTCCCCCGTCTGATTGACAGACAAGCAGAACAGTACGACTACATCTCGTACAACACACAGTACTACTTTACCATACTTTATATCCGGAATATTATTATCAGATTACTATTACATGTAGAATCTATTTGCTCTCGCTCACATGGACGTTCGTGATGTCTCTTGTAGGTAGCGGAATATGCTATTGTGAAATTGGGTTGACTCGGTGTCTATAGACGTTTTTATAAAATAACTTGCTTCTTTTTTCTTTTTTATTGTTTGAATGTTCAGAATGGGATACCCCGTTTGGTAATTGATAATTTATAGAAGTGGACATGACTTCATGCCACGTCGTGGTTTTGCCTTGCCTTGCCATGCCGAGTCACAGAGACAGATAGGTGGTGGATAAAAAGGCAAAAATATTCACCTCAAAGTCTAGTCCAGCACACCAGTCCCGGCATTCAAACTTCCCCTCGTGGATTAAGACGCCAAAAAGTAAATACGCCTTTAATACCCCAGGAAAAATAAGCAGCACCTCGTTCGGGGAAAAAAAAAACGAAAATGTAGCTTTAGTGTTTAGTTTCGTTCCCCGCAGTAGCAACCTCATTTCGCAGCCAGTCTCTTCTCGATATTCGCTCTCTCATCGGCCCGCATGGTCGCCATATCCGTCTTTGTCGAGTTAAACGATCCGTGCAGCTGGTTCATGGGGTTCTCCGGCGACTTGTCGAATTCCTTCTTGATCGCCTGTTCACGCTGGCTGCGGTTCAGACCCTGGAAATCGTCCGATCCTTCTCTGGCCTCTTTGTACTTGAGGAACGCCGCCTTCAACCGCCGCTCAGGGTGTTTGTCGATCTTGTCCTGCGTCCGAGACGTAATCTTCAGCGCGTCCAGCGCGTCGTCCAGACCGGAGGCATTCAGTGCGGCAGAAGGCCCGTCGTCATCCAGCTTCGACAGGTCGAGCGTGCCCCGGCTCGGGGGAGCGGCCGCGCTGGTCTTCTTCGCTGCGGACTTGCCGCCAGATTTGACGGGCTTCGAAGGCAGAGAGGCAGCTTCTTCGGCCTCGAGAGCGGCTTTGGCGGCTTTGCTTTCTTGTAGTTTGCGGCGCTTGTCTTCGGCCGCGTCTCTGGATTAGGGGAGGAGTGAAGTGTTAGTAGACACGAAATCTTTGTGACGTTGAGAGTTGGAGCTCGAATCCTGCAACAGAGCTCCCTCTATGGGGTTGCAACTGTCGCTCGTGTGTAGGGTGACGCATATTATCGTGCGGGGTTGAGTGTGAACATGGGAGAATAAAAATTTAAATGGGGACGGGAAAGTTGGGAAGAACGTCTGGGAAGGGAGGAAAGCAACTACTGGAACGAGAGAATAGAACGTACTTCTTTGCGTTCGATTTGGCGCCCTTGGACCACTTATCGTCTTCAGCAGCGGCTTCGACGGCGTCCTTGTCGGCTTGCTTGCGGGCTGCAGTGTCGGCCTTGCGCGCGTTGCCAGCGGCCTTTTTGCTGTTTTCGCCGGCAGCTTTCTTGCCTGCCATGATCCCAGAAGAAGTCTAAGTAAAATAAATATATAAAGGTTCAAAGGTAAAGAAAGTAAGGATGGGTTGTGCGAAGGGCGATGTGGGGGAGAATGGAAAAGGTGGTTGGAAGAGAGAATGAAAAGGATGCGTTCAGTGTGTAAATTGACAGTGCTCTCCTACTGACAGCCCCGCCACAGCGAACCCGGAAGAAATGACTTCAGCGGAGGCACAAGTAGCTTGCTGGTTCAGTCTTTGGTGCGATTATCATATTATCTAATCAGATGGCGAGCTGCCTCATCCGCCGACGGGCCGAGTAAGTTTTAGTCTGGAAGCTAAAGTTCCGATTCGGAGGGGGTGCATGCCTACTGCGGACAAAAGTCAAGTTGAATCTGTTCTTACAAACAATACATTTTTGTTATTGTTCAGTTATAGAAACTGTATGCTGATGATATTTTATATTATTTATAACGGCCAATATCTGTATGGATGAAGAATGAGTTCAGAAAATACAAAAGCCGCCACTACAGACACATGCCTGCCAAGAAGATGACTTGTTTCGCCATGTCCCGCTAAACGTCCTTTTTATGCAAAATAGCTGGTCGCAAGTGTTGATGCTTTGTCGAAAGGCACAAATATAACAAGGTAAAAGAAAGTATCACCAGCCATAAACACGATTGGAGTCCCGTGCTGTTCGTTTTGTAGCTGGTGGCGGGGGCGCAGTCGGAATAGTAGTGGTTTCTCTCCCAACGCTGTATCGTCGCCGCCTCTGACGTCGCCTCTCCTCGGATCCTGGCGCTGCCTCCGGGTTCAAGCTGCCTCTTCCAGGTTGTCTTGGGGGTGTTGATGGCTCTTGTTGAGGCGGTTGCTGGGGCGGAACTTCTGGCTGCGGATGGCTGCCGACAGAGGGCTCAGCAACAGTAGGAGAATTATCGCTCGGCAGCGTCAGTTCGACGAGGTTGTAAAAGTAATTCAGGACATCTGGATATGTTTGGATAGTATGGCGCCAATCCTCGTCGATCCCTCGCTTCAGCTCGATTTCCATCTGCGCCATTTGTGAAGGGTGCGGACCGCCAAATGGAAAGTAGGCGGGGTTGTTGTGCAGAGACGCGAGATAGGACGCATGCTGTTGTTTGCGAGCAGCGGAAATTGCGGAAAAAGTTTGTAGAACGTATTGTCTAGCATGTTCAATAACCCAATCTCTGCCAATATGCATTCAAATGTCAGCCATCAAGAAAAATGTCCCAATAACAGGCCAAGCCAAATCTTGTAGAGAACGGAAACCATGTTCGAAGATTATAGTATGAGAGATTTACCGTATCTTGTCCAGCATGGGCTCCATTATCCTCTTCTCGGCTTGTTGAACCGCGATCCTCAATCCATCCGACTCACACGGGCATTGCGCCTGAGGCGGCGCATTGCATATTGCACAGTTCGGCACCAGCGAGCTCATGGGAGCCAGTGTTCCTGCAGGAGGACCAGGTATCAGCGCGGTGTCTGAAGACATGGGGACAAATAGATATGAATGCAATGAAAAAGGACACTGAGAGGCGTAAAGAAGGCGTCACAAAAGTAAATTTCGATCTTCTTCAAACTCGTTGTTTTTCTGAAGGGAATTAAAGATGAAGAAACGATTGATGAAAGTAAATGGCATTTAGCAAATGCCTCATCTGCACCATGCCAACAAATAAAACTCCCAGAAATCTCCTTTTAATCATTAAAAGCGGGAAACGGATGTGGCTTACAGCAAAGCAAAAGGCAGTAACGCTGACGCCTATTGGCCCTATTAGCAGGTTGCCAGCTATCGCACAACTCTATTCGTCTAGCAACGATGACTTGACACCAACCAGACAACGAGCTTCTCACAATGAACTCTGACTGGTGCCCAGAAAAGAGACAAAGGGAGGAACGTGAGGGATTGAATGCCTTAGTTTGCCTCCAGCTGACTTTGTACGGGAGTGGGAAAAGTAGCTGGACTGAGCCGTCCATTCACCGACGGAAAAACTGGGCCGTGTTGGCCGGGGCAGTAGCGCATTCAACTATCACCAGCCATATTTGCCATGCGTAAGTTTTGGTTCGGCTTTATTCTTGCATCAATAATGCAGCTTGTGTGCTGGTCCATAGGCCATTTTTTTCTCGGGGGCGGCGAGACCCCGCCTTACTGTACTATGCTGTGCAGTTAATTACAGTGGGAGTATAGGACCCATCCACGTCAAGGGCCGAGCCATTTCCCCGCCGGTGACACTACTGGCGGGGCCACCGAATCAGCCGAATTGGCGACAAACGTCAGCACAACTCAGGTAAATAAGCCAGGGTACCTTATTCATGCTACGAAAGCGCTTGAGGGGGATGCCATGCATAAATAATACATGTTTGCTCCAAATTATATGACGGTTGAGACACCACACGTGATTTCCAAGTGGTTTCATTCCCGCTCGAGGAGGATGAGGTTTGCTTGTATTTGGTCGACATGATATCGTTCTTACATGGAAGTTGTATTAGAAGATAAGATCACGCTGTAAGTGGTCTCATTTCATACAGCGTTTGCTGCAGATATTTCATCTGTTCATTGGCCCATTTCTCCATTTCTGGCACATTGATCGTCTCCATCCGACAGAACCCTTCCTCGCCTTGTGCATCAGCCTTCTTTACATTCTCTCGATACCGTTCTTGCAAGCTGGCGAGAGTAAGACGGGCCCGTTCGGCCAAGACCTCGAGACGGTAGGTCGTCCACTGATAGTACAGCTCCGAAAGCTGCGACTTGTTCCTGACATTCGCATTCGTCGTTTCGTCAAGGAGCATCGGGTCCTTGGGCCGAAATGATGTCACAATGGTAATTCTTTCGGGCATGTTTGTCGCGGGAATCGCGGTGTGTGTTATATATCTTCCTTGAAGCAATACGGCGCCCCCCTGTATCTTTCGTTAGATTTTTTTTCATACAATTTATAGTTCATTTTTAAGTAATTCTTTACCCAACTACGCGTTAGGCATGTGTATTATCTCGATCGGGAGAAAAGGGAAAGCAAAAAAGCAAGAAAAAGAAAGAAAGAAAAAGTAAAGAGAACGATAATAGAAAGAATTGAAGAAAGATAAGAACCTACCATCTGCGGTGCTCTCACTTTCAGACTCGATCCATCGGCCTTCAACAGCTCAGTCTCCCCTCCCACCATGTGTCGTGCATCCGATAGCATGACCACACACACCCACGGATGAGAATCCTTATGCCACTTGATAATCTCCTCTTTTCTGTCAGGATTTTCTACAGGGGCGGACTCCTCGGAGTCACCATTTTCCTCAGTAGCCGTGGCCGCTGGCGGCTCAATTGGCGTCTTCCTAACAGCATCAATTCCCCCCGGCCCAAGCTGCACATTCGCATGGCTAATCTCGTAGTCCATGGCCGGAACGAGCTCGACCTGTGCCAAGTCGCTCACAATCTTGAGCAGTTCGGGGGAATGCCAAAACTGGTGAATAAACGGCGCGTATCGAGGTGCCATTCCGCGCAATTGGACGGATCCAGGGTATGTGTGAGAAAGACAGTTGTCGAGGACGTCATCGCTGAAGAGCTCGCGTCGATGTTGAAGCACACCCTCATGTGAGAGAAGAGGGAAGGGTTCTGTCACGGCCACTGGTGAGAGTGCAGTTGAGTCGTAGCCCAAGTCTTTCATGGGCAAGATAGTGGATGGCGGAGAAAACTCTAGGTGTCTAGCTGGGTCGAATTGAACAGTGGGTGGTGCTGAGACCTTTGCATGGCGGCTGTCTATTTTGGTTTCCATTATTGCTGTTATTTCGAACTGCTTTATTCTTTGAAAGGCGAAATGAGCCTGTCAACTGAAAGGCAATATCGCTGCGCCCTGTCCGTGTTATATACACACATTGACAAATATCCGCGCAGATATACCGGGTATGCATAGTAATAGATAGTAGCATTATGATGGACGTAGTGTTACTTCCAGCCCGCTGTAACATTGCAATTACATCCATTGAGTGATTGAGTCATTGAAAGACCTGCCTAAATGTTTGAAAGTCTCGTATCATATCAATTTCTGCGTTATAATCATGACCAGAAAAGACCAAAGCAAAGACAGAGAACCAATGACTGTTTCTGTCTTATCTGAGACCACAACCCAGACCCAAATGATTGATTTATCTAGGCGTATCAATTACTACATGTCTGCATTAAACCGCGCTTGCAGATTTTTGTGGTGATTATCACTTTCCTACCGGTCGAGATATCTTAGGCCAGTATAGTAGATTTCTAGTGGTAGAGTAGGCAAATCAAACTAAACTATACCTAGAAATAACTTCCCGGGTGCTCAGGTTGGGGAAGCGGCAGGCGGAGGCTGTCGCGAGTTGAATAGGGATAAGAGATAGTTTGTCCTGCTGGAGTAGCCCAGAAGCGCAAGCAGAGGAAGCTGATAAGCATTCCCGTCCCTGCAGATCAACGATTCACCCCGCGGCCCTCCGAGGGAACTCTGAGCTATCTCAAACCGCGTGGTTTCAGTCCAAAATTTAGGGGGGGTTTTGATCCGCTACGATTCACCCACCTACCTAGAACAGTTATACAATACGGTTCGAAACTTACACTAACGCACTGTCTATCGGGCACTTATATTTAGCATATTACCATATATTGTTTTAGATCCTGCCACAAGCATAGGACTTTTTAGAAAAAAAAAATTCCTATGCAATAATTTTAATCGAATAGTTTCAACAGAGACTTTCCCAATAGTTGTGTAAGAATGTTACATTGGGCAGATTTCTCGCTCACTAAATTCATGTAAGCTCTGGAAGCATACTTAACTAATCCCTAGATAATAAAGTTAGAAGTTGTGGCGCCCCCTCAATCATAAATTTAACTTCAAACGGTCGGTTAGATACAAGAACATGTGTAAGGCAAAGACACCTAAGGCCTAGAAATATGATTGATAGATAATTGATAAAGCTATCTTAAAGGTCATGGAGGCCCTAGTTATTACACCATAGAACCGGAGATAATATATAATAACTAAGGTGGTAAAACTCGATGTATTTCACGACTGCTATATATGCCCCCAGTTTTCTTTTCTTCTAGAAAGCAGATAATTATCCATTACAGGAATGTGGTTTCCCTTATTCATTTGCTTTTTCACTCTCCGATATATCCAATATATCCAACTTTCCATCTCTTCACTTCATTGCATCTTTACCGATTGTGGTAATCTGATTGGACTCTGTTTGCATGTCACGTGCATCAATGACGAACTTCAACTGACCGCCTCCTCATACCCCAAAGTGATGATATGTGTAACATAGAATAAAGTCTGTCACTACGGCTTGTTTGACTCTGTAAATGGTATTCTGTACCCTTCAATCTTTGATAGCTTCAAAACTCTTGTGCCACGTATTTATAGCAACTCGAATTGACAAGGTAAGTGAAGCTCATCAATCACAAAATGCAGAAGCAATTGCAGATTTAGATTTAGAGCGCTCACATTTGGTGCAATATCAGAGATTGCAGAGATCAAAAATTGGTCAATTCTGGTTACTGCCAGCTTGTAAAGCGTTCTTCTCCCCTTGAGATTCGGAATACATTGAGATATGGATCCCGAGTTTCTCGACACACTGTTTAGAAACTTTGGTCCCGGAGGCCTTGACCTGCCACCGCCAGCCGATTTTCCGAGCCCACGTGAAGTGCGAAAGGAAGCCCAAGACCGGTCAAAGAAAATTCTTTCCTCATGGAGGACCCTGGGTAAAATTCTGGATCGACACGAAGAGCTCTTACGGAGGCGCTGGGTGAAGAAGACGACGGAACAGCGGATTCGCATCCTCCTGACTGCCTCACCGCAGCTTCCGAGACCCCATCGTCCCGACTTTATCGCATTTCGTGGCGAGACTACAGCGGATCGAGTAGTAGGGACCGAGTTCCGCAATGAGTATTTGCGGCCTTACATGAACTTGGATGATCTTTCAAAAGCGAGACCCCTTCTACTCTTCTTGAACTCCCGGGGTCGTCATCCGCCAAATGTATTTGCGCACTCGGATTTGGCATCCGCTCACTTGGGACTGGCAACTGGTGCTACCATGCCGCCTTTCTTGAACGGGTATACGATGCTCCTCAATGGTCAGACTGTTGAGACATATGGCAAACTCATCTCTTGGAACGATGGGTCCGATGGATTTGAAATGATGATGTCTGGTCGCGGCTTCCATCCTGGAGAAGGGCTTGTGGTTTTGGAAATTCAGCAGGAAATTTTTCGTTTTCTTGTGCGCATCTGCCAAATCCTCCTCCAAGACATGGATCCAAATTCCCTTACGGACAAAGAGATACCTGTGCAGCCAGAGCCTCCTTCCCTTGTGGGAGATCCAACTGAGTGGCCAACATTGACAAGCATTCGTGGTGAGGCCCCTTATCGAGTGCCATATGAGCTCGATCTCGGCCGTCTTGAGGCCCTTATCTATTCCCAGCGCTCTCGGATTGAGGACCATATCTGGGCTCTTCGAACCGACCCAGCTTATTTTGCCTTCAGAGTTAAAGAATGGGGTGATCATCGTCAAGAAGTTCTCAAAGACACCAAAGGGCAAATCCATCCTAGATTGAATTTACCCATCTTCTGGGATCGTGTGCTAGGAGCGGTTATTACGGGGGCTTATGGAATGCTCTTCGTCTGGGATCAGCTTTGTAGACAGGTGACTGAAGTCACAAGACTCAAAGCAAAATATGGCAATTCATTTTCTCCAGAATCTCCGCTCCCGAGAGAATATATGAAAGCGCTGCTAGTGCTTCGAGGTCTGCTCTTTGAAGCGAGTGAACTACAAACGGAGTACCTGAAAATTTCTGTTCCTGCTTCGCCACCTTTGCGCGGTTTATTCGTCCGCGTGCCGCCCATTCCCGGCTCAACGAAGATCGGAGTGAGAGCTAAGAGGGATTGGACTGGAGACTGGCTCATCACACTCCTTTATATCCTCTGGGACCCTAAACAGACCCGTCTTCTTGGTCTGCCAAATATTATTGACTTTTTGGATCACATTAGTGATGATAGGAACAAGCCAAGAATTTCAGAGCGCATCAATGACATCCTATCGGACCTTGGCGTCATTGCTGAGGCTCTGCATCAAATCAATTTGCATCAACCATGGGCATCCGGTTTGGACCATGAACAAAGCAAATTCGGCGAGGAAGTTGAAGAGGAAGTTGAAAAGAAAGTCGAATACTTTAATGTGTTTTCCCGTCATTTCGGAGATGCGCCGCTCTCTCCAATGTCTCAGTCAGGGCCTTTTGTTGGCGGGAGTTTCGATTACCCAGTCAATGAGCCTCAGACGCAGAAGACAACTGAGCAGATGCGGAAAGCGGAGAAGAATCTTGACGATTTCTGGCGATCTGCCGAGACTCACTATCAGAAAGAAACCAATGGATCCAGCCTCCAGCAGGCGCTAGACACTCTCTATGTCAAACTGCGAAATCCAGAACCTACTGCCGCAAGCAGCGAGCCAGAGCAAGCTTCAATCCAAGAGTCTTATATCCCGGTTGATCCGGCGAGGCCAAATACCAACAAAACATATTCCAGTGGAGCCCTTAAAGCTACTCGTGACGTTCGGGAAAGCGAAGACGCTGCTATTTTCGCGGGTAGTTCATTGGAAAAGATGTCTTTGGAAGACAATGAGAGCTCTAGGTCTGGGACTGATTTTATACAACCCACGATACCGGTTGGAAAACGTGCTTTCAAGACCTTTTCGGTCCTTTTTCCCTCGTCAAGTTCAGCCGGACCCACGGCAGAGTTGCCGTGGACTGACTTACTGCATGCAATGACTGCCATGGGATTTGAGCCGATCAAGCTCTATGGCTCGATCTGGCTCTTCACCCCTCGCAATGGGGATGTCGAGCGGAGCATTCAATTCAGTGAACCTCATCCAAAAGGCAAGATTTCTTCTTCAATGGCAAGGCAAATTGGCCGCAGACTCCAGCATTCTTATGAATGGCACAAGGACATGTTCATGCTGGCTCAGCAAGAGGGAAAGGCCTAATCTACAAGAAAAATCTTTGTCCTGGTGATTTAGGATACGTTTCGGAACATAAGAAATCTTGAACTCTGTTGTTCTTGTCATTTGTGTCATTGAGGGTTTCGTTCGAGTACGTAGTAAGTCAGTTAAAGACGGCTTTCCCCAGTGAAGAATAGTAATACCGTAATAGGCTCAAGTGGAGCGAGCGCCTAACGGGTAAATCAGCCCCACAGCTTTCGCCAAGCATTAGTCTCAAAGGGTCCGATTGCCTGTATTTTTCGCTTATATTGCTCCTTTGGATGTTTAAGGTCTAGACCCCGTGCGGAGAGCGACACGTGGAGAGAGACGAATTGTCCCCTGGACAAAGGAAATTCATCGCATCAAAACGGTTGAGAAGAGTGGCATGGATTGTAATAGAGGATATGATGTAGTTGGATGCAGTAGCATAGCTTAAAAACCAAACCTTGCGGAAGATTTTCTGTCACTTGCACATGTATATTTCCCGATTGTTTTGCCTGCATGATACGGTGCATGTGCAATGCATATACACTGGGTGAAGTGTTCACTACCACAAGTAAGCATACTGACATTCACTCAGTTGCACCAATCGGGATCTTAAGCTCCAGTTTCCAAGGCTACCATGCCACTGCCTTTCTCGTGGTCTCTTAATGCATGCACTCGCCCATAATAATCACCGCTGCAGATGCGTCCTCCTCCCAACACTGGTATCTGGTGACTCGATACACTTACGGAGTACACCTCTACCACCAAAGGCAGAGATCCATCTCTATTCTCCATCTTATTTGGCAGCAATAAGCCATTTCAATCTATGCGACCTTTTGTTTTCGTTGCTAGCATTTACAGAAACCAGGAACTATTCCATCTTGTGCCCACGTTTTAAGTCTGAAAGACTTTCTTGCTGGCTGCCTGGATTGCATCTTTCGCCATGGCAGCCGCAAAAGCAAAACTGTGCATCACAGATCTGCCATTAGAACTGCAGAAAAACATTTTTAAGCATGTATGTGTGAAAGTCATAACCCTTCATTCATGCATGTTTACGAGGAGAAGACTAACATCTTACATCTAGTCCACATCTCAAGATCTTATCGCTCTCGCGCTTGTCTCGAAACATTTCCATTCTGTCGCGTGCGCACAGCTCTATCGGGATTTCACTATAATCTTCCCAGACGAGGATGATCCGGCATTCGACTCGCCCATTGACGGTCTGGCTGGCGGCCTGCATACACTGGTGTCCAGTCCACATGGACATGCAAGGCATCTTAAAGAAATCAGCTTGGATAGTTTAAGCGGCGGCGAGAAAGGCGAAAGAGCCTACAAAGCTTACCTCTACGAGTCCAGCTGCGGCAAATTTCTCAGCACACTCCTCTTCCTCACTCTGAAGCAAGCCAATGCATTAGAGGTGTTCCAGTAAGCCCTATTGGAATTATGAAAACAAGGCAAACATCAGATCTCTAATCAGTTCATAGTTGGAACATACGGGTGGAGCTCAGCAGACCTGTTTTTCAGGCTTTACATCAGATCCCCAACCTGAAGCGTCTCCATATTCGCATGCATGCCGGTCGTTCATTATACGAGAACCCACCACCTTTGCCCTCAATTCAGAACCCTCCACAAGTGACCACATTGATACCCCCTGCGACAGGTCTCTTTTCCAACTCCTCGAACGCCGGATTGATTGCCGTGGTCAAGCCCCTGCAACCTCCAGACGAAGAAACCTCCCAGAAGCCGGAACCGCGCACTTTTTCAGGATTCAAGAATCTTGCGAGCCTCTCAATCTTGGACATGGATACATTAGACTATCTCTCTGAACTTGAGGCTTGTATCCGCTCTTCGTCATCCACTCTAAAAGAACTTCGCCTTTCGCTTTCATCCGCACGAGCCAGGAAGGCACGCAAGCCGCCGGTTTATGAGTCTGAAGAGTCCGATCAAGACGTTGACGATTTTGGAAATCCTCTCGCACCTCCTCCTCCCCCGCCGCCTCCAGTTCCAGCGTCGGAGCCACAGATCATCAATGTGCAGACACCGCAAGAAAAAGAGGCCCAGATGCGAGTAGAAAGAGCTGCACAGGATGTGATCTTGGCAAAGATCTTTGGCCTGGATCCAGCCCTGCCAGAAGTGAAGATTGTCGCCGAAAAGAAGGAGACTAATCCCTCGTCGAAAAAGGGGAAGAAGATAGAGATTGTTGAAGAAAAGCAACTCCTCTCAAAACTCAAGAATGCTATGGTGCAGTTGTCTGCAGGTGTCGGTTCCAGTACCATTGATAAAGAAAAGGTATTAGAAGCTCTTAGTATGTTTGACAAAGCAAGAGCGGATTATGTCAAGGAAACAGAAAATGGTGATGCAGAAGAGTCACCCGAGGAGGATGCGTCTAGCTCTGCTGAATCAAATCAGCATATTCAAAACGGAGGCGCGCAACAGTCAAGCTTAAACAAAGAAACGGAAAATGCTACACCGTCAGACTCCGCCCCTAAAGAAGAAAGCGAAAACGTAAACGATGGGCCGGGTCTGTTTGACACTCCTTCAACTCGGGTAAAGCACAAGCCAAATGCGGTCCATGGAGATCTTCTTCCGGAGGATATTGACATGGTGCATCCCGATGCCGACGATGCGGATGAAGATGAGGACCAGGATATTTTTGAACAGGCTAGGAGTACGTGCAGTGAGGACGTACCTGTTAATGGAAATGCTTCTCTGGACGAAGCCATGTCGGACGATTTTGGCAACAACACAGCGTTGATGAGCGGTGCAAGGGGCAATACATGCAACGGCATCTCAGGCAATAAAATGGATCCCGCAGCTGCCAAACAAGGGCAAAGTCGTACGTCCTCTGAACAATCCGAGGAAGCAGTGCGAGACTATATCCGGTCCACGAGAAAAGTCGCTCTTGAGTCGTTTGAGCTTCATTTGATCCCCCTAAAGACATCAATCATTTTCCGCGCAATTGATGTGACCACTCTCAAGCATATCACTCTCCTCAATGTCGGGCCACAAGCTCATTTCTGGTCTCTAATGGCACAGACGAACAAGTCGACTCCCCTCAGCCTTGAGTCCGTGTCGTCGGATGATGTTACAATGCCTCTTCTAAACGTACTCAACAGTCTAGAGTACTTGGAAGAGTTGTTCCTCCGTGAACGGTCCCCCAAGGCCAAAACCCAGAACCTCTCACCCAAGACGACAGTGGTTGCGGAAGATATTCGGAAATTAGTGCTGAAGAAGCACATCAAAAATCTGACCAAGTTAATGATCAAGAACAAGGCCGACTACAACTGGGATCTGAATGGAAAATGTATCAAGTTGCTTGCCAAAAAGGGTACCAAGTTGACAGAGCTAGCCATCAGCGTTGACTTGAGAAATTTCGTAAGTCCCTATTTCGACTTTTTGTACGTAGTTCGAGTCTAACATGACGTTTGCGACTGCTTTTAGCATCTTCTTCTGCAATATTTCCTTGGACTCGCCAAACTCCGGGCTCTTCACATTGTCGGTCTTCGAACCGACGACACCTGCCACACGGTTCTTCGTGAACTACGCCGCTTCGCCGTTGATACAATTGCACAATGCCCGACGATGAAGCTAGAGTATATCGCGGTCGACTCGATTGTGGAGCGACTCATTCGCCAACCCAGTTTGCAAGCACGGCTCAAAGTCAAGAAGAAGGAGAGCGGCAAGACATTCATCAAGAAAGGCGGACCAGCGAGTGTTGATAATTCAACGACTGAGGATTTCGCCAGCGCATCAACGTCCAACAACGAAGAAGACGAAGCTAAAGCATTTGCCTACGCGGTAAAGAAGAATGGCGGAGATTATAGCTCCTCGGACGAAAGTGACGGGACCGATGCGGAAATTTCCAAACCCGGCCTCAAGATTGAAACTCTTGAGAATATCAAGTTTTATGACATCCCCGATGTGACCATCTTTCGAAAGGAAGTCACTGCTGGAAGGCTGTAGCCTGAGCCGACTTGGCCAGTCATTCCGCTTTCATTGATCCTGTACCCCTTCATTTCCCTTTGATGCTTTCATTTCTATCCACTCCCCACCTTGACTAATTGGTCGTTGTCCCGCCCATTTCAGAGTTACTTTTGTCTCATTTTTCGTCCTTTTGCTCCTATCTATGTGCCCTATCATGTAACCACATTTGTGTCCTTTAGTTCGTTGCATTGATTCTGTTCAAATGTGGTTTTGTGACTGGTTCTGGTACGTACGCAAGCGGGAGTTCTGAAGTTCTAGTCCTGGGATTCATCTTTGACCGCTTTTAGTCCCTGGGATCGATCAATCCTTGACCACTTGAGAGAGATATGGGGAAAACAGTAGTCTATCATCATCATCAAATATTATCATGAAAATGGAAGGGCATTATTTCTATTTTCCTTCCCTTTTACTTTGTACTACTTTGCTCAGCGAGAGCAGCTTCCCGGACACTCTATGCATCACAATAAGAAATCATACTTAACTTATCAGAACATTCCACACACACAATAGATTATTACGCATATCAACGTGCCATGCCCGCCGGAAGACGTAGCTTTATGCCGTAATATTTTATGTACGAAGCTCCATGCTGTAGCCTAGCCCACAATATCAAGAAGAAAGTGATAATTTGCTTTTTATATTTTCTCCCACCCTTACGTTACGTTACGTTACGTTACTACAGACATCTTCCCAAAAAAATGTATAGCGTATACTTGTACTTGTACATGTACTCGTACATGCACAGAACTATCCCTCATTCCTTCGAGAAAAGGAGAAAGAAATAAAGAAAGATTTTGATAAATTGAGGATGGAAAAACGTGACGGGAAAAATGTGAGGATAAAGAGAAAGGAGAAAGGGATTAAAAAAAGGACTAGCAAAAATCAAACATCCAAATGTTTATCCTCGTCTTGAATCCCCGCCTCGACATCGACTTTGGTCGCCGCCTCGTGCTCGACGTCTGCCATGGCCGCGTCCTCGTTTTTGAGAGCAGCGGCTTCTTCGATGCTCGAGAGGCCCGCGGCGCCGATGACGTCTTGGCCGGCGCCGTCGGTGAATTGTTCGGTCGAGGGCGCTGTCGCGTCGGCGGCAGCGGCAACGGCGGGAGTACCGGCATCAGCAGTGGCAGGGGCAGGGACAGGAATAGGAGCAGGAGTAGCGTCAGAAGAAGAAGCAGGAGGAGGCATTTCGTTGTCGATGAAGCGGTCCTTGGAGTGGTCGAGGAGAGGGGAATCGTCGTTGTACAGACGGAGGAGCATAGCCCTTTGGGAGAGGTTAGTAGATGCGTAAAAATGGCAAATGAGACGGGGAGAGGCGAAACAATCTCCTCCCCCTTCCCCCAAAATAACGAAAAGAAAAATAAAAAAAGAAAACGGGAAAAAAAAGACATACCGTCGTTCTTCCTTGGGAAGCATGAGGTTGAGAGAGTGGAGGGATCGCCAGAGGGGCAGGACCATGCGTTCTCTGTTGGTGTTGGAAAAAGAAGTTGTTAGTTGATCTGATTCAAATTGGACTTGGCAAGTACAAGGCAATGGAGGGGGTGGATGAGGATAATCATGACAATGATGAGTGGATGTAAGGATAAAGAAGAAGAGGAATGATGAAGGGATATAAGAATAAGGAGAAAGAGGAAATGATGAGTGGATGTAAGAAAAAGGAAAAAGAGGGGTAAAAGAAATTGTAACGAGAGAGACAAAGACATACTTGAATCCATCAGGATCATCACTGGTCTCGACACGGAGAACACAGCATCCCATTCCGATATCCCGGACCCGCTCACCAATCTCGCCGAGCTGCTTCCAGCCATCGCCGCCCTTGCCCGTAACAGCAGGGAACATTTCGACCAGCAACTTCCGCAGCGTCTCGCGCTTATACAGGCGCACGACGCGCTGATCGCCGACCCAGGCCTCGAGAATGGGTAGGCCCTCGGCCTGGATGCGCCATCTGCACACGCCCTCCTTTTGCACGTCCTGCTTCATGAACATCTTGATGCCGCAGTGCACGAACTTGATGCCCTTGCCCTCGTTCTCGCGCAGAATGTCCCGCGCGAGAGAAGAAGAGTAGTAGATGGCCTTGACGGGCTCACCCGTGGCGTTGCGCACCATGAAGCGGTCGCGCGGGAAGCGCGGCGATAAGCTGTAGAAACCGTAGATTTTCTGCAGCTCGGGATGTTCTGGGTCGAGGTACTTGAAGGGTTCCTCGTAGGGTTGGTTAGGCTTCTTTTTGGGCGGCTGAGCAGCTGTGTCTGGCTGAGCAGCAGCAGCAGCAGCAGCAGCAGGGGCAGGGGCAGGGGCAGCAAGAACGGCAGCAGGTGGCGGAGGGTAGTGGACGAGTCGGCCTGCTTCCGTAGCTGGCGGGGCGGCGGGAGCATCCGGCTCGTCTCTGACCTTGACGCGCTTAGAGGCGCCTTGAGCATCGCTCTCGTCCTCCTCGAGCCCGTGCTTGGTGGCTGGGGTAGTGGCAGAAGAGGACGGGCCCTCGGCCGGCGTCGCTGTCACGCTCGGCGTGTTCTCCTCGTTCTGTCGCATCGCGGCTGTAGGGTCCTCAACGTCATTCGAGACGATAGGCGGCGCCAGCTCGTCAAGCGCGTTGATCTTCTCGGTGGGTATCTTTTCGTTGGTTGGCCGGGCGGCAATCTCGTTGACAGCCGCAATAACGGGCGGGGTGGGTTCCGTCTTTCTGGACTGGCCCTCGGGTCGCGCCTTGATCTCGGAGAGCTTCTCGAGCACGCAGATGAAGAATCCGCCAGTGTCCTGCAGGTGAGGATACACGCGCAGGCATCGCTCAAGCGGCGGGCGAGACTCGCCCTCGGGCATCTCGAGAGGGAACATGCCTTCGGTCAGTCTTCCAAATCCTTCGGAACCTTCCTTCTCCTTGGCTTCCTCCACTTCCTTCCACGAGTTCCAGATTCGGCCTTGCTTGTCCATGACCTTCCAGTCGTTCAGACCCGCACGGCGCTTCAGCCCGGGCAGCTTGTCGCTGCAGTCAAGCAGGCTCACCTTGGCCGAGCCACCGCAGCGGTCAATGGCGCTCGAGACGACAGCTTCGTTCTCGACGGAGTTCATACTGCAGGTCGAGTACACGACCTTGCCGCCGACCTTGAGCATCTGGAGAGCGCGAACGAGGATGCGGACTTGAGTCACGTAGAGCCCAAGTCCGTTGCCGGGAATCCAGTCCTTCCACACGTTAGGGTTCTTGCGGCAGGTTCCGTCACCAGAGCAAGGCACGTCGGCAAGAATGCGGTCAAACTTGAGGTACTTGTTCTTGGGCTTCTGGCCTTCGGGCGCCGGATCGGAGGGAATCTTGATCGAAGGGAACATGATGGCGTCGTGGTTGGTGACAATAAGGTTCGGCGAGTTGAGGCGCTTGACCTGGTGGACAAGCATCTGGCTGCGCTTATAGTCGGAATCGTTGGCAATCAAGAGACCAGTCGATCGGCCGTCGTCGGACCAGTCACCCTCGGTCTGGATTTGTTCCTGTTCAGCGTCGATTTCTGCTCCATCGGGGCTCACGTCACGGCTCTGCTCTTTTGCGACTTGGTGCAGAACCTTGCGCACGCGGGCCTCTTCTCCGCCGTGAACGAGTTCAATGAGTTGCGCCGACTTGCTGCCAGGCGCAGCGCACAGGTCCAACACGGTCATGCCGGGTCTCAAGTCCATCAGCAGAGGAGGAATCATGCTAACGACTTCCTGTCTGCTGATATTTCCAACACTAGTCTCGGAGACAAGGAACTTTTGGAAAGAAGCGAATGGGGGGAATCGCCGGATAACATTTTTCGGAGTGGTCATTGCCCAGGCCAGCTGGTCCGGGAACCAAGAGACGGGCTTCGGCGGCTCGACGGGCTCGTCAAAATGCTTGACCGCAGTGATCTCGGGGATGTAGTGGTCGATGAGACGTTGCTGGACTGCGAGCGCATGGCTTGGAGTTTATTGTCAGTATAAATTGTCAAGTTCTCATGGCGTTGATCAAAGTAGTATACGGACCCTCTTGAACCAGTGAAGCGGAAGCTGTTTGGAAGCTCCCGGCGCAAGGCTGTCCAAAACTCCTCGCGTTCCACATCTTCAACTATCCCCAATTCATTGTAGAATCTCTCAAACTTTTCATTCTGCTTCTGAACGGCAGCGTACTCTCTTGGGCCAGAGCGCGATCCGCGGTTGTCGCCCCCTCCTCGTTTGCCGCGGAACTGTTTTGGAGTCAGTTATACTAGGAAATATAAATTCAAGAATTATTCGATAGTCCCCTACATTCTTTCCGCCACGTTTGCCCATTGCAATTGTTGCTCTGATTGCCTGAATCTTGGGTGTTTTGCTCGTCCCAAATCCACACGGTAAGTCGTTTGGAGACGGAAATTCTCAACTTTTGCCCAACTCGACGGATCAACATTTTTGCCGATCACCGACACTAACATCTTTCCGGACTAGCTTGCTTTCCCTCAAACTCGGAGGTTTCTTTCTCAGAAAAATCAGTTGGTCAACTTGGACACTTTATAAAATTAATCATATTCTTTTTGATGGATGACTAAAGTATATTTCTATTTGAATCATTAGATCAGAACTAATTTGATCTATAGTGTGTTGTTGACGTTTCGTTGACAGCATCCGCAAATCTAGCCACCGGCGCGAGTCCGATAGAGCCTAGCCTTGTCCAAAAGATTTCCCCAGATCCCGAAATTTTTCCATAAAAGGGGAGACGACCCATTCAAAGGAAAACACAGACAACTCTTCTACAGTGCGATTTTTTATCCGGATATCTCTGTCATAGATTTAATTTGACTGTATAATTGTCTTTTGTCTATGTTGTATATCTTCTTGCAGTAAATTTATCTAATCTCAGCGCGTTCATCCAAAGCGCAACAATGTTCGCCGCGCTCCGACACGGCTCAACGACCGCCACAAGAGCGTTATGGTCTAGATCAATTCTCTCACGAAATGCATCAAAGACAGCTCTGTATGCTGGGACACGAACATTTACTCAATCTTCGATTTCACCAACTTTCATTCATACCCATAATGCCGCGGCTCCAACACATCGAGGCCACCGGCATCAACCCGATGCGTCGGCCGTTTTGGAGGCCCGAAAGGAGCCAAAAGATGCGTCCCTCATCACTGAGTTTCAGCAGCTGGGAGATGATGGACTAGTACACGACAAGGTGGTTCGGACGATTACGCAAAACATGGGACTGTCAACCATGACAGAAGTCCAGAGTATGACACTGAGCGAGATCATCAAGGGCACAGACGTGTAAGGAGCGAACTATGGCATTGCAAAACGTGGATTGACTGGCTAACTTGTGCTTACAGTCTAGCTCAGGCCAGGACCGGTACTGGGAAGACGCTTGCTTTCCTCATTCCGACGCTTCAAAACATTATTGACCGAGACCCCCGCCTGGTCAACAAAGAAGCACTCCGAACGGCAAGAAGCACGGACATTAGAGCCTTGATCATCTCTCCTACGAGAGAACTAGCAGAACAAATTGCAGTGGAGGCCAAGAAGCTCACGCAGAACACTGGAGTCAGAGTGCAGACCGCTGTTGGCGGGTCGGCAAAACGACTTGGCTTGCAAGAGATTCACCGGAAAGGATGCCACATTCTCGTCGGCACTCCAGGCCGGTTGATTGACATCTTCTCCGATCGCGAAAATGGAATTGCCGCACCCAACCTCAGCGCACTGGTTCTTGACGAAGCAGACCGGCTTCTCGACCAAGGTTTCGCCGAAGACATTCAACAACTCCAAGAACTTCTCCCGGACACGCGCGACGTTGACCGCCAGACATTGCTCTTCTCTGCCACTGTTCCCAAGGGCGTCATGAGCATGGTTTCGAAGACGTTGAAACCCGATTACAAATTTGTCCAGACGGTCAAGGAGGGCGAGGAGCCGACCCACAACAGGGTACCGCAGAAGTTGATCCCTGTGCGTGGAATGGAAAACATGATTCCCAGTCTCGTCGAGCTATCCCTCCGAGAGATTGAAACCGCCAAAACCAACCCAGCAACGCAGCGGCCATTCAAAGCCATGGTCTTCTTCGAAAGCACCTCTGAGCTACAACTCGCCTACAAGGTCTTCCAACGGGTCCAGCGCTCCGCCGAGTACAAGAAGAAGTTTGGCCGCACCCAGCTTCTTGAGATCCACGCGCGCCTCTCACAGGGGCAGCGCACCAGGGCCGCAAACGATTTCAGACACGCCGAATCTGCAGTCCTGTTCACGACAAATGTCACCGCGCGGGGCATGGATTTCCCCAACGTGACCCACGTCATCCAAATGTTCCTCCCATCCCAGCGCGAGCAGTATATCCACCGCCTCGGCCGCACTGCGCGCGCCAACAGCGAAGGCGTGGGATACTTGATCGCTCCCGAGTTCCAAGTCGAAGAGGTTCCCAGCAAGCTGCACGGTCTCCCGCTCCAGCTTGACAATACTCTAGCCACGGCGGAGATCGACCTTGCCAACGAAACCATTGACGTGTCTGACGACAGTCTAGGTATACTCGACTCTGTCTCTCGCGCGTACAACAGATTCGACGATGAAGACTTTATCCAGACCCACCAGTCCATGGTCGGCGCCTTGTGGTGGAACCCCGATCGCCGCGGTCTCATTGAAGCCCTCCGAAGACTCGCCACCATTGGCTGGGGAATGGACACCCCGCCCACCGTGGACAAGAAGTTTCTCGACAGAATCACGGGCTCGTCTCGTCAGAGCAAAAAGTCTTTTGGAAGATCCTCGTCGGGTAGATCCCACCGGCCGGGCGTCAAGTTCCCTCATTCCCGCGGCAGGTCCGAGATGAACTCGCACGGCCGGGACAGGAGACAAAGAAGATTTTAATCAAATCTTTTTTTCTTGTCAAATCTTCTACAAGATTAATTTATTTTTTCCCCTCTGTCAATTTCGTTTCTCCCTGGTCAATCCCTTTTTCTTCCGTCACATCCATCAACCCCTTTTTCCACCTTTCCTTCCTTCCCTTCCCGTCCCAACCCGCCCCTTCAGTTGGCATTTCCCCCCTCCCCCCCTCCTCTCCTATCCACATCCCTTCCGACTTTCCCGCAGCATCTGTCCCTCGGACGATACTTTCAGACAGCACTTTTGTGTTGCACAATGACCCTTATTCTCTCTTGTACTATCTCTCTTGTACTATCTCTCTTGTACTATCTCTCTTGTACTATCTCTCTTGTACTATCTCTCTTGTATTATTATCCACCTTATCCACCATTATCCACCTCTAGATTTCTTCTCCCCCCTTTTTTCTTCTTTCCTCCCTTTAGTTTTCTTTTTCCATTTATTTATTCAATCGGGTTAATAGATGCTTGCGACTTGCTATTTTTTTTTTTTTCCCTCCTCTTCTCATGTCACCACTCTCCATTCCCAGCTTGGTTGTATAATTTTTCTCCTACCGTTTGAAAATCTGCATGTTCCGAAATCATCTCTCTCCTCATTCTTACGACTATATACTATAGTCATATTGTACTGTACTGTACTTTACTGTATTGTATAGTATAGTATAGTATAGTATAGTATTGTATTGTACTGTAATGTAACTGGGCGCACGCTAGTCTTTGGATCATTATGACTGGCACTGGCACTGGCACTTTCGGTATAGACTCATAGATTCTACTCTTACTCGGGATTTTACCAAAAATAAAATAAAAAAACAAAACCAAAAAAGTTCGATTGGATACAGTCATGAACTCACGAACTGACAAAATCACAAAGTCGCGAGGAGCGAATAACCAACACTCTCACGAAATGAGATTTAAAATCTTTTTGATATTTTTATATGTATTTGTGAGATATCAGTAATATAAAGAGACAGTAAGAAATAATATATGGAAAAAGATGGAAAGAATATATACATGCAGAAAAAGAGGGATTGAAGATGAATGAACTAGGGATCAAGAAATAAAATGAACAAAAGAGAAAAGGAGTAAGAAAATGTAACAAAAGAAAAGAAAAAGGTAACAAAAAAAAGAAAAAGGTTATAAAAGAAACGAAAGGAAAGGTAATGTAACAAAAGAAAAATCAATAAATAATAGAAGAAAAAGGAAGAAAAATCATAATCGTTACTCTGCCCAAGCCCAGCCGACTTTCCACGCCGACGTGCGCGCGGCGCGCGGCTGCTCTTCATGTATGGTGCCTAGTTCTCAGCTCGTCCAATCGAGGCCGACGCCTTGCATGTGGACGTCAATGTCGTCAATCATGTCCATGTCGAACGGGGCGGTATCTGCGCCTGCACCTGCACCTGCGCCAGTGCCTGCGCCAGTGCCAAAGCCGAGTCCCGTATCCAATCCGGTATGTAGTCCGGTGTCGAGTCCAGCTCCAAGGCCAAGGCCAAGGTCAAGGCCATGTCCGAGGTCATGAGCGTCAAGATCGAGGTCTAGGGTTGTGGGCCACGTGCTGTCTTGTTGTACGACTTGCACGTGTGGCGAGGGCGCGCTGGTGCCAAATACGTCGAGCGAAGTTGTTGGGCCTGGCGCCGCTAGGCCTCCGGCGGTGACTGCGATGGGGTGGAATGCTTCTTTTGCTGTAGTTCCTGCACCTGCTGCTGCTCGTCGACTGAAATCCCCGCCGCGGCCGCCGCCAATCCCCTTGGGTATCCCGTCGATGTTCATCCAGTCGGCTCGTTTCTGGATAGGAGGAGGAGGAGGAGGATGTCTGGATAAACCTCGGGTGAGGTTGCTGACACGGTGTGCCCCTCCACCGCCGCCCGTCCCGCCTCCGCCACCATATCCCTTTCCGTCATCCGCAATCAATCCGTGCGCCACCTTAAAGTGATAGAGCCATTCGGGGTGGTCGGCAGGGGTGGCGTTCCATTTGTCGTCATTCTCATATACGGTTATCCGAGCATGACTTTGGAGCATCTCATCCGTGATGGGGGCGCCCAATGCTTTTTGCCGCTCGACAAGTCGGCTCAGGGCAAGTTCTACTCTCTGGAAGCACGTCAAGTTGCTAGTGTCGACGGATTGGCTCTCCGAGTTTTCAATGTGTGGCGTCGACGTTCCGCTACTGTATTTCCCGGGCCGGTAAGACCCCTTCGCATTGGTTGATGCCGAGAATGGATCCAGCGAACGTGCTTCCTGGGCAATCATACAAGGAGGGACGGCGTTCTGAAGGAGCGCAAGCACCGCGGGTTCAAACCCCCACGTGCCTTTCCACTCGGCCATTTTGGCACCCGCTCGAAAGTGCGTTGCAAGGTGGTCTGTCCGGGCAGACCAGGTCGAGAAGGTCTGGTTGCAGAATCCGCATCGCGACTTGATGTCCAGCGTCGCGGCTTTCCAAGTGTCCATGCTCGGTAAGAGCTCGCAATCGTGCATCAGCCGAAGATGCTGCCGTAGGTGATCTTTCCGATAAAATGTTCGCTCGGACATGGATTTCTCCTCGCACGAGCGGTAGTTGTGAATGTCGAGATGTCCTTGGGGCGGGTTCAAGGCGTGGCAAAAAGTGCACGCCATGCCCTCGGGAGTGCTGACCAGGCCACCCTGTGGAGCACACACCCACTTTTCCACACTGAGATGGAGCGATTTCTCATGCCTTTGCCAGTCGTATTTGCTCTTGAAGGTATCGGTACAGAAGGTGCACTGGAAGGGCCGGTTCTCGCCCGGCTTGGGCGCTCCTTGAACGTTGGTGCGTCGACGTCGACGGCGGTCGACCTTTTCGACCTTGCCCCGAGAACCAAACGAATGCTGCGAGGTGTGGGAGAAGAGCGATCCAAAGGATAAATCAGACTCGCTCGAGCGGTGCGTGCGGGAGGTTTCCAAACTGCACAGCGACGGCGCCCGGAACATGGAGAAGCTGGATCCCGTGCTCGAGTCGCGGCTGTCGCCCCGGATGGACTCGGGTGGACGATCGGGGAGGGCGTTGGCGGCAAGGGCGTTGGCAATGGCCGACACCGAGGCGGGTTCGTTTTCAGGAGGCGAGTGCTTCCATCTTTCCAAGGGATTCATTTCCGAGTAGGATGGGTGACCGACATGGGCTGGCCCAGAGAAGTTGATGTCGATGGCCTCGCTGAGCGAGCTCATCGTGCTCGAGCTTCCAGAGTTGTTGGATGATGGCACCTTGCCCCGACGGCGCGCATTGGCGAGCCAGTTGGAGATTTGAGTCCGCTTGAGACCGGTCAAGCGCTTGAGCTCGTCCTTTTCCAGGTCTGACGGATATGGCCGGTCACGATGTTCGGCCAACCAGTCTTTCAAGATGCGCACAGCGTGTCGCGAGAACCGGGCTCCCGATCTGCGAGATTGGCCGTCGGTATTCTCGACCGGGCTATCTGGGACGGGACCTTGAAAGGATCGGAGGGCTCGGAGGCCGGTCGCTTGGCCCTCGGTCTCACAGCTGTCTTCTGCCACTCCGTGAAGCGTATCGATGAAGCCACTAGGTCGGTGGTGATGCTGGTTGGCTAAGCTGCACTGACGGAAAAGGCTTTGGCAAGAAGAGCATTCCTTGCGACCCTCGAGGGTGACAAAGCACTCGAGTTTTCTCGACGAGCAGTAGTCACAAGGTTCGTCGGGCTTGTAATATCGGGGGATCCACGATGAGAAATCATCGAATCCCGGAGCACCATCACCAGAAAAGTCGGGTGCTGTCGTGTCTATGCCCAATTGATCTTCGCCGAGGTCCGGCAGCAGGAAGTGATGACAAAGACAGTCATGTCCAGGATGAGACGGGCAGTCAAAGTTGTGAGAAGCTTGGTTCAAGTCCCGCGCAGTGTCGGCGACATTCTGGGCACCCGAAGCTTGATCAAAATCAAAAAAGTTCATAGAACAGGTACATGCCACGGCGGTGTTGGAACACGTCGCACAAATAGCATTGGCGAGCAGATCGTCTTGTGACGACAAACACATGACTTGCTTCAAGCCAGGATGATCGTGACGATGTGAATAGGTTGGAGAAAGATATCGAAGGGAGAATCAGAGTAAAAATCAGAAAGGAGCAATTAATTCTTTCTTCTCTCTATCGTTTGTGTCTTGCTTGTTCTTTCTGGGACTATCGCACGGATGAAGAGCCAGAGAACTGATTCGTAAACAGAGGTGGGAAGTTAAAGGTGTGGAAAGAGGACGAAGAAGATAATGATGATGGACGAAGAATGGAAATGAAAGAAACAGTAGAAAAGATTAGCGGCACAAGGAACAGATGAAACCCCAGATCTTAAGAGAAAGAAAAAAGCAAGTTCAAGCTAAAGCATTAAGGCATTGGGATGGGAAAAAAGGAAGAGGGCGGTGGAGTAAGAGATGACTCCTCCAGATGGTATTTCCGCACTCTGAGGTGTGTTCCGGGAATTTCTCAGCCTCTAGAACACCATGATGCTTGGCGCCCGCAGCGCGTGGAGTAAAGAAGGACGACACGCGGGCAGTTGTCAATTCCCACGCCCTTTGGTGACCAAACGGGTATAGAGCCCTTGTCAATCCTAAGGGTCAGCAGCAGCTAAAACCGTCTGGCGGTGGAGACGCCGTCTGACCATCCTGGTCGGCTTTTTACCTTAACTTGCCCATCCCTGCTGACGACACATCCCACTTACTGTGCCACCAGCGTATAGCATAGAGTTAGGTAGTCTGCAATAGAGACTCCTATGGGAAATCGAACAGAGATACCATCTGGTACAGGACAATATATATTGCTCAGCTACGGGAATCATCCCATTTAGCCGAAATACAGTACCCGGAAAGATAAACTCATGTGTTCGGTAAGTTTTCGCTAAATCCATGTAGTCGGCTATAAATAAGGTAAAGACGGGAAAAGAGACACACAAAACACCCACACCCAGCGGGAGAAGGGGGGCGTCATGGCAGGGACCACGATCAGTGATTGGCAATAAGATTCTATCTTATCGTAGTAGCTCCGTTCCAGTCATAGAGTACCAGTCAGGGAGAAAGAAAAAAGAAAGAGTAGAATAATGCCGGAGATGCAACGGAGGGATTCCCACCACTGTGGAGACGTGTAAATCACTGTTCCCTTCATCTTAGGGAAGAGAAAGGCCAATCGGGATCTCGGCACAGGGTTTCCACACACAAACCCTTTCCCATCCGTCTGCAGGCATTCTTAGCATCCTTGCTCCGGCATTGCCGTTGTACCAATGGGGAATAGCCTCTCCAATTAACTGCTCTAAATGGCATGGTTCCACGGTCCATCAAAAGCTTTAGGGTGTTGGTCCGAGTGTGCGATTTCTACCAACGATCCCTATTCCTCCCGTTTACGAACCTCCAGTCATAATTGACCTGAATTGAATCCAAGGTGTCCCTGGTGTGCGATATCGCACTCTTGATTAGACTACACTGTAGAAACCCCCCCCCCTCTCCCCACCCAAAGAAGGAGAAAGAGGCCCGATGTTTTCCCACAAGCCCCACGCAAAAGAAAAATTCACTTATGGAGAGAGCAATGACCTTTTTCTGCGCTTTCTAGAATGCCCTTCTCCAAAATGCCATTTTCGTTAGACTCAATATCTCCCGATGATAGCCGCAGTACACAATTGTGTCATACGGTCAATTAGCTCAAGTAGCGTATAGCTATGCTACCTGTACGTAATTTAGTAAAAACTTCACTGGATTATTAGATATTCTATTGTTCAGTAGCTATCTTCTCTCCCTTCTTCCACAAGTCTTGTAAACACGTGAAAAGCAACAGTGGTCTGTTGAGAGGTCATCATGCTTAATGATCCTCCTATATTGCTGCGTTAGACCTATCGTATCCACGGCATGGTTTAAACATGCTCGGCCCCATATTCTTCCCATTTTTCCACCGAGATTCTAGCCGATACCCTGGCCCGGCATTTGATGATCCTGGCTGCTTTCTCTTCCAATGGACTCCACCGCAAAACCAAGCAACACAGCCTTGTAAGGGGTCAAGTGGAATGGCCAAGGCGGAAATCGGCAGACAGAACATGTAGATGCGCGTCTCCATTCTACTCCTGTAGTGCCTTGCGCCTTCATCATGGTTGGCGGAGAAAATCGGATGGGCAAATGGACGGTAACGCCCCGTATGATCCGTGCAACCCCGGTCCAATATTGAATCATATCTTGCGCCTCCCTCAACAATCGAATCATCAATTTGTTGACAGCTATCAATTACAGACAATATTGTCAAATATTGCATTCGTCTAATCTATTTGCCAAGTTACTGTTGCGTAAAAATCGTATGCGTCGTGACTGCCAAGGTGCCCACCCAGATAACCCAATTCTAAAGAGAAGCAGACTAGAAAACTCCATCCGTAATATGCAAACATGAAAAAGACATGACAAGTCCACGGCCAAGCCATATAGTCTTATCCACATGGTAAAAAAAAAAAAAGACTGACCTATCCCCTTGCAGTGGATCTGCAGTGGATTCTTGGTGAAGGTATGGTCGTGGAGAGGTTGACAAGGCCAATCACAATGCGAACCTGAGCCGAGATTTTTCCGACTCTAGTCCTGCATCCGAATACCGTTCTTCCTGGCGCCTAGGATCACCATGCCTTCGCCGACACCTTCATAGATGCCTCCAGCGATGCTCTGCACCCACCACGATGCCAAGTCGTTGATGACTTGACCAACTCTACCATCTCCCATCTTGGAGACCGCACCACCAAACTCCACGCCTCGTCGGCCTATGCTGTCCACCGTGTCGAGACTGGTATGCAATAGTCTCTCCGAGATGTGATTATTTCGTTCGTAGAGATATGCATTCTTGACGAACAATTTTATATACGGAAGGACAAACTGGAAAATGATAAAGATTTGAATGATACCTGTGGCCAGAACACGATGCAAGACGCTGGGTTCCCTCGCAGGAAGCGCCGCACCGCCTCGTGCTGGCACCAGTTGCTTGTCGCCATTATCGGAGATCAGGCCAGTGATTTCCTCTGGGATCGATGAACGAATGCTCGCTTTCTCTTCCAGGCTCAAATCAGCCGGTAGTCCCCGTATCAGGTACGTCAGCGAGTGGATATAGAGCTGACGACCAAAAGAGGCTGTGCGTCCGTCAATATCGGGATTTGGCCGCGATGATTCTTCGACGGCCAGAGTCAGAAGATTGACCCCTAATAAATGCATCATCAGCCCTCAGCCCACAATAATTTACTTCATACTGCCAAGTGAATATCTTGAGAATATATATATATAAATACATACCTTGATTAGCAAACTTCCAATCAATGCCCGTCTTAGTCTCAGAGGGCGGCGGTGGGGTAAGTGTGGCTTCATCATCTGAAGTATCTTCGACCAGATAATCGACGTCGGCCATGGACGCCTTGACGGCATCATACGACGGCGGTGGTGTTCGTGAGCGGCTGATACGCCATGAGTAGCGACCCCGTACTGAACCTCGAAGTGACGGCAGGCGAGAGATGCGAGTCTGTACTATCGAGGGGAGCATCGAATATAAGAGCGATAATGGCGGGGTATCGATCATATCAACCGTTGCCGGCCGGCTGCTGGACGAGATGCATGTTCCGCTCATGGTTTGAAATTACGTCTCAATGAGTCCGATGCAAGCATGGAGAAAACAACCCTGCCCATTCGGACCTTCAATGCCGCGAAAAAAAAAATTCAGCGTCGTGACGATGATGATGATGGTGATGAGTATGCGGAGAAAAACTGAAATGGAAGTGCGGCAGCGGATGATAAGATGGGCATTTTTCTGTTGAGAGTGACTTTTCACATGCCAGTTGCTTTGCTGCTGCATATGACGCGCGATGTTGAATCTGGCCTAATCCGCCCCCTCGTCAAGCGCCGCTTCCGATCAATTGCCCGCCCCCAAATAGATTGGTCGGATGGTCGTAGATCCCGCTCAAAAGTTACTCTCTAATGAAGCGATATCTCCCCTTTGTCAACCACTTGACGTTTGCACCTTGTAGCACGAGGCCAGTCAAATCTGCCTTGTGGGGGGGGGTCCATCTTTTCACCTTCCTGGGTTGGTACCAATGTTATAAAAGAAACAGAACTCCTAACGCATATATTGCACATGATCTTTCTGGAATGTAACCTATCTAAGCAGCTATAGTTTCCTTTCCCTCAAAATTTCATATTTTAATCCTGCATATAACAGCCCAGAAAAAACCCACTGTTAACTTTTTTTCTGCTAATAATTAATTCAAGTGACACAAAAAAAGAAAAATAAGCGCAACCGATGCTAACCCAGGCAACAAACATAGCAAGCATGTGGAATGTGGACTGATTGTACAGTGTGTGAACCAAATCGGGATGCAACCAATTGTTCCTGGTGTCAAGGCAACGTGCTGCATGCATACCGGTTGTTGAACGGGCAGGTCGTGGGGGGCGTTTGTTCCAGAACCAGTCAATATAACAATCCCTGTAGACTAGTCCAATTAGGTTCACAGTTGGTTTAAGAATCCGACTCTTCAACAATCTCTCCGTGATGGTGTAGCGGTAACATCGGTCGCTCTCAAGCGATGACCTCAGGCTTAGCCTGATGTGCAAAACTCGTGTCCCGACCAGCCCGGGGTTCGACTCCCCGTCACGGAAATTTCTTTTTTGCTCGTTGTTGTTGTTGTTGTTCTCTTTTTGGTGTTGGTATCTAGTTGCCTAGGGCTGATAACATTAATCTACTTGAGTCGCCTTGGATTGTACTTTTGTTTTTGCAATATGGTTCAATGGAGTTGTTGGTACTTTGAATTGGTTGATATGGATTGCCTACTCAATCTCTGCAAAGCAGAGGCTGGATCCAGATAAAAACGAGTCAAGAGGGTATTTGATATGAAAAAAATATCTTCAGAAGAAATCAGGGCAAATAAATTGCAACAAGCAAAAAGAAAAAGAGGAGCACAAGAAAGAGAAACAGAACGGCGACCATAAAAAGCCATTAATCCCCGCCGTCGTTTCTTGTCGACATCATGATAGAAGAATGTGTCGCCTGATATTTCCCCAGCAAACGCCACGATAAATATAATTCTCGACCATCGAAGAGGGCTATAATGTCAACGTAACCAATTTGGACCGTAAGTCTCATATACATATTCCACTCTCTTTTCGAAATTTGATTCATGCATTCACACGATCGTAACCGCCGTAAAGACAAAAGGTACCGAATAGCCATTCAATTCATCTCTCGTTCAAGATTGTTGGAAGATGCTTTTTACCGCCGAGATCGCCTAGGAGGGTACATTGGCTCCACAGGATAATTTCCTCCGGCATAGAGATCGGCATCTACCGGTCTGAATCCAGATTCTCTATGCCTGCGACTTCTCCGCGGCGTAGGACTGTAGTCGCTATGCTCTTCAATAACCTCGACGAAATCGTCTTGTGGCGGTGGAGGAGGAGGTGGAGGGTGAGGAGCACGTTCTTCGACAATGATCTGCGACGGCGGCGGTTGCGGTTGTCGTTCTTCGACAATGACTCGTTCCCGATCGACCCGTCTTGGCTGTCTTCTGGACTGTTTAATCTCAATCGTCTCTGGACGTCGGCGCGACTTTCGCGGTCGGACCTCTTCAATATCCGTAACGGTAATGGAGGTGCTGCGGTTGTTGAACAGCATGATTAGAAGCCAGACGATGAGGAGAAAGCCCGCGACGGAGCCGAGCACGATGCCGGCGACGACACCCGGCGAGGGACCCGAATTGTTGTTCTGATATGTCGCTGGAATGATGCCATTGTTGTTGTTATTATTGCTGCTTTGTCGCCGCGTGAGGAGATTCGATTCCTTCAGGTCATTGTGATTTGCTGCGAGCGGCTGAGCTGTATTTATTGAAGAGCCGGTGCGCCGAATTCGCCGCATATCAGATATCAGCTCTCGAAATGGCGCTAGACTTTGAGCACCCTGGCCAAAGGACCGTAGAGGTCCCATGTTTGCACCCGCGGCGAAAGTGGTAATGATGTTCAGGCGCTGCGGATGATGAAGCGGAACGATGAACTCCAGGCGATCAATGTGAGGTAGATGTTTGGGCCCTGAGAGTATCCACTGACTTCAATGCCCTCAGAAGAATAGAAATGCGTTTGCTTCTGCAGGAATGACTGCGACACAATCAGGGTCGTTGAGATTGGACGCGTGGCTCGTGATTATGGCGATAATGCTATCTGTGTAGTACCGAGTATGTTTCAAACGAGTGACATAATAGAGGTTGAGCGCAATCACAACAGTCGTCGGATGTTCCTCTGTTTCACAAATTGATCCAGTTGAAAGATCACGAGGGGAGAAGCATCATAATCATGTTCAAATGTGAATGGTAAAAGTGCCAAGGAAGATGAGAAGGTAAAGATGCAGCTTGCAGAAGAAAGAGTCGTCTTCCCTTACTGCCGCATGGCGACCAGGTAGAAGTTGCAGTGAACGGCGTCATTTGGGGGTTCTCGTCAGACACGGGAAATCAACGGGTCGGTAGGGATGTCGCAATGCGAGTGGCTGGGGAAGAGGAGACAAGGATAGAGAACGACTGGGATTATTGCAAGGCAAAAGCGGGTGTTGGACAGAAATGGGGGAGGCTGAGGTGGATCGCGGAAACCGAAACTCTTCACGTTATAAAGTCTTCTTCTCATTGGACGGGTTTGCGTCCGATTACAAAGGAAGGTGAAGAGTACAAATTGTGGCTGATATTGCTTGTCACAACTCATAGTTAGCTCCTCGATAACGGATTGATGAATTACAGCAGTTAAAACGATTTATCTTGTTTGCATATTTAAATCGAATCGAATGGTTGTTTATTTCCCTCGTCCCTTGTCTTTCGGGCACTTTTTCCGTTTCGGCAAAGTCAGTTGCGCCATCTCCCTTTTCCCGCTCTTGATCTGGGGTAGATTATTGTGCAGGTTATGCATTAAATTGTGCTAAATTATGAACCACACGAAATGACGGCTTTTTGCTTGCTTTTGTTGGCTGTTAAGGGCTGCTTTTACTGATGGGCGGTCTAGGCAAAATATAATTTTCAACCATGTATACACAGGCATTCTGGATTAAATAATATTCAATAAGTCTTAGAGCATTAGTTTCACTCATTGGATTTATGTTACCTCCAAAGTTGGTTCCTTAATAAGCGATTCCGGAGGATCTTCAGCACCACGAAGCGCCCATATCACACTGAGATTTGTACCATCTTCAAGCAATGGTTCACAAAAGTCTTACCCTTTGACATTGTCCTGTATACGGGAGGGGACGGTGGCACGGTAATAAGAGCCAATCAATCAGCTATTGAAAACTTTGGTCGTTTAATAATCAACGAACTCTTCGGCGTATAAATTGCACTCCGTTCAAGACGAAGCGCAGTCGTGCAAGCGGACCTCATTTATGAGCCGTAGCAGTACTGGCTGCTGGACCTGCAAGCTCCGTCATCGTAGATGTGACCAATTGCGGCCGGCTTGTAGAGAATGCAGCGAACGACACATTAGCTGTCACGGCTATGGTCCAAAGCCTGCCTGGATCAACAATAAATCTTTGCTTAATGCCGAACTTTCCCGGATCAAACACGCCGTCAAGGAAAATTTCCGTCAGAACAGTCGAAGACGTGCAGCTAGGACCAATGAATCATCAAATGACCAGGAAACTCATCGCGATGGGTCGTTTCCAACCAATTCGGATGCAACAGAGGCCTCAAAGGCATGTTCCGACTCAGCCGCAGTGTCTCCAGCTCAACAGCTTACTTTTCAGGAATCACAGCTTCTGATCCATTATCTTGACTACATCTTCCCTCTACAATTCCCTTACTACGTTGATAATCCCGAGGTTGGAGGTCGAGGCTGGCTTTTTTGGTTTCTTATGAAAAGCGACCCCCTACACCAGGCCATACTTACTCTCTCTGCACTACATCGATACACGAGATTTGCCAGGAGGGCCGGTGACACAGAGCAAGAGCTTATAGAATACCATACTAAAGCCTTACAAGGCCTTCGCCAAGCATTGTGTCAACACGAAATTGGTGATTTGGCTACAAGCAGCGAGCAGCTGATCGAATTCCTTGCATGTGGTTCAGCTCTCATTAGTTTTGAAGTAGGTTCATGGCCAAAGATTACATGTCTAAACCTTGACTGATGCCGTCCAGGTTTTTCAAGGGGGAACAATGAATTGGCAGCCACACCTCGATGCGCTCAGCTCCGTCGTCAACGGAATGACCCATGTTTCAAACCATCTTTCATCGAGAGCGCAAAGTAGACCACCTTTTACGGCTTCGCCTGGAACCGAGGACATGGAGCATGCACAACGATTTCTGGTGGCCAATTTACTATGGTTTGATCTCCTCGCGTCCACTTCTAGTGGGACAGCCCCAAAAATTGCCTACAAGCTATGGCTGGACGAAAGGAACATAGATCTGTCTCAACTCATGGGCTGCTATAACTGGGTCATGACTGCAATTGGAGATATTGCCAGTATCAAATCACGAGGAGCATCCGAAAATTCCACGGCCGTCGTTGAAGCTTTCGAGATCAAAGACCGTCTAGAAGCTGGGCTTCGTGACCTAGATCTAGTTGCACAGGTGCGCCAATGCCGCTTCAAGACAGAATAGATAACTGCTGACGAGACGCACTTGAAGGTACCAATGCCCATCGCAGTGCCGATATCACGAGTTTTTGCCTGTTCGGCAATGGTCGAGCTTTATACAACCTGTCCACCTCTTGTCTACACTGCTTCGGCAATGCAGGATGCTGTGGCCAATGTCATTGAAGCGATTCGACTTTTCCCGGAGAACACATCTTTGCGAGGCTTGACCTGGCCGGTTTGTGTAGCAGGATCTATGGCAGAGGGGGATCAGCAACAATACTTTGAGACAGTGATGCAGAAGATGTTGGGTGGCTCGGGGATTGGTTTCACCAACTGCGATACCGTCTCTCAAATTGTAAAACGATGCTGGCACTATAGAAGAAACCATCCTGGGCAATCCTGGAACTGGAATGATTCGATGGGAGCTATGGGCATCTGTGCTCTCCTTGTCTAGAGAAAGGACGAATTGATAGATCGGGGCACCCACATATACCAACTTGCTATCTTTCCGCTCTGCATTTCCGCACAAGGATGCTAAATTCTCTTAGTACTCTTAGCTTCCGATGCTGTCAATGACTTTGCCCACTTGAACTAGAGTAGAGTAGCTACTCATTCTTTTGGTTAGTATTCCTCCAATATTTCTCTTGGGAAGCTGTTTTATCCATCTGCTTTCAACAACACTGCTACAGAACGTGCTAATGGCCTTGTAGTGATTTGGAATATGTACCTAGAAAGGCAACAGCACTTGGATGTTTGGCATAAAAGTTTCTCATCTCAGTCAAATGAAATGAATATAACATTGAAATCGTTACGGCAATACACTTTGGGAAAACCAGCCTTTCTACAGCAATTTCATCATATTATTTCTTCTATTCTATCATCAGCATTTGGGCATCACACCGACCGTTAGAGGCCTTGGCAACGATGACTAGCAGGAAGTGATCCTTTGGCACAGGTGCCAATGTAGGGTATTTGTCATTTCTCTTGGGCCTGCATAGACAGTCGCTAAACGACCACGTCTCGCCCTCCAAAGAGAGAGCCGTCGGCAGACTCCCGTCCACAAATGCCTCAATGGAGTCAATGCTGATTGATCTATGGGTTACAGTCAAGGTGCCACGAACAGAAACATGACGAATCTCATTTTTGATGTCGTGCTCCTTCTCCCAGACAGCGGATTTGATTTTCAAGACCGGTTTCTGGCTTGTCAATGTCCTTTCGGTTAGGGGGATGTGGTCGGTAGCGATTTCTGGGGCCAGGTGAGGAGCGGTCCGTCGCTGCGACCCTGCTTCATACGCAAAGGCATATTTAAGCAAGTCCTGATCGGTCCAGCCCTTGGTGACAAAAGTAATACCGACAGGCATTTGTTTGTCCTTCATTTCACCCATTGGAACGGTAATGCAAGGCACTCCCAGGTGTTTGAGTGCTCGACCTCCATTCGCGTATTTGACGCCGTCCTGGAGTGCATGGCGCATGGATTCGATATTCTCATCGGCATCGGCAAAAGATACATCACCGTTGGTCGGAAATGCCAGCAGGTCGTACCCGTGCTTATCCATCCAATCTTCGAACAAACTCTTCCTCATGTTCTCGAGAGCCTTGATCGACGGCTCACAACCAGGCAACATGTAGATGGATGAGTCTCGGTCCCGAACCAAATCGATCATTTCGCCATATCGGACCTGATTCTGAGCTTCAGAGTGGGCGGAAGGATCGTCCAGTGGCGCAATGTGCGGATGGATTTTTAACGGGTCAGCGGATGCGAGATTTGGATACTTTTGGTCACTATTGGTACGGAGAAAATCGTCCCAAGCCATGGCAATCAAATTGCATCGTTCAATGTTCGCCCATTCGACGGAGAGACCGGGAACATTGGTACCTTGACCGGGAAAATCCTTTGAGGTATACTGCTCAAAAAGAGGGAAATCGGTTTCAACAAGAGTCGCCCCAAGCGCCTCCAAATCTTGTCGTGCTTGATCGAATAGCTCACGCACAGCTTGGCTGCAATAGGTGGGCGGTTTTGATCCTTCAATTCCAAGGAAGCATTTTGGCACGGCTATCCTTTTCCCCCTAAGTGCACTCTGGTTTTCAAGGCTATGAAAATCGACTGGACGGACCTCAGAGGCTAGCGGAATGGGGATGAATGTTTGGTTCCTCCAGAAATCAATACCTTGTGTGGCCTTGGCGTCGTCTGCAACAATGATATTGAGGACATCTAGGAGATCTGCGACTGTCCGCGTGTGGGGCACGATCACATCGCAGGTCGGATATAAAGGCCACTGACCACGGTTTGGGATCACTCCGCGAGACGGAGAGTATCCGACCAAGGCATTATTGGAGGCCGGAGCACGCCCAGATGTTACAGTCTCACCTGCAATTCCAAAAGCAGCAAACGCAGACGTCGTTGAAGTACCACAGCCGGTGGATGAGCCCGATGCGTACGCAGTGGTTGAGTAGACAGTACTGTAGGGGCTTTCAGCTCGGCCGTATAGTCCCCGCTGGCAGCCACCATCCGCCATGGGAGGCATATTAGTTTTGCCGAGTACTATAGCTCCAGCGTCCCGAAGGTGCTCAATGATAGCTGCATCGTCGGAGGCGATGAGATCGGCGAAAGCTGGTGACCCGGCCGCGACAGTCATGCCCTTGACTTTGAAGCTGTCCTTTACCGTAAAAGGGATTCCCTCCAGCGGCCTTAGGGGATGTCCAGATGCTCGATAATCGTCGGAGGCTTGCGCCTCAGCGAATAAGTTGGGATTCAGTACAACAACCGAGTTCAAGCAGGGACCACGCATGTCGAATTGACCAATTCGATGCATGTAGCGAGCGACCAGCTCTACACTCGTCAAGCTCCCAGAGTTGAGTGCCTCTCTGAGGTCGGCAATTCCTGCTTGCGTGAGGTTCAAAGTTTTAGACCTGGACATGGTTTTGTTCCCCTCAAAGTTTGTGTTGAAGATGCTCTTTCCGTCTTGATAGTTGTGATGCTAGGCCGTGGTTTCGGTTTGAGAGGATTGGCCGAAAAGGAAGAAAAATATCACCAGATTCTTTGGAGGAGGACATGATGTCGAGATTTGTTCTTCATTTTATATTTCGTGTTTTGCACAAGTTCTTTGTCGCCATATATTCCGAACATGCATGGAATGCTTTGGGCTCAGTAGTCCACCCCTTCATCTCGCACCGACTAGCTTGATACCCTGCAAAGATGATGGAATAAGTTACAATTTTTTTTCTGCAACCTGTTTCAGGGGCTGTCACAAGGGAAGGAAAGTCGTAGCGCTAGTGTTGCCCAAAAAGATGAGATAGACCATGACGAGTATCAATCATGTAAGTGCTTTTGGGGGCATATAGGGATTCGACGATATTTTATGGAACAAAATTATTGTTGACTACAGTTTCAAGTCACTCTTCTCGTGTCACTTAATCGGATGGGCCCGGACTCAAATGAAAATAACCAGAGAATATCTAGATCCTCATTACAAGGAAGCTGTTTCGCCTCTTTGCTCTCTGGGAGGGAATCTCGTGCCGTTAGCGTTGCCGATAAGGGTCCGGTAAGCTGTGATTGTCGCCTGGGCAGGAATCTCGTAGCGGAACATTTGGTGATCCGCTAGCACAGACCCCATCAGCATCATCACCGCCCCACTTGTGCTGACTTCATGGCCAAGAGTAAACAGAGAGGAGTAACCCGCAAAAAGATCAGAGGTACCTGAGGTCTGTACAGATCACAGATCCTAGGACATGTCTATATAGACTGGGCTTTAGTTCAGAGATTCCTTAAGAGCGATTGCCAGTCGCTGCACGAAATGGGATTCCTTCTCGTCCACTAAATGCATCTAACTTCGTTCCCACCGCCCTGCACCGGCCTAGTTCCACAATTTCTTGTGTATTCAACTCCGTCAAAATAAAATCATTGCTATGAGAACAGAAGCAGAGATTAAGCAAATTATAAATGTTCATAAGTAAGCTGAAGAATGGTGTCTAGGACTGTGGATACAACGGAATAAATACACAGCTTGTAAGAACGACAAAGCATATCGGAGGAAGTTTAACATAGGGTTTACATATGAACCAATTGACCATGTCATAGTCTTTTCATTACATTCTAGGTAAATCGTACCCCTTTTTCCTCATACGTAGTACATGTAGTCATAGCTACCTTATTCTGCGGGATAACTTTATAGTGCACGACCTGAAATCACGTGGCATGTGGCTGTGCTCGCGGAACGGAAGCTAATTAACGCCGACCAAGCCCTAAACGGCGGTGGTTCGGTCGTCCGCATCCAGCCGAACAGGAGGAGAAGTGACTCTACAAGGAAGAAATGGCTTGATCTAGGAACAAATCGAGAGTAGTAGCTATAGTAGTAAAAAGAGGGGTGTGCGAGCATTCGATCCAGATTACTCGCGGAGCTGCTTTTATCACAAGTGCCTTGAAGCTGAGAAGAGAGAAAGGTCCTGACAAATATTTGACCTTCAGAATCTGTTGAGTGAGATTACATTAACCTTGTCCGCCAAGAGCCAAGACCTCGTGGCGTCATTTTGGAAGAAATCGGAGATAACTTCTCTGCACGGCCATTCTCCCCTCTTACTGCCATCATTTATCCCCTGAGAAAAGGGATAGAAGAATAGAGCGTAAAGAATACAGCATTTTATCGCCACTGGTTTTGCCTCTGGGGTTGTCGTGACGCGGCCCATAAGACGTTTCCGACTTTGCCGCCGTGCGAATCTCAACACCTCATCTTACTACTTCCTCCTCACATTTTTGAGCACCCGTCGCAACACAAATCTTCAAAAGCTGAGATTGCTCAAGCTAAATACAATTACGTCCTGAGCAAAAAAAAGAAAACTTTTATATTTCATCTATCGCATATCAAGCTACACCTGCAAACGCAATGGATAACAACAAATACGTGAGTTTACCTCCACCGCCCTAGGTATTCAGCATTTCGAAAGGCTTTTTACCAGCACCGTTGAACGACTTGACTTGCGAAATTATTGCTAACCTTGCGATCTATTAGGAATCCCCGCAAGGCCCGCCTCCCAATTACCCTCAGGTCCACCACGACGCTGGCCCCGTTCAGTCCCCTCCTCCCGTTGCTTCGCCCCACCCATACTACCAACAACAGCCCGCCAGCGCGGATTACTACGGCGGCTATCCACCTCAGCAACAGGGACCAGGAAGCGGGTACTACCAGCAACAGCAAGGAGGATATTACCCGCCCCAGCAAGGATACTATGGCGGCCAACAGCAGCCCATGTACTACCAGCAAGGTCAGCCGCCGCAGGGCTACTATGCGGATAACCGGGGAAGTGGTGCGGCAGAAGGTATCTGCGCAGGATTGCTCGGTGCGCTGGCCTGCTGTTGCTGCTTGGACTTTTTCTTCTAAACTTCTTGATTGATGGACTCTGGGCGAAGGCGGGATAGCTAGCTGCTTGTCCTAGAGCGTATTGATCTGAGTGCGCTAATTCGACTTGGAGCGTGAGGGTCTGGCTCTTTTCGTTCTTAATATAATTCCTAAGAATGGTATTACTGGAGTTCTTGGGAAACGATAAGATAGGCGCGGCGCATTCTACTACTTTCTTTTTTTCACTTTTATCTTGAAACTTCACTGGAGTAATTTGCAATGGGGGCCATTTATTTGTCATTTTTGTCTATTTCATTGTTTCACACTGGTTTGGTTCGATTTGGTTTCAATTGGTATTTTGGACTGCTTTCAATACAGGTGTCGGATATAGCAACCTCCTTCAAAGCTTGTGGTATGGTCATTTTATTGTTATGGTGGATAATGCCAATTGCAAGTAATTACTTCTTGGGTTCTATCTATCCTTTATCACATGAAGCTTACTTAAGATGTAATAAAGTGAAGAATTATTAATCTACCCGTGATATGACAAACATGGTGACGGCGCTTCGGATCGCCACTATAGACGCCATTCGGCAAGCCACAGGGACGAGCTCCTCGGCATATTGCTCGCCTAAACTTCCGACATACAGCTCGGAGATACTGCGGCAAAGAAAAAAAGTTCGTTTAGAATTCTTCTGTGGCTGAGGGTGGAAATCAACAAACGTGATTCTACTGTACAGTGCATAAATCTGTCCTTACAATTACTGTTCGCTCCTTTGTTTACTCTATTACCTTTTTATTTTTTTTGTCCAAAAGTATTTCTGGTATACTGGTTTTGGAAAAGACAAGTGTTTCTCGTTTGCAGCACTCTGCGTTTTGCTTCTTTTGATACCCATATTTCGCCCCAGTTCACTATGAGTTCAAGTTCATATTCCGCATGGCTTGACAAGAGGAACACTCTGACGGCTCAGCTGGAAGAGGACCCTTACAATCTTGTCATTTACAGCCAGCGATCCCACGTCTATGAAGAGCTGGGATATCCTGACCTCGCAGCCAGCGACGCCTATCGGGCCCTGCTGCTAAGCGATGAAGTGCAGGATGACTGCGGGGAATATTACGAGGACGCACGTGCGTCGTTTGAGAATTTTTTGAGAAGAGAGGGGTTGGGTTCTACAGCATCTGAAGATCACGAGACCGGGTCAAATGCAGAGACATCCACTGGACTGGCGGAGAGATTGAATGGCGTTTCTTTTTCGTCTGCAGATCCTGATGCCAATGGGCAGGAGAAGGAGGAAACGAACGACGAAGACGAAGACGAGGAAGAGGAAGAGGAAGAAGACGAAGAGGACGAAGAGGACGGCTTACCTGATGAACTCGTCGAGGAAAAAGTCAGCGAGTATGCACTGGACAGCTACAGAACCATTGCACGCAACCTCAAACACATAGGCTGCGCCAGGAGCGCTTTTGACTTTTGCAAGCGCGGGCTTTACGTTTTCCGAGGAGACCCGGTCATCTCTGCGCTCAAGCAGGAGATTATACAGGAACATTTCCCTTCTTCTTCTTCTTCTTCTTCTTCATCTTCCAGCGACAACACAACGACTATCCCTGCCGACTTTGACCCAGATGATCTCCCCGAGAAAGGATCCGTCCGGAGAGAACTCTACCCGTGGAACAGCCACAAGCCGGACCGGTTTTCGGCCGAAAGTCTCGCATTCCTGAACGAGGAGATGCGCAAAGTTGCGCCGAAATGCGAGGTCCGCGTCAGTACGCTTCCGCTGCTCGGCAGCGCCGTGCAAGAAGGCGGCGAGGCCAAGCAGGATTCGGATTCGGATTCGAATTCGAATTCTACGACGACGACAACAACAGCAGCAGCAACTTCAATTCAGCAACTCGGCGTATTCGCCAAAGAAGACATTGCTCCCGGCGAAGTCTTTCTCAACGAAAACAGCTTGTTGACGGCGAATAACCGCCTGCACGAACCGCTCTGCGACGCGTGTAGTTCTGTCTTGCCTCATAATCTCCCGGCTGGTTCACTGTCTGCCGCTTTGGCCGGCGAACATCCCTCCAACTCTTTGTCCCTTTCCTCCTCCACCACCACTGCTCCATCAGGCTCCTTTTCTCCCTCCTCCACATCCAACCCCACATCCTCTTCTCCTCCCTCCGCATCAGACCCCTCTTCTCCCTCCGCCTCCAACCCCACAACGACAACAGCAGCAGACATCCCCTACTGCCCATCCTGCGACGACACCGTCTTCTGCAGCCGCACCTGCTACGACCTCGCCATGACGCACTACCACCCCTCCGTGTGCGGCAAAGACGTCGACACCATCGCGCGGGACACCTCCGCCCGCGAGGCCGCCGACGCACTATACCTCCTGCTGCTGGGCCGGGCGCTCGCCATGGCCGAAACGACAGGCCACCACCCGCTGGAGCTCAAAGAAGTGAAATTCATCTGGGGCGACTTCACGTCCCCCGCGCACCCGGTCGACAGTCTCCCGTTCACCTTTGCCTCGAATATCCAGGGGCCCCTGCATATCCTCGAGAAGATGGATATCAACATCTTCACGGCCCTCGAGCGCTATGATACCTGGGTGCTCAATACCCTGTATGCAAAGTTTAGAGGCACCGCCTCGGCCCGTCTGAGTACCCGCGATGGACGCCCGGAAGTTTCGGCTGTCCATCCCATGTGGTGTCTTGCGAATCATAGCTGCGATCCGAATGTTAGCTGGGAGTGGGGCGGCAGTGTGCGCTTCTGGGCGCGTGAGAGGCGCGTGAAGTGGGGTGATGGGTTGGGTGACGGGGTGGGCGGTGGGGAGGGTGGTGGGAAAGCAGAAGCAGGTGGGGAGGGTAGTGGAAAAGGAGAAGCAGGTAGGGAGCAAAAAGAACAGACAGGCCGCATCGGCGGCGTCAAGGCCGGAGAGGAAATCATGAGTCACTACTGCGACGTCGATCTGGGCGTCCACGACCGAAGAGAATGGGCCGTCGGCGCGCTGGGCGGGCTGTGCATGTGTGAGCGCTGCGTGTGGGAGGACAAGCACACCGGCGAGACTGCATGATTGAGCCCGGATTCTTTTTTCCAACGGTGTTGACCAACGAGTGTTGATATTAGAATTAGGTAACTATACAACGAAAGTTTATGAGCCATTGCATGTCGCGATACTAGCACTCTTTTCTTTTCTTCTCCCCGGATGACAAAACTCTTTTCCCGAAAATAATTAATATACCTATACGCCGAAATAACCCGTGAACAGCAGCCAGGTAGAATGACGATGATATCGCTAGTGATTACCACCCAAGTAAGAGAGCCAGAAACCGTGTGTGGACCAGACACATATCCACATATCCCTGATTCCTCCAAGGCTTTCAACGCCTTTTTTCTTTTTGTTGTGTGTGATTGACGCAGGAGGATAATCAGATACTCCAACGACTTACTTGCCGCCTCCAGCTCCGAGCCATTTCCGCAAGGCTCTTCTTGATTTCGTTCCCTATCGGCCAACACTGTCAGCGCCCTCATTACCCAGAAGAGAAGAAGAAGAAGAAGTCCAAAAAGAGGGGAGCAAATACAAACAAATATTAAGAGTGTTAGAAGAGGGAAAAAAGAAAAAGAAAAAGAAAAAGAAAAAAAAATAAAAATAAAAATAAAAAAGTGTATACCTCATCATTCTCATCATTCTCATCATCATCAACCGTCATACTCCGCTCCTCATCACCATTATACACCACAAACCAGCCTACTTTCTCCTTGGGGGCCAACTGGTCGCGCAGCTCGACCAGCGCGCCCCACTGCTCGGGGGGCACGCCCTCGCCCATGACCTCGGCGACATCGCAGCTGAGATTGCACGTGTGCACTTTATCCGCGACAAAGACGTAGGGCTGCGTGACGGCGTTGGTGGTCAGGTCCTTTTCGTCGTGCTGCTCGACGAGCCGCAGGTGCGGCAGCGAGGCCATGGTCTCGGGATACAGGTTGTGGAAGGACCCGATGATGGATTCGGAGGAGCCCGGCGCAATGGTCCATTCGGCGGCCGCGTCGTCGAGGTTCTGCAGGATGATGTGGATCCGGATGCTGGCGCGTGGCCACCGGAAGCCGTGCAGGAGATAGACTGGCATTTTTTTTTCTGCCCCTTCGGGAGAATGATGCTCCCCCTCACTTTTTTTGATTTCACCCAACTCAGGTAATTGAGGTGGTTGAGGGAAGGGATAAGGGAAAGGTTTTGATATAGTTCGCTCTGTCCAGAAGGTTCTCCGAGTCCGGAACAGCGTGTAGTCGGAGATGATGGTAAAAATCCCAGAGGATCTCCAGAAAGGAAACAAAGCGCCTCGAAAAATGGATCCAGGAAAAGGTATAGTGTGATAAGTAAAATTGACTGCAAGAGAACCAGATGGTTGGAAAAAATGTCAGAAGGCGATAGCTCCTCAGCGAAGGAATTCCGTGGTTGCGCCTGTGCCGAATGCCAGTTCGAATACACCAGGACACTCAACCCCGTCTGCCCCGGAAGAAGGCTTCGGAAATCAGAGCTTTCCCTTCGATCGAAAAGAAAAGGACAACTGTAATGGTGTCCAAGAAACGTCGTCGGTTTTTTAATAGTGAACAATGGACAACCAATCAACCCCAATCGCCGCCGCGAGAGACTCTGGTTTTGCACACACAGAACCTTGCAGTAATCGAAAACGTAGAACAGAACAAATAGATGACCGTACGACAAGAACAGACGGACTATCCAGGAAACAAATGGAATGCAAGCAGAGGGGGAATATAAAGCAAAAAGTCCAAGGCTTAACGTCGTCAGAGCACAAGGTCTACTTGCGCCTCAACATTGCGACACAGAACAGAACATCCGTGACATTATACGCAATTGAATCAAGCTGAAAATAACAAGATAGAAATGTAGCGATTGAGTCTGTGCAGCAGCAGCAGCAGCTTCTCAACACGCGGGAGCAATCGCCGAAATAGCAAGTCTGATCGAAAGAGCTACAAACCGGGCTCAGATGGCGGTAGAGGGAGAGAAAGGAAGTGCTTCGTATTGGGGAGATGTTCGGGTATTATCCTTGGGACAGAAGATGCGAGAAAAAAGAGATGAGATGAGACAAAATGTGATACAGTGATACTTTGTACAATGATATAAGAAAACGCACAAGAGAATCGAGTACCTCTGTATTTGTCTTGTGTCCTATCTGCACCTCATCGCATTGGGAAATAACCCGGACATAACAGTACTCGATAGCTATATCCCCTAGTCATATCCCCTGTCGAACAAACAAACGAGCTATGCTTTCCCCCTGTTTCTCCCTTTTAAAAAGTGGAGAATTGGACCCCGTATTCCCCAACCTTTTTTCGGTCTTAACGCGCGGGTAAGGGCGGGTGTTACTACAGTGTGACATCCCACCCCCCGTTGAAATGGGGTTGGCCCCACTAAATATAATTCTCCGAAATGCTGGAGCACAACTTTCAATGGGTCATGGACAACAATCTATAACCACAGGCAAGGGCAAATGCTGCATCACATGCAGTTAATTATCGGCTGTTACTGTGCAAAAGAAAGGCTACAGGATGCATAGATGAGTCAATTGGAAATTACACAGCGCGTAAATAAGACGACTTCTGCTGATTCCTCAACATCCACGAAACTCGTCATCATTTCGATCTATAAAGTCGGTGTGACCCAGGTAGTCACTTCAGTGCGAATATTCAAAGAGAGAAAATGAAAGCGTATTTCTTCTGTTCAATCACACATAATCCGCCTCAAGCAGGCAGTTACTAAAGATATATTTGAGAAATGAGACGACAAAAAAGACATCAACCAGATCAAAGATATTGTTGCCAAAAGGTTCGTAAAATTCATAAATTCATTCATGGCCAGAAATGCTCCTCACTTCTGGTAATATCAATCCGCGTTTAAGACATGAATGGCTGTCTCGCGGTCGGCATTCTTGCCTCCACGTTATCGACTGAAAATAACTCGCATGAGGAGCTAGTCTTCGAGAGACTGCGCCAACCCACTCAGGTCCATGAACGGTGCAAGTGATGGCGCAGTGGTCGTGAGCCCACAGGTTGAGTCCGGATGAAGAGGTAATGCTGGTTTTTGACTGCGCATCTCCCTTTTCAAGTCTTCGCGGACCTTTTCGATCAGCTTCGACATTATCTTTTCCTGGGTTTGGAGATGCGTTATATCATTCTTTTGCGTGTCCGGGACGCGCCACGCCAAGTACAGCTTCTGATGGCTAGGCGGAGTGGTATAGCCATTTGGGTGGTTCGAGATGTAGTGATAGCACAAGTAGCATGCAGGCTTACTGCATCCGATATACTTGTCTCCGTCCAAGAAAACGGCCTTGTTCCGTTCAAAGTGGTCAATAAGCAGCAATTCTGCATGTACACGAGTCTGGACCTTGACCCCTGCGCAAAGTATCTTCTCCAATTCTGCTTCAGAGTGAAGTGATCGAAGGCGCTCATGGTACAGATCGCGTTGAGCATCGTTCGCTTTAAACATTCGATTCACAACTCCTCCAATCTTGAGTTTCTTGGCAACCAATGGGATTTTTCGATCCTGGGCATGTGGCACGGTTCTGACTTTGAATCCATTGGCAAATTCTTGACGAAGAGAGATTGCAGCAGAGATCAAATGTCCCGAAACAGAGACAACCTTTCCCAGCTTATAATGAAAGCCAAAAAGCTTTTCAAAATCCTGTTCACGATGGCTTCCCGGTCCCGAGAGTCTCTTCACTTCTCTAAGAGCTGACGAGTTCCGTTCTGTATAACATTCACGAACTAGTTTGCCAAAGAGAGTGGTGTTCGTTGACATGTCATAGATGAGAACCAATTTATTCTGCATCCACAGCTCTAATTGAGCAAGGGGCGAATCGGGACACTCGTCGTCTGTGCTAGAGTTAGTGCTTGAAGCATGAAAAGAATGCGGTATTCTCAGCACCTTGATTTCGCCTTTCTTGTATCGAGCGCAGACATATCCCAAGGTATGTGGTCAATTGTGAAACATAGACACGGAGTCGTGGGCGAAGGAAATGGATTACGTCTGCCAAGATCTTCTGAAAAACAGCGGTTTCCAAGTCTTTCAAACTGCCCGCATCAAGACTCGCCCAGGAAAGTTCTTCGAGATCTTTGAGGAGTTCCTTCGCGAAGGCTATCACTTCGGGTTGGACCCCGCGGTTGGCCGCCAACCAAACAGTGATTCCTTGCGGCGTCGGCTGTAAGGCAGCAGCTGTAACGAAATCTGGACATTTTTTGTAAGAACATAGATAAGCAATTCCATCAACGAATTTTCTTCGAGTTTGCACTCTGTTGGCGCTCGAATCTTCCTCATCTGAGCACCTCGGCTTTATCCGCTGACCTCGAACTTTACCAAATGCATGCAACAACACAGCTGGCTCATACAAGCGCTTCAGAAATTTTGTTCTCAATTGAGGGAGTTCTTGAGAGGAGGCAGCCATTGGAATTATAATTGAGTACAAATAATATCTTCAATTTGTCGGTCTATCGTGTATCAATCGTTGGATATCTGAACAATGGGGGTCATGAGCAGTATAAATGAAATGCCTGCATTGAGCCTCTAGGCTATAGAAAAGGCCTTGCGCCATAGGCGTCCAGTCGCTTCCCTGCTGACCGAAATTTACGACGCCTTGAAGTGCTGTACAGAAAAAAAAATTAGCAGGGATATTGAAGCTGCGGTTCGATCCCAACCGCCCCAGCGGTGTATAAACAATGAGGAGAACGATTGCGACGAGCTCATTTACCCAATGACAACTGCCAACGGCATGTTCTTGGTGGAGGCTTGTGCTGCTCGTCGTGGCATTGGTGAGGCGAGGAGCGCGCAAGGCTGTCAGGCAACCATGCAGCCAAGGGTCATGGGGCCCGAGACAATTATTGCTTTCCTTCGTAATCCCTCTTCCAAACCTCATCAAACACGGCTACGTCGACTGCAAATTCCCTAATATAATCTCTTTCGAGATCGTGAACTCTGCTGCCTAAAAGGACAAGGCTGTGCAAAGGCTGTCCGAGGTCTGTCTCCGCCAATTGCTTCAAGGTGCCGGCGGCGAGTCTTTGATTGGGCGCCCCAACGCGTGCAGCACCTACAGCAAGGCTGTCTGGGCCATATGCGCCTTGCTTTCTATCCTCTTCGATTTCCAGCATTTGCGAAGCGCACTGTGCCACTGTCATGTATCGCGGTGACTCATACACAATCTTTCCTCGTGCCATCATCTCCAGCGATGGCTCCTTGACCTTGATATCGAGAAGCACAAGTGTGTGCAAGCCAATATTCCTGTTCTCAAGTACTCGGTCATACCAGGATGAGGGTTTCCAGTTCTCCGTAAAGAAGACCATCGACACGGTCTGTCCAAAATTGTATAATTGAAGTCCTGTGGCGCCGATGCCTGACATGATCGAAGCATTAGGCACCGTTTGGGTCGAGATATGCAGCTCTCGAGCTCGAAGAACGAGGTCTGTGTGCGTAGTCGCTCTACACAAAGTGGTCAGAAATGCATTGTAAGACGCCGCACAGATGCAGTAGGAAATGCTTCTGCGTACCCAAATGGATCCCCAACGACAAGAAAAGCAACATCAACCTTGTCGGCATCTGCCAAAATCTCATCGCTAGAAGATTCGACCATTTCTCGATCGGCAATTATGACGGGGCGGCCATAGTAGGCTTCCTACTTCCCGAACCGCCGTAAGCTTCTTGACGACTTCACTTCCACAGATAGAGCTATCGAAGAGTTACTGTTTCTTTCGATAAACTTACCAATTTCTCCTTGTCTACCAGTAAAATGCTCGTGTAGGCCTCGAGATAGACGCGGGCTGCCTTTTTAACAACTTCCAGACCCTTGACAGTGATATCGCTCTCGTCGGCGAGACCGAGTCCAACGAGATAAAGCATTTTCGTGTATTTTGACTATTGCGAGATTGAACCGACCGCGTAGAATGCTATAATTTCTGAATAATTCTCGTTATGCTCAATATTGACGGTCCGGCAAGACTTCCTGAATGCAGCAAAAGTTTTGGGCTGCTATGCTGTGAATTATACCGTGATTGGTCGCTAGGGCAAGGCGGTGAGTGGCAGGTCTCGTTTCCCATTCCCCAGATTTGGCCAGTATTATCTCCTTCCCTCAAAGTGATCGACATCATCCATCCTCCAACGAATGAACTTGAAGATCTCAAAGAGCTGAAACTCCTATGCTCTGTTTAATCTGTCATCCCGTTAATACAGCGCAGACATTGGAGGTGTTTACTCAACTCCAAAATGGCGGACAAGTCGGCCAAGTACCGGACGGAGATTCAGCAGGTAAGGAAAGCCCTCAGACATGCTAATCTTATCTGCTTGAAGTGCCTCGCTGTTGAACTTCTCTGCAATTTGGAGATAGGCGTTCCTTTGTTCAAGCACATGTTGTTATGAGAGCGTTTGACAGCCAAAAGTTCTCTGTTGGCATTTATACCCTGCTACTATGGTTGCGTTGCGACGCTTGCTGCATTTTTCTGAACAGATTGCTTCTCGGAACAAGCCTGACGACGTCATGTATTCGCGCATTCACTGTCCTGCTATTTTTCCAATGACTTTTCCCAAATTGGGACATCTGTTTATGAAGCTGTCTTATGCCTCATTTCAAGACTTTCTTTGCAGTCATTTGACTTGTCTGTTATCTGCGCGCAATTTATCCCAGCTTTCCTGCAATGACGCCTCCCCTACACAGCACTATTTACACCCTTGCCCTCTCATCCAAGTCAAATGTCGAAGACAAGCTTGATACGGAGAGCGCAGAGGAATGGACAGAGAGACTTACGGATCTACTTAACCAGATGATGTTCGTCTCGGGCGAGACGGCAGATATCCCTCCCGAGACCACCGGCACAGTGGAAGAGATTGTGCGTCAACAAGTCATTGAAATGGTTTGTCTTTTCCCCTCTTCGCATATTTCGCATGCTATCTACAACATTAACCATTCTCTTCAAATCAGCTGAGCCAATGTACCTCCCAAGCGGCTAGAAGAGGCGTCCGTTCTATTTCTACAGAGGACCTCATCTTCCTTATCCGCCATGACAAGGCAAAGGTATCGCGCTTGCGAACCTTTCTCTCCTGGAAAGACGTGCGAAAGAACGTCAAGGACTCTGATGACAAAGGAGGTGCTGATGCTGATTTCGTCGCTGGCGATGACCCTATCGGTGCAGGAGTAGTTGGCGGACCTGGTCCCGGAGGAGATGCGGGCAAGAAGAACAAGAAGGCCAAAGTCGGATTACCTTGGGAAGTTCCTAGTCTGTACAGCGAGCAAGTGCCGGAAAGAGAAGACGAGGAGGACGAGGAAGAAGAGGAGATGAACTACGCCACGCTGCAACGACTGAAGAATGCCGATGAGCGCACAAAGAACATGACAAAGGAAGAGTACGTCCACTGGTCCGACTGCCGCCAAGCTTCGTTTACTTTCCGCAAAGGCAAACGTTTCAAGGAATGGGCCGGCTTTGGTATTGTTACCGATAGTAAGCCGAATGACGACATTGTTGATATTCTGGGTTTCTTGACCTTTGAAATCGTCCAAACGCTCACCGAGGAGGCGCTCCGAGTCAAAGATGCCGAGGATCAATTCAAGCGTGAAAGTGGCGGAGAAAACCAGAGCCGGAAACGTAAGCGTGAGAGCGGTTTATTCGATCCCCCAGAGGAAGTGCGCGCTCCAGTTCAACCGCGACACATACAGGAGGCTTTTCGCAGGCTGCAGCACCGCGAGAACAAGGGCAAGGCCATGAGAATGTATGGTCGTTCTCTGCACAGGACGCCCCTTAAGATGGTAAGTCATACCTGCGTTGCCCTTTCGGCCTTGTCTCTGAACAAATTTTCTCTCGCAGATTTAAGAATGATCTTTGCATTGCATTTCAACGAATGACGTTAAATACAATGCTTCTCTCGAATATGGTGGCTTTATCTCAGTGGCGTTAAAGGTTTAATTAGATACCACCACCTACCTGGGGCGGGTGGAGAAACGGACGGCGTGTGATCGGAACAAGGAATATTAAGGACGTTACATTTAGCATTGCGTTCTACAAGTGCAGTTTGTCACATATATCTAATGAAAGGCGGACCGAATCATGGTTACTCTGCCGAATATTCACATTATATGTCCTATCTTGTCTCCCACGAGACTTGGAACTGTTTCCTTATTTCAATCATAAAACCCATGCTAGCTATGCAATATGGGATATTTGGTTCATTTTACCCCGTATATCAGTTTATATCGGGTTTCAGGATCGATGACAAGTATTTTCCCCGAGATCCATGCCGTCCGCCAACTTCCTCTCAGATCGAAGTGCGAACAAGGCCTTGCAAGTCTCTTGCGATGCTGTGCTGCATTCCTCAGCTTTGGTATCGAATACCAGTACTATATCCCAGCAAGAAGACTTCCTGTAAAAGTCTTTCGAATCGGTCGACTGGTGCCGAGAAGGCATAGAAGCCATGTCCAGTTCACTAAGACAAGACAATCTCGCCTAATATCTCCATCTGTACAGAGCCGCTCATCTGCTCGCCGATGTTTTATGAGACAATGCTCAGTACGTCTAAATTTGGCATTGCATGAGAATGAACGTGGTGAAGCTTAGGCGCGATTTCGACTCTTTCCCTGATTTGTATTCCATAGGGAAATTAAATGGCGAAAAACGATTGAAGACCTGCATTTGCAAGCTTGAAAGTGTTTATCTTCAGGAACGAAATCGTATGCCCGAGTCGTAGAGGGACGATGATAGCTGTCGGATTGCGCACCATGTCCACTGGAGATTTAAAACCACAACCGGACAGGCTCACCAAGAAGGATCCCATCCTTGCCATACTATATTTCCCCATCATCAACAAATGATTCCATTCCCCTCATACTGGTCTTCCTCTTTTATCCCCATTCCATCCTTTGTCTTTCTTCGCCTCTCTCTGCGCTTTCTTCTCCTTTCTTCCCGCTCGCGTTCGTCCTGTTGCTGGCGCGTTTCCAAGCGCGTCTTGAGATCAATCACTTCATCCTTCTTCTCCTCTTCGCGCTTGCGCTTGAGCCACGCCAGCCGCTCCCTGACATCCTCCAGCGTCGCTTTGCGCACTTCGCCCGACTGGCCCGTGTTGGCCAAATGCTGGCGGCTGTTCAGATGGTCGACAAACTGGAGGTTATCTTTGAACGTGAGGTCGCAGTCCGGGCAGTAGAAGCCCGCGCCGCGCCCGCGCTTTCCGATGCCCGCCCCTGCGGGGACAAGCATCGTCTTGCCTACGTTCGCGCTGACATTGAGCCGCTCGGCGCGCGACTGAGTTTCTTTGGCGTCGGGCGGGGTGGCGGCGCGTGGAATGTACTTTTTGCCCGCGAGCTTGGCTTCGTAGCGTGCCTTGCCTTCTTCTTTGACTTTGGCCTCCCGTGCCGCTGCCTTTGCGGCGTATTCGTCCCGGTTCCAAGTCTTGCGGAAGTCAGTGTCCCCCGCTGGGCCGGCCCCGTAGGCCGATGAGGGCGCCTTTCGGTCGGCCATTTGGTGGTGGTTTGAAGGGAGACAGAAGTGGGGGAGTTAGGGATGTGTATGTGTCCAAACGGCGTTGAATTGGATAAGTCGCCTCCAGGGTTAAAAGGTTCGAAGGAAGGTGTGGAAGGATCAAGGGTTATGTTAGAAGAGCTGCGGGCTTGTGTTTAAGCTCTTTCGCGGCGGATGATGATGATGATGATGATGCTGCTTAAGAAAAGTTGGGGCTTTGCCGTTGTTGGAATAGCGCAGAAACGACGGAGGGGGATGCTCTGGGGCGCTGTACTTCCGTTCGTTCGTAACTTGACGGTTGGAACCCTCGGAGAGCGCTCCATCTTCCACACGGGGTACATATCGTGGGGCTCGTGATACCACATTTAGAGGTCACCATCCTTATCACTATAAAGTACAGGGGTTTAATTGTATATCCAAATGTGACTTTTATTGTGCCCAATCTCCAAGATCAGAGAGTATTGGTAATATATGACTGGAACCTCCAACGCCAGTACCTCTATAATTTTCGGTTTCCAAGTCTCTATCATCAAAAATTCTATCGCAGTGATACAATGTAAAAGAAGGTAATTGTGGGGTATTATAAAGAGTGTGGAGAAGTGTAGAAACGAATGGTCAGGTTCAAGCCAGTTGAACCGCAAAAAGATGTTGTGAGGTTAGATCAGCGAAGGATTGAAATGGCGACCAGCGCCTTTTCAAAATCGGTCCAGATTCCAGAAAGGTTTGAATCAAGCGCTGTTGATGACAATGTGCGCTTTGACGCCCTTGTGGGCAGCGACAGTGCAGGCGTTGGCACCGCCAGCGCCTGTGTTGCAGCCAGGTCCCTTGCAGGCATTGACACCGTTGTCCAGGTCGATGGCGCACGGAAGACCGTCGCAGCCGTCGCCATCACACTGAATCTCAGCGGTGAACTTGGGCTTATCATTGCGGAATGGCGTCGTCTGCTCAAGGTAGATGGGGTTCCAGCCCAGCTTAACATAGGTGATTCCATTTGAGTCGGTGTTGGCGCCAGCAACGTAGGGAGCCCAGTTACCATAAGGGTTGGCAGTAGATCCCCAAACGCATCCGTCATCGGTAGAGACTCCAGGAGGGTTGATATAATAACTGTTGAGTAAATATTAGCAAAGCTCAATCAAAACAAAGAAAGGGGGTCTGGTTTAGACATACTGAGCAGAAGTACCAGCCCAGTAGGTCTGGTCAGGAACAGCAAGAGTGGTTTCGCTTGTAACGTCCGTGGGGATGAGCATAGCTTCATTACCCGGGAGGACAGTTTGGCAGAAAGCAACGTTGCCGCCGGCATTGTTCTTGGCAGTAACTGCGCCGGTGCCGTTTTGGCAGTAGGGCTTGTCAGAGAAAGGCTTGGAGATGCTGCCATCCGAGTCGCAGTGCAGACCACCATACTATTTGCAAGTTAGAATTCACTTTCAAACGATGACAGAGATGTAAAGTCCAAGGCTCACCTGAGATTGAGGATAACTGTAGGTTGTCGCATTGGGATCCCATTGCATGCTCAGCTGTCCGGAAGGACAGGCATATGGGCACCAGCTATTAGGCGTGCACTGCTGGTCAGGGCTCATAGCCCAGCCGGCATTGGAAGAGCCAGGCGTAACGGAAACGAGGCCATCATTGCCTGGGAATGCGCACTGTCCGTCGCGCTTTCCCAAGTTGGATCGATGACGGTGCTGGTGTCTCCTTGCGATAGGGCTCAGTTGAGAACCGTCGTGCTGGGCCTCTGTGAAGGATGAGAGGAACTCCAGGGTGAAAACCACTGCTGACGCAATTCCAACGGTCTTCATCTTGAGAAAAAGAGTGTGTGATATATTTGAAATGAATGTGTGAACTGGCGTCGAGCCTTTCAAAGTTGGAAAGAGAAAAGTGAAAGAAAAAAGGAGAGACAAGATGGCACTACTATACTCGCAAGAGACAGACGGATGATTGAGGCTGACCAGAGCAGGAATTGAAGACCATTAAATAGACTCCATGGAGGGGAGCAATCTTGCGTACGGCAACGCATACTGCCCATGGGGGGATCCAGTCACTCCACCGTCGATCGGCAGGAGAACATGACTGTATCCATGGTATGAGAGCGGCAACGCGCCCCAAGAGGGATAGGTGAGGGTAGAAAAGCCGTCTTTGCACGGCACATCACCGTCTGTCCCACCGGACCATTTCCATTCTGAGTTTTAGAGTACAATATACTCAAAGTACTCTGTGTGAATGCCTTGGACTTTTGTCCGGGCCTTCATCGGAAGCTCAACGGCCGCGCAAGCGGAATCACGGCCCCATTGCGTGTCCAATTTGCGGGCCGTGAAAGTCCCCATACGCCTAAATCTAGACCCATAAAAAATATGAAGAATAGCAAAAGAAGGCACCAATAATGACGCAGGTCAATTCTCAGTTTCATGACAAAGCAAACAAAGATGAAATAGGCATCCAAGGCCTTATTCTCCTTCTAACAACGTTTTGGAGGCCCATGTCAAAGAAACACCAAGTAGGCTGTCAACAACGTGAAGCAAACTTTCGATTCGGTCGGTGCTACTTCCGTACCATATGGAAAATTAACCATGAAAAGCAAAAAAATTTGAAAATGGACTTAACGGCTCTCAAATGGTGCCGATCCATTGTGACAGGAGCAGCAAATCAAACAATGGCAGGCGAACAGAAAAGTACTAGCCGAAAGGATGTCCATATGCCCTTGTACTAAACCTCTACTAGCCGCGGACTGGCTGGTCCAAGTGGCAAGCCGAACGGCCTGCCATCTGACGAACCGATCCAGGAACGACTCATGTAGTTGAAAGGTGGACTGGAAGGCTTGGTCAATGGCAGCGGCCGTTGACGAGAAATGGAAAAGAGCCGAAAGTGACTTCTTGTTGCGTCAATCGTAAGTGAAAGGGATTTCGAGCCCTACTCGTACTCTAGCAGGGAGGGAAAAAGCCGGAGAAAGCCGGGGTGCATGATCGACACGGCCCGGGAATAATCCATCCTCTTGGGTTCTTTTCATACCCCTGTCAGTTCCATCGTAACTTTTCTCACTTGTTCCTTCCCTCTCGGATCGACTCCGGGACTACCACGGTGGGTCTCCAAAGATCCCTTTCGTCTTCGTCAGCCAATATATGGATTTGTCCATCGTCACCTCTGGCAAGACACGTACGAGTAAATTTTTGCATGCAAATTTTATTAAAAATTAACCTAGATGAATGCGAGTACTATGTTCCGTCGAATAATTTTTCCAATTAAGAATCTTGTAGTAGGTGATCTAGCCAAAATTTTATGTCAATATTTTCAATACATTGCCATGTACCCCTGAAACCAACGAGGTTATTGAGCTCACTGTTGACCTTGTTTCCATTTATTTCCAATATATCGGGATTACAGCTACTTCATTGAATGTTGAGGTTCAACCGTAATTAGATATAAAAACCACTCCCTCTACACCCAAACTGCGTAGGTGATTAAAATCTGAATCGATTGTCCAGGCTTTCTCGTCAGGTGTTTAATAGTCCATGACTCTTGACAAATTTATTGCTCGTAGCCATGTTCCGCAATAAATATCAAGAGGAACTTGCAAGACATGATTGCATTAACATCGGCAGCAGCAAACGACATCTATTGATAGCACAGGGTGTGAAAGTCAAAGTCAAAAGGAATTACGGTAGATTTGCCGAAAGGGTTCGCGGAGGAAGGTACCGACACTCCAGATCGGGTATGCCGCGCCGTAGAACCAAAGTACTGGGAACTCCGTGGCGAGTACTCGTGGCATTACCTCATTGGAACTAGTCTATTAAAAGCGAAAATCCAAATGGAGCGGAGCGAGGAGCATACGGAGTAATTTGCTGAGTCGAGGGTGAACATTTCAGAAAAGATTGCTCGCATGGGCAGCTTGTGCCTCCTCGCTCAAATGTTGTATAATATTCTTCTGGACCCATTAGATGATGCGTCGCTACTCTAGTCGATTGTGGCAGTTACCATCAAATTTTTTGTCGTCGTCGAGTGTGTGGGTCGAGGTGAGAGACTTTAAGAGAAAGTTCCCCCAGTCCCGTGCGTTCGAGCCGCTCCATCGTTAAATTAATCATCGTGATCAAACTCCAATACGGTACGGCATCGTGCGCCCCACTAAACGAACCCAGCGGTTCTGGTGGAGCGGTTCAATCTACACACTTCTTTTTCATTTCCCCCCTGCTAAGGTGGACTTGGCTCAAGCTTTCCGTTTCTTCCAACCAATACCGTGCATGATTCCCGCTCCGTTTTTCAAAGATCCCTGCAGAAGCAATATCGATAAGGTTCTGTATCGGCGACGAAATCCAAGAGGACTCTGTGCCACTTTTGTCAATTACCCTTCTGTGTGGTTCCTAAGATCAAATTTTCACCCCTCCGTTCCATTTTCGCTGCACCCTCAATTACATACGGTAATTGATGTCTGCTTCCCAAATTCCCAATCTCAATACGTTACGCGGCCCGCGCCTTCGGGGAAGAGGAAGGGGCGGTGGTCGAGGGGTACCCACCGGCTCCTCTGATCAACATTCAGGGGATCAAGTGGTGCAGCATACTGATCAGGATGCCACCGTCTCTCGACTTAGTGCTGTGGAACTGGGGTACATCTCTGACCCCTTTGTGAAGCTGTTTGTGGCGGAGGGAGCACAGAGACGGTTCCCGATTATCAATCGGGGTACGCCTAGACATTCTTAGAGCCGAGCTTGTTTGCCATTTCTGCTGACTTTGACATAGGCTCCTATGTCCGTACCTCAGCTATAGATGTGCTGGTTGATAGGTTCCTCAGGACTGATCTCTCACGCCCTAAACAGCTTATTTCTTTGGGGGCAGGCTCGGATACCCGCTATTTTCGTCTGGCTACAGCTTACCCCCAAACTCCCTTACTCTACCATGAGCTTGACTTCTCCACCAACACAAAGCAGAAGATTGCCACCATCAAAGGTTCCGATCTTCTACGCTCTTTAGTGGCTCAAGCCCATGACGATGACTCTGCTGTTCAAATCTCAGAAGATGGTACCGCTCTTCATTCTAAAAGTTATCATGTTCACCCGATAGACCTTCGTACACTGCGTCCACAATACGAAGGAAGTACACCGCCACCCTCGCTGCCGGGGGTAGATCCGCATCTGCCCACTTTGCTTCTTTCTGAATGTTGCCTCATATACCTTCCGCCAGTGTCGGCTGATGCCGTCCTGAAGTATTTTACAGAGTATATTTTCCCCAGGACAACTCCTCTTTCTTTGATCTTATACGAGCCTATCAACCCTAGTGATTCATTTGGACGTGTTATGGTATCGAATCTAGCAGCGAGAGGCATAGTGCTGCAGACTCTGAAGAGGTACTCGAGCTTAGCTCTACAGAAGGAGCGCCTGCGCGTCATGGGTTTCACAAGTGGCCAAGCAGCAGCTGATGTAGATTTTCTCTGGGAGAAATGGATCCCTGAAGAGGAGAAGGAGAGGATATCGCAATTAGAAATGCTGGACGAATTAGAGGAATGGACAATGCTGGCTAGGCACTATTGCGTAGCATGGGGCTGGAGAGATGGCGAAGAAGCTGACACACAAAGTGCATTCAATGGCTGGAAAAGCCTAGACGTACGGAGGACTGAAGCTCTTGTATAAATAAGAATTTTCTTCATCTATCAGAGGAGGAAAAGCACATGATCGATCCAATCTTACCCTCTCACTGAAGTTTGCCACGCTAAATTTACCACCTTGACTGCGATGCAAGCCACAATTCAACTCCAGGCGTCGACCAAATATTTCAACCGAGGCAGTACATAATTCTCACAGAGGGAATCTAACAAAAATTCTGAGAAGTTGTCCTTTCGACAATGTGCAGAACTAGTCACTTGGCAGCAGGTAGAATCACATATCCCATGAAACTCTTATCAGCATGGAAATATCGTGGCAATTTCTCGGCCGGGTATGAATCGCTACAATCAACTATCAAGAGCGAAAGGCACGCTCATCTCTTTAACGCTGCGAATCTAGAAGCAAGCTCATCGACGTCAGGAATTTTCCCTCCGACAGGATTCTTTGGGTTTGCCTTTGTTGCTGACTCCTGGGTTTTCCTATCCAGACCGGCCATCTTTGGTCCAGGCCTAAGCTCCAGAGGACCAGGCATTTTTATCTTCGGACTGACGTTGTCCGTGCTCGACTTCGGTGGCGCTACGCTGACAGGAGATTTTGGTCCCATGTCGCTGGGTGGGGTAGCTTTACTTAATTCTTCGGTCGATAGCGGAGCTTCTAAATTCCGTACTGCTTGGCCTGAACTGGGCTCGTCATCATCATCTTGCTCATCATCTTCAGCAGATCCTGTCTCGTGCTTGGGCCAGTGTATGCCGTATGTCCTTGCAATTTCCTTCAAATACAAGGTGACAAGTTCCTCTGACGGCGGCTCCACCTTTAACTTTTTAACCACCCTTTCTGCCACCTTTCCATCTGAATTTTCGATTGCTTGCATGGCAAAATCCTTCCCATACTTTTCGACAAGGAGCTGTCTCGCCAACTGTAACTCCTTGACATCTGTCCGTGGTGCCGCATAAATGATAGACTTCACAGCCTCTTCCAATCCCGGGTCGCAGTCCTTCCCTTCCAGTAGTCCAATACGGGCGAGGAGCAGCTCACAGTAAAGTTCGAGGATCTCAAGAAGTTCGGTGTCTATGTCACTCCGGATAATGTTTTCGACGCGAATACGTGCGGACTCTTCTTTCCCTTGCTGTTATCTCAATTAGCGAAACGAGTGCCAAGAAAGCTGTTGTGATTTCCAAAGACCGTATTACCTCAAGGAGCTGTGCCATGCTTCTGCGTTGTTGTTTTGCGATCGCCGTGTCCTTCTGCTGCACCATTCGCAGACGTTGAATGGACAGCTTCAGCTGCACTTTAAGCTTGGACTGTTTGATTCAGCATTCGCAGGCCGAGAATTCCAAATGTTCTTGCACTCACCACCGTAGAGGATCCCGGCGCCATCTTGATGAACGAGCTTGACTATATTGGACGCGATATGTTAATTGTAACTTGCTATTCAAGGAACGATCTCCAAAGGACTGTGGGGTTCATAATGCCGCTCAGTTGCTACTCGTCATCCCCGCGGCCGCTGCGGGTCACCGATGTAACTGCGGCAGACGGCATGTTCCGCGCCAAAACCACCCTAAGATAAGAGATAACCACGCTAAGCAAAGACACGCTCGGACGTACGCTTTATAACGAAGCTCTTTTGCTAGATCATGAATTAAGACAGTGGTCATGAATTCATTCTCTGTGCTTTTAAAATGGTGCAATGGACATCATGGACCGGAGTTGCCTTTGCGCAGAATCGTGCCGAGGCGATTTGGGACAACGTGCAGAAGAGTATGCTCATTCTATAGAGAAACATATGTCAGAAATACAGTGTATGCTAACGATGGAAAGACAATCTCTGGAAGCGTATGATCAAAAATGTCACAGCTACAATGATTGCAGGTATAGGGTCAATGGTCTGTAATCTTCCGAGGGGTATAATTATTGACAGCCATCTAGTGATAATATGCCTTATACCAAATATTCCGCAGGTCTATGGTCGAGCTGCCTACTTAGCGCCGATGACAACGGTTTTTGGCCACCCAGGTAGACGACTTGGGCAGATGGTAGAGGCTTTGATTTTCGTTGCTGCTGGAGCGCTTTTGGGGATTGCATGGGCGACTTTGGGGGTCTATCTAGGCTCCCTTGTCATCACACAGAATCCACCGGCTGGCTATGCAATCCGTGCAATTTTCCTCTTGGTTGCCGTGCTTGCCCATGGTTTTCTTCGCTCGCATACACCTCGCCTTTTTCTTTTTGTCTTGCTTTTGATCATAACATCCGTCATTAGTCTTACATCTCCAGCCACCCATGTCACCGCAGCTGGTGTGACCCAGCTTGTGTATCCTGTCTTTACTGCTATGGCCATTCTACTGCTCGTCAACCTTTGCATATTTCCAGAGTTCAGTTCCGGGTATCTGGGAAGGACCACAATTGAGACGCTAGATGACGCTGCGCGGACAATTAAAGATACAGGGGCATATTTTGGCCACGTTTCACAAGGTCCTAAGAGCTCTGGTATTCCGACCAAAAAGGAGAAGTTGGCCAAGCCTCTAAAGGAGCCATCAAAACCCGAGCAAGCTACGCCAGCCAACTGGTGGGAGAAGATTATTATGTCAATTCGAAGAAATCGTTCGCATGCGCCGGAAAGAGCTACTGCTACCGCAGAAAAGCAGATTAATTTGAAAGATTTGACGGCGGCAAAACCAAAACTCCGGTCAAAACTGGCTGGCTGCAAGGCTACACAGCTTGAATGCAATTACGAACTAGCATATTCCCACCTACCACCCAGGAAATTAAAATTCATCAGCGACGAATCTATGAAGAAATTGATTGCAAACACCATTGCTCTTATTGGAGCTTGCGAAAGCAAATTTGCTATGATGGATGAAGAGACGGGCGAGGTATCCAAGACACCCAAGCCTGACGAGAACAGTAAAGTCCCTGAGGAGGATGAGGATACTGTCGAGGAGAAGGCCAATGCAGTAGATGAGTCTCAATCCGAGGATCATCTCAGTGGCACGAAACAGAAAGCTAAAAAGACGAATAAATTGTCGCGGAAGCAGAGACGGAAGGAAAAAGAAAAGTACATGCTAGAGCTTGTCAAACCTCGTCGCGAAATTGAATTTGCCGATATTAAGTTGTTTAGATACCTGATGAGGCGGGTGTCAAGGCCGATTGGGGACCTTCAGCAGGCTCTTGACGGAAGTGTACAAGTCGTGATCACTTGTATTGCCTACGTTTATGTGATGCTTCCAGATTCATTGCCTTACGCCTTGATCTAGAGTTAACGATGATTTTAGGATGTGCCTAGGCTCCCTTCCGGGGCTAAGACGCCAAGCGGAATTGTTATACCTGAGCTCGACGTCTATGTCGATAATCTGATTCAAGCATTAAACCGATTTGATAAGAACTCAAGGACGGGCTTGGAAAGCGTTACAATCCTGCCAGGCTTTGAAGAAATCGAGATGGATGTTATGCCCAGAGAAGAGATCTTCCTGGTGTCGTCTTTCCTTTTAAATCTTAGGCAAGCTGCGTAAGTCTTCCACCCTGAGACCATTCAGCTTTTCGAAAAGTCTCTTTATTTCCTTTTTGATGATACCAAGAGCTGCTTTCACTCCCAGCAGTCTCCCTATTAGCCCGCCTATTTAACCCGCCCTTTTAGTCACATTCCCGAAGACTGACAGAATTAGGGCACACGTTCTGGAAATGTTGAGACATTGCCGCTCACTTGTAGAGGAGAGGGACTCGTCTCATCATTATAAGCGGCTCTATGCTCCCCACATTCAGTGGCAAAAGTGGCTATATAGCGGCGGAGAAAATTACGAAGATGCTTCAACTGCCAAGGAGCAAGCTGGCCGAAAAGGGGCGAAAGATGACGGAGCGGATGATGACGACCAGGACGGGGATATACCCAAGTCAACGACCCACAAAACCGACCGAAATATTTCCCGTGGCTCTCAGAATGAGGACCTAGAATACGGACAATTGAATGATATAGATGGGTTCTCGAGAAGGTCTGAAGCGCGTAAAGTTGATTCAATTCTGGACTTCAAGCTTCGTAGCCAGGACAGGCCACGTATTTTGTCAATGAGGGAAAAGGTTGCCGACTTTCTCGAGTCTACACAAAATTCCGATGATTTTGCATACGCTTTTAAATTAGCGGTAGCGGTATTCTTGGTAACGTGGCCCGCGTTCGTCCCTAGCATGAATCAATGGTTTTATCTCAACCGCGGTCGTAAGTTCCTTCGGTGCTCTTCTAAGTTACGATGTCACTAATGCTCTGTTCTAGTTTGGGCATCCCTGCAGCTTATTTTTGTTGCAGAAGTTGCTATAGGTGCCTCTGTTTGGACATTTATCCTCCGGAGCGTCGGGACAACTCTTGGGTGTATCTGGGGATATGCCGCCTACGAAGCTCGTGGCGGGAACAGAATTGTCTGCGCCGCAATGATATTTATTGGGCTTATTCCTTCAGCGTACGTACAGCTAGGGACGCAATATATGAGAGCTGGAATGGTGTGTATTGTTAGCATGGCTGTCGTGGCTCTTTCCACAGAATTGAAAACGGTACCAGGTAAGGAATATGACTCTTTTCGAGCTATAGAAGCACAAAGATGCTTCTTCAAAACGGGCGCTCCAATTGATAAACTCGGCATTGTGCTTTCTTTGAAGTGGCAGCTGACACATATTTACTGTCTTATGTGCGTGCCATATTCAATTTAAATCTGCTAATGCTTGCTAGGGACTGCGACGGATAATTTCCTCAAGAGATGGATTGCATTCCTCATAGGTGGTATGGTCGCTCTTATTGTGGAAGTTGTTTTATTTCCCGCAAAGGCTCGTACAAGAATGGTGGAATATCTTGCCTCAGCAATATCGAATATTACGGAAATGGAGGGTTGTATCGCATATGGGATCGAAAGTAGGGCGAATGTCAATGTTTTCTCACCAATTATGCAGAAGCGGTTTGAAAAAGCTAGCGGAAGGGCAAAGAGCGCACTAAGGGCTGCAGAGGGCTTCTGTATGTCTGAAATTGCTTCTTAAAACTGGCATATGCTGACTGGTCACATAGTGCCCTTTTGTAGCCAAGAGCCAAGATTAAAAGGATCGTTTGAAGCTCTTGCTCTCGTGTATCGTGAGGTAATGGCTGCCCGTTCTCGAGCGAACTCCGCTAAACTTGGCAGATCATCTTTGTGCTACATCAAATAGTTGATCGAATGGACAACATGTTGCAACTACGAACAGCTTACGGCTCAGGAGTACTAGAGAATTTCAATGTACGTGTATCCTTTCACAGCGTGAACCTACTAATAAGTATGTAGAGTCAAATCTATGCCTATCGCCGCAATCTTGCCGCCTCCATCAACATTATTTTGTTTGCAGTCTATGAAGCACTTACAACCAAGTTACCTCTTCCTCAGTTCTTGCCATCGGCAAGACTTGCGCAACTTCGGATGATCAATAGGGTCCGCGAGGTCGTGACCTCTGCCAAGGACGAAGGTAACCCGAAGCAAAACCAGCCGTTGACGACTGATATTGCGCGACGTCGTGCCGTACGGCAAAAGTTCCTCTCATGGAATGCTGGCTCGGCTGCACAAGCTGAAGTGGTTGAATATTTAGAAGAACTCATTGACCTGTCAAAACTCCTGGTTGGAGCAAATGAGTTTCGGAGTGGCATGCTCCTTCGGCCTACCTACCGCGAATATATCGACAAGAGCGGCAAAGAAAGCCAGACTGCTACTGTTGTGCACGACAATGACGTTTCTACCCGGAGAGCCGCGACCGGACTCACTCAAAGAAAAGGTCGGAGGGGCAGCGTCAAGTCAGACATATCGGCCGAAGACGATGTTCCTACGACGCTGAAAAGGATTCAATCCAGAAGAAGCGATGCTAGGCTTGAACGGAAAAAGACCAATGAAAGCGCGGAGAAGCTGTAAATTACGAAAGGAAATGTAATTAGAAATGAAGATCTTGATAAACAAGTAAATAGATAACTTTGTCAGAGGGCTTTGCTTCCCTGTCTACCTACGGTGTAGATTAGCATTAGTTAAAGAGCGGCAAAACTGGCGCGGGGAAGTGAGGGAGCTGCCCTCTGAGGTCGGAAGATCGGAATTTGATGAGCCGACACCGACATGAGTAACACAGGGTAACCTTTCGGTACCCCTCCGTATCACTTTACCAGAAACCTATTAGGGAGAACCCCTGGGGTTTGCTTTGGGGATAATCTTCAATTGAATCCGGCGGTCTGGCGGCGAGCGTCATTCTCAATATGGTTCTGTCATTTATTCTGATACAGAATCGACAGTATGGCATCTCTCTTTTTTCAATCTAATCATTTTATGGTTCTTCAAGTTGACCTGCTCCAGAGGGAAAACACGCCTGGCAAAGTGGTACGCTCCGTATAATGTATGTACGAATTCGACCAAGACCCCATTCTTTTATGGCTGGCTAAATACTTATTGACACCCGACTATAGGATGAGGAAAAGATAAAACTCAAAGGCGAGGTATGATGATCCACTCTGCTCTACCTGTAAAACACCGCGAGCCTCGTTGTATTAAAACACAATGTCGCAATATATAATGCCGCCGAAAGCTCTCGCTGAATGGTGTACTTTCATACAACAGGTCCACCGACTGGTCGCACCTCGGGATCAAAAATATCAATCCAACTTCGTCGAATTTCGTAACAATAAAATTGTCTACCGGCGATACGCAGGCCTGTTTTTCTGCGTCTGTGTTGATGCCAATGACAACGAGTTGGCTTATCTTGAAGCAATACACTTTTTCGTTGAAGTGTTAGATTCGTTTTTTGGAAATGTTTGCGAGCTGGACTTGGTGTTCAACTTTTACAAGGTATGTTAGAGATTGGCTCAAGGTGCAAAATATCTGGAAGAACAGACACGGGCTATAAGGGTCCATGGGACGCATATATGATACTAACGGACAAATTCAGGTCTACGCCATCCTCGATGAAGTCTTCTTGGCCGGAGAGATCGAAGAGACGAGTAAGCAAGTTGTGCTGACAAGGCTGGAACACTTGGACAAACTCGAGTAATGTATACTTCTGCATGTGTGAAGTCCCATCATGCGTTTTGCCGGAATCTCTGGGGTTTCTTTTTATTACGGGGATGAGGGGCCTGGCGTTGGGGGGTTTGGAACCGCTCAAGCTATCTGAGCGTTTGCATTTTAATACAAATATTTAGCCCGAAGACTTTGCCATACCATGGTTGCTATGTTCAATTTAAGTCACTTCGAAAGTGCTTGTTGCTGTTGTCCTTCATATACGTGTTATATGGTCGTTTAATTTTGCTTGAGGCACCCCGCGATGGACAATTTTTGACGAAAAATTCTCCTGTTATGCTTTGGCTGATATGATCTATAGGTGCGTCAGTTATCAACCAAGTTATTCGCTGTCGTTAACAGCATTGTTCCATCGGCAACTTAAGAGTATTACAGTGAGATAACCTGGTTTCTTACAATGAAGACGCTAACTTAGGCAATTAAATGGCAACAAGAAGACGTTACAGCTTTTGATACCTGAGATTTAATGTCCTTTGGAACATACAGCTGCACTACAGAAATCCAGCTACTCCGGAACTTCTGTAGATGCTTCCCAACAGCACTGGGGCATATTTTTGTTTGCCCCCCATTAATGCAAGAACTGAGTTTGACCGATGTCCTTTATTGTTCCTACGTGTGTACACTTAAGATTTTGCCACCCAGTTGCGCGTTTCCCATCTCACAAACGGGTTGACTCGACAACAACGCACTCGCTTCCTACATCTGAGCCTCTTTCACACTTCTTCCTCCGAATTTCACTCTCACATTCCCACTGTCAACACTTAGCCCTTGAACTCGAGACGCTCTGAGTCCTTTTCATCTGTTACTACGTAAGTTCTTCCCTTGAGCTTACTCTTGGGTCAACCAGACTCATAATAATTTCTCGCGTGTCCGCTCATTCCCAAAGGCTTAACGGGCTCTATTGACAAGCTCTCTTGCTCACGATTAATCTTTCAGTTTGCAGCTAAGTCTTTTCAACGGTCTACTTTACAGATCCGTACTGGGCTCTCACCATCAAAGAGCGAAGGTCAGTCTCACCTGGAAGACCTACCCTTAGATCCTCCTCAATATTCATGATGAACGCTACTCTTAGCATACAGCTGACAGATCCAGAGATGGCTTCCGAGAATGTTCCAAGTACCCCAACCAAGTCTGCTAGAGGCTGGACTGACGGAGAAAAGGTAGGCCGTCCATTCCCATGCCGTTCTTGGTTCTCACTTATTGCTCTCTTGGGTGGCTGCTGACATTCTCGATGTGACAGTTGGCTGTTGTTATGCAAGTCATTGCGCAGAATGGAGCCAATCCCAAATGGGACTCCATCAAAGTCCCAGAGGGCCGCACCGTCAAGGCTGCTATGCACGTTTGGCAGGCGCTGAAGAAGCAGGCGGATACCGTCCCGCTCACTGACCCTGCCAGCACTCCTTCGCGCAAGAGGAACGCTCGCTCGACTAAGCCTAAGACTGCTGTTGGAGAGACTGGTACTAAGAAAAAGAGAGCGGTCAAAGGCAAGAGGGCAATGAACTTCGATGAGCCCAACGATGAGGAGGACATCGACGCTGAGCTTAAACTCGAAGAGGAATTTAAGGATGCTCAAGTGAAAGGAGAGGATAATGACTATGGGATCAAGGACGAGGAGGCTGATGACTATGAAGAATAAATGAGACATCTCTAGTTCTTCTGCGTGGATTGTTGCCATACAGAAGCACTCGAGTTGTTTGCTGTCATCTTCATTCGCCTAGGCTTCGAACGAAGACTAGCTGTCAGAACAGTGGGATCAAAGTTACCGTTTTACGCACTTGATTAACCTAAGAATTATCATCATTATTCTCAAATGATTGTTGCCGACAAATGTAGTACATGCAGTGTTCTCATATTTGGCTTCGTGAGTGGCAAGGTTTCGAAATGACAATAACTCAGGCACCTTTGAAGTTATGTGAATTGTCTAAAGAACGGTCAATGCGGTACTGATTTGACTAAATGGATTTCTATATGTAAAGTCTCAACGACAGGTAGGCCGGATTTTTTGAGGGCGCTATTAATGATACACAACCTACAGATCAGCGTCGCGTGGCCGTATGTCACTAAGACAATGTAGGAGATAGCGAGCCATGGGCGGACCATAGCTAAATATTTTCCATAGCGCCACTCACTACTTTCAGCGGCGCTTAACTAACTAATTAGATTCGGAAGAAAGACACCGGAGCCCCTGCAAAAAACTAGTAACTAAAAAGGTACACAGCATCGCTAATGTACGGGCATCTGTGCAAAAGTCCTCTATCGCAATCACGGAAACTAGCGAGCAAGAAGAGATCCAAACGCAGACGACCACCAAGGTAAGATTTCATCAATCAGTCGTCCTCTCCCATATTTTTATATCACCGAATTTTACCACCCACAGATTCAAAGACCCTGCTGGTTGTGAAGACCTATCCACTGCCTATAGTGAGAGAATCTTCCACTTGGGTCGTCCGCTCTCTTATTACCTCATCTGCGAGCCGTCGGGCCAATCTTTTATGCGTCTTGGCCGTTCATTTGGCTTTCGTATACCTGTTCAATCAAACATCCTAAATCTTTACGGGCTCACTTTCTCCCGTCAATTCTGGCATTCACAGGGACAACTTTCCGCTCAAAGTCTCATATTTAAAAGATACTACGCACGGATCTATTCTAGAAATTCAGGGGTTTCTATTCGCACCTCTTGCAATCCACTTTCGCCCTGCCTCCTTCTCTCCAACTTGTCGAACACTGCTCATTTCTCGACGAAAGCCTTGTGTTACAGAATGGAACAGCACGATACTCGCATCAAACGCAAAGAGCATCCGGTTCCAGGAACCGAACGACCTGCCAAGCATCCAAGAGGTGAAGAGGGTTATGGGGAGCAAAACGGGATTCAGAACGGTGTCTACCATGGACAAGACAACGACGGGGATATCCAGTCGCTCCCGCTAGCTGTAGCAGCGGCTGAGACTGCGGAGTGGCAGGCAACTATTGAGAAGGTGGTGAGGAATGTGGTTTCAATCCACTTCTGTCAGACCCATTCATTCGATACGGACCCCGCCATCTCGAGTGAGGCCACTGGATTTGTTGTGGATGCAGAGAGAGGTTATATCCTCACAAATCGGCATGTGGTGTGCGCTGGTCCATTCTGGGGTTATTGCATTTTTGATAACCATGAGGAGGTATGTGTGCTTATGACTTGTGGTGGTCTTGTGAGGTTTGGTACTGATCTCTGAATTAGTGTGATGTTTATCCCGTTTATCGCGATCCCGTTCATGATTTCGGCATCCTAAGGTTTGATCCTAAAACGATCAAATACATGCCTCTATCGACTCTGGAATTGCGCCCCGACCAAGCTCGTACGTTCTGATACTTTCCAATCTACTTCCTGTTACAAGGCCTTCTAACCAAAATTAGATGTTGGATGTGAAATTCGCGTGGTGGGCAATGATGCTGGTGAGAAACTCAGTATATTGTCTGGCGTGATCAGTCGGCTAGACCGAAATGCGCCAGAATACGGCGACGGATACAGCGATTTCAGTAAGTAAACATATCATTCCGAAACAAACGCTATTCTAACTATTGGGTAGACACAAACTATATCCAGGCTGCTGCCGCAGCAAGTGGGGGTAGTTCCGGAAGTCCTGTGGTCAACATTGATGGAAATGCGATTGCATTACAAGCTGGCGGCCGAGCAGATGGTGCTGCTACCGACTACTTCTTGCCCTTGGATAGACCGCTGCGCGCCCTACGTTGCATTCAACAAGGAAAGCCAGTCGCTCGCGGGACCATCCAAACTCAATGGATGATCAAACCCTTCGATGAATGCCGCAGGCTTGGCCTGTCCTCGGCATGGGAGGCTGCGGTCCGCAAAGGCTTCCCCAAGGAGACAGGGATGCTCGTAGCTGAGATTATTCTTCCTGAAGGCCCAGCGGATACGAAACTTGAAGAAGGAGATGTTCTGATCAAGGTCAATGGCGAGCTGTTAACTCAGTTTGTCCGATTAGACGATATTTTGGACACGCATGTGGGCCAGAAGATCGCCCTCTTGGTACAACGAGGTGGCAAGGATGTGCAAGTAGAGGTTGACGTGGGCGATCTGCACGCTATCACTCCAGATCGATTTGTCACTGTTGCGGGTGGCTCCTTCCATGATCTGTCCTATCAACAAGCCCGGCTGTACGCAATTCCCGTCAAAGGAGTATACGTCTGCGAGGCTGCAGGATCGTTCAGATTTGAGAGCACCGATTCAGGCTGGCTTATCGACTCGATAGATCAGAAGAAGACGCCAGACCTTAAGACATTTATTGAGGTCATGAAAGGAATACCCGGTAAATAAGACTCGCAATCATAAGGCAGGACAATTGCTAATGCATTATCTAAGACCGTGCGCGCGTTGTGGTGACCTACAAGCACCTCCGGGATCTTCACACGTTGAACACGAGCATTATCTACGTTGACCGCCACTGGACGAGCAAAATGAGAATGGCGGTACGAAATGACGAAACTGGTAAATGGGACTTCACTGAGCTCGCTGATCCAATCCCGGCTTCACCACCTGTTCCTCGCAAAGCCAACTTTATTCGGTTGCCCAGCGTCAGAGATCCGGAGGCCGCCGATATTATAAGGAGCTTTGTCCGCATCAGCTGCTCTATGCCTGTAAAGCTCGACGGCTTTCCTCGAGCTCGGAAGGTCGGGTTTGGCTTGGTCATAAATGCCGAGAAAGGCTTGGTGATAGTGTCGCGAGCAATTGTTCCGTATGACCTCTGTGACATTTCCATCACCATTGCCGACTCGATTATAGTTGATGCTAAAGTCTTGTTCCTGCATCCTCTGCAAAACTACGCTATTGTTCAGTACGATCCTTCATTGGTTCAAGCACCTGTCAAGAGTGCAAAACTGAGTTCCGAGTGGATCAAGCAAGGCGCATCTACCATCTTCTTAGGTTTCAACCAAAACTTACGAGTTGTTGTGGCACGAACGACGGTAACAGATATCACCACTGTTGCGATTCCAGCAAACGCCGCTGCGCCGCGTTACCGTGCTATCAACCTCGATGCCATCACCGTTGACACTGGCCTCAGCAGTCAGTGTGGTAGTGGTGTCTTGGTCGCTGAAGATGGTACTGTGCAGGCGCTTTGGATGAGTTACCTCGGAGAGCGATCAGCCCATACCAATAAGGATATTGAGTATCACTTAGGTTTGGCCACACCCTCTCTGTTTCCCGTCACCAATCCGATCCAGAGTGGTATTGTGCCTAAGCTAAGGATGCTCAATATCGAAACCAACACGGTTCAAATGAGCCAGGCCCGGATCATGGGTGTCTCTGAAGGTGAGTTGTATTCTATTGAGACGAATCCATTCACTGGCGTCAAGCTAACGATATTTGCATAGAATGGATGCAGAAAGTTGAGCAGGAAAACCCTGAACGTCACCAGCTCTTCATGGTGCGCAAGGTGGAATGTGGTCACGCCTTTCCCCAGGTGCTGCAAGAAGGCGATGTCATCTTGACTCTCAATGGCAAGCTCATTACCAGAGTCTCTGAGCTCGATGTTATGTATGACAATGAAATTCTGGATGCTGTCATTGTTCGGAATTGTGTGGAGATGAACCTCAAAGTTCCGACTGTATCCACTGACGATCTCGAAACCGATCGTGCTGTCATATTCTGTGGCGCTGTGCTGCATCGGCCTCATCACGCTGTAAGGCAGCAGATTAGTAAGATGCACTCAGAGGTATATGTCTCAGCCAGGGTAAGAGTGACACTATAACCCGTCCACGCTTTTTCGATGCTGACAACACAAAGACCCGAGGATCTCCGTCGTATCAATATGGTTTAGCTCCTACGAACTTCATAACCGGTGTGAACGGCGTGGAGACCAAAGACCTCTCGAGCTTCGTTTCTGAAGTAAACAAGATTCCTGATAATACATGTAAGCTTCCTTTTATTTTACGAAATGAAATTTTACTGACTTTCAACCCTAGACTTCCGCCTGAAAGCTGTCACCTTCGACAATGTCCGTTGGGTGGCTACCATGAAGAAGAACGAGCATTACGTGAGTACAGCCCTAGTCCCAGGAGACTGGCTCTTACCTCAGCATATCAATTCAGCTCCATCTTGTTTGTCTGGGATTGACTGACACGACGTGATAGTTTCCTACCATGGAGTTTATAAAAGACCCGAACGAATCTTGCGGTTGGAGGAGGATCAGCTATGAGGGTGGTTCGCCCCACAGAGGTGCAGGTACTCTTACCGCGGAAATAATGGATGAGGGCATCGATCAGGAGGACGCCGTTGACGGTGATGACATTGAGTAAATGCGGCAGAACCAAGCTCGGAACTCATCTTTATTCGTTGTTCAAAATTTCACATCCTTGTACTTTTATGATCGTATCTGCATTGGCATTAAAAATTGGGAGGAATCGAGAACGTGGAGCAGGCGTCACTGGTCCTATCGGGTTCTCATACCAAACTTCCGTCGTCTACATTTTTGACAGCGCATTGATTGTAGACACATCATATTTCACCTTTGAACATATTAGCATCAAACATAGCTCAGTATTATCGTCATTTGCTTATATCATTTTATTGCTGCTAAATTTGCGTTCCTCTTGCTCCGCAGGCCGTCGTGATTGAGGTCCGTAATCGGCACTTGCTTCGGGAGAACCGTGAGTCACTCCGGCTCGCTCGCTTGGTGGCCCTGACTACTGTATATTATGCCCCGCGATGCGATAATAGACCGTCCCGCGAATTTATCAGTTGAAGCATCCACAGAGCGATTTACATTGATATTTTATTTGCCCTTCAGCACAATGGCGCAAAGAACGTCTCCATTTAATATTCAGACATGCGCGCGACCGAATATCCTCGCATTGCAGCCTTACCGATGCGCGAGAGAGTGAGCTGATCCCGTTTTTATCATTATAGCCTCTCATCTGGCGCAATTGCACTGACGCATTAAACGTAAATAGTGACTACAAGGACGACGGGACGAACATTCTTTTGGACGCGAACGAGAACGCATATGGACCTGGATTGTTCCTCACAAATAATGGCAAAATCGCCAATGGCAGCATCAATCAGCATGGCGAGGAGGAGCGTGAACTTGAGGTCGACTTGCTTGGCCTGAATCGATACCCAGACCCGTAAGAACAAGTAGCCTTCGCGGTTCTTTGGTCGTTCGGACTCAGTAAACTAACTGCGACTTTCTGCAGCCATCAGATTGAGCTGAAACAGAAGCTCTGCAACCTTCGTAACACCCACACCCACACTTCGAAAACTCTAAAGCCCGAGAATCTCTTTGTTGGCGTCGGCTCTGACGAGGCGATCGATGCTCTTCTTCGATGTTTCTGCACACCGGGGAAAGAGAAAATCCTTACATGCCCGCCAACATATGGCATGTATGGCGTCTCCGCGCAGGTAAATGACATTGAAATTGTCAAGGTTCCGCTCGATGATTCCAAAGAATTCACCTTGCGGCCGGATGCTATTAACGCGAAGCTTTCCGAGGATCCTTCTATCAAAATGGTCTACATATGCTCACCGGGCAACCCAACCGCGGGAACTATTGCCAAATCGGACGTGCAGAAAGTGCTCGAGCACCCGACTTGGAACGGTGTGGTCGTGGTGGACGAGGCATACATTGATTTTGCGCCGGAGGGAACTAGTTTGGCTGAATGGGTCACTGAATGGCCGAACCTGGTTGTCATGCAGACGTTGAGCAAAGCCTTTGGCCTTGCAGGCATCCGATTAGGCGCCGCTTTTACAAGCCCTGAGATTGCTGCGCTCCTAAATAACATGAAGGCTCCTTACAATATTTCCAGCCCGACAAGCACGTTGGCCGCGGCCGCCCTGTCTCCCAAGAATTTGAAGGTTATGCACGAGAATCGGGAAAGAATCATTCAACAGCGGGAACGATTGATAAAGGAACTTCCTCAAATTCCGGGCGTGGGAAGGTTCCGAGGCGGCTTTGACTCGAATTTCCTTTTGTTAGAATTCCTGGATAAGCCACGGCAAAACGGAGGCAAGCCCTGCAACGAGACGGCGCTCAGCGTTTACGAAGCGCTAGCGGAGAAGAAGGGCGTGGTCGTACGTTTCAGAGGGAAAGAGTACGGCTGTCAAGGATGCTTGCGCATCACAGTCGGAACGGAATCCGAGGTGGATAGGTTTCTCGCTGAACTCAAGGATGTCCTTGCGGAGATCCTGGAAAAGAAGAAGGGAGCCGCTGATGAGGCAGCGAAGGAGCAAAAGGCAAATGATATCGTTGCATGAGGCTGATGCAGCATGCTGCTCACGAGGACGCTGAAAGCTGCTGCTTGATAGGGCAAGCCATTTGTTTTGTTGTCGTACCCTTTCATGCATGCCTCATCTGCTTACTTCTCTCTCTCTTCTTTGTAAATAATGACGTATGTTTGGATATAATTATACCTTAGACAGCACAAAATAGTAAATACAGTGTATCATCAAAACCAGAGTCAATCCCTCAGCCGTTTTCGGGAATCTAATTCTGTCATTTGCATAGTGTTTATGCTGTATTGGAATCTCAAGGACCGCATGGGCCAGCAGTTCGCATGACCCCAAGCTAAGGTAGTATGCACACTGATAGTCCGAACAGTGACTTAACAACCTCACGCAGCAATGTTGTTATCTTGTCACTGCTACCATACAAATTTCCGTGGCTGGCAGACTACATCATTAATGCTAGTTGAGCATTGATTGATCTCTTTATGGGTGATAGAAAAGGGAATAAACAAAGCAGATATGTTGCTTTCGCAGCTTCACTTTGGATAGTGAAGCGAACTACACTGCTTTGGGAATTTTCATTATACGTGAATCCTAAACGCCACGTTTGCTTTTTGGAGAGTCATTTGGCTCCTTCCCTTGTGTGTTCTATTATTTGCATTTGCTTTTGGATATTCACAATGATTATCGTTCTGCTATTTCTACCACGCATCCCCTCCAAGCTTCTCACAGCTTCTGGTTCCAGCTGTGATGAATTTCAACCCTGAGAAAGAAACACTCTCACACATTTGATAACAATAGTAAAGACGTCCTTTTCAGTATCAATCATTTTTTTGGATTTCTCTTCACCATGTCATCGTCAGCATATGACCATTCCTCGCCGTCCTCAATTAGAAGTCCAAAGTCGACAGACGAGACGGCATTACTTAACGGAGAATCCTTCCACTGGGAGCCATTTCGTGCGGGTGCGCCGGGGCCTCTTCCCTGGCTACCGGTTCGCATACTGCCTATTGTGAAAGGGGACCAAAGAATCATTAATGGATGGGAGTTGGTCCGGCCATTGATTGGACCAGTTCTTCGAGACTGGAAAATCGACTACAGGAGCTTTACAATCTTGCGTCGTCGCCCTTATGAGAATGCCACCTTCCAGCATAAATTCGAGTCCGACATTACGCTGGTGGTTTCGGCGAAATTTCAATTCGATGATAGTTGGAAAAATGCCATCTCAGAGATCAGGGCGATCCTCAGGAGCAACGATCTGGCCGAAGTTGTCGTGGAATTCATTGACCCATGCACGGCGCCATCGAAGAATTTCCTTCCAATAATGGAGGATGACCCCATTGTCTCAGTATGGGAGGGTATGAGATTAGACGTCCGCAAAGCACTTGAAACTTGTCCCTGGACAAGCATCAACGTCGTGAGAAAAGAGAAAATGGATGTGTCAGAAGACAAATATCCTGTAACTATCGTTGTAATTGTCCCCGTAGACGATCATCGTCTGTTCGTTGAGGAATACGAAAAGCTAAAGGCGATATGCAGGCGGTATGGCTTCAGGGACATGGAGGTCCAGATCTTACATGGCCCTGGTCCTCTGTGGCCAGGCCGCACTGTTGAACCTATACTGTCATCTGATGCGTTTGTGAACCGTCTAGCATCCGCGCTCGAAATTCCCAGACCTGATACGTATAGCAGGCGAGTTGCAATGGGGGTCTCCATGGGACCGCGCGGATCTGCGGACATTCGAAATGGAAGCTTTGGTGGATACGTTGAGCTCATTGATCCAAAAAGTGGGAAGTCACATGGGATTTTCGGGTTGACGTGCTACCACGTCATTGAACCTGCAATTCCAAAGGAAAGACAGGCGGGTAATTCTCGAAGCCACGGATTAAAAGGCTGTTAAATTTTTATCTGACATGTTTTGACTTATTAGTATACGCCGAACAGGGGATTGACCCCAGCGATAGCCTCGGACGGTCGTTGGTTCTCGAACAACCTGGCTTTAAAGATCATTCGAAGTATATGCAGACCTATAAAGAGTGCGTAGATTGGAACCCTGACAAAGCGTCAATAAAAAGTGCTGAATATTACGGCTAACTGAACAAACAGTGACGACGTTGAAAAGGAACGCATGAAGGTATTTTGGGACAATCATAAGACGCTTGGTACCGTCTTTTGCGGATCAGGACTCAGAAGAAAACTCGGAGACCACATAATGAACTGGGCTCTCGTTGCAGCAGAAAAGGACCGAATAGGAGATAATTCAGTCCGTACTCTCTGCCCCCGAAGATGTATTTGGCTTCCAGAAAGAATATTAATAGTATTATAGCTTCCTAGCGGTCCCGATAACTGGGCGTTTGAATCGACGGAACATTTAGAGGCGCGAAGTATATTTGCCGGCAAGTGCTTGAGCACGGTTGGAAAGCTTCTGGACGAGGAGTTTGTCTTTAAAAAGGGAAAAGCCTCGGGTTGTCAAGTTGGTCTCCGTACCGCAATCAAATCGGAAGTGAGAATACCTGGAGACAGAGAATCTACCGAGCATGCCTTTGTTGGATTAGCTAGATCTGCGTTTGGCGAGGATGGCGATGCAGGTTCGATGGTGTTTAGCAAATCTGGCCAATGGCTCGGCCTCTTTTGGGGAGGCGATCCTTATGGAAGTTTATCCGGGACGTCCTTCGTGACTGATTCTCGGTGCATAATTGAGGATATTGAACGAGTGACTGGATGTCAGGTCAGATTGCCAAGATGAACTACTCCTTGGAAGGGGCAGAAAGGGCATTGCTCTCACACATCAACGTCCAAACAATTAGTATATGGGATGGATAGACCCATTCTCGGAATTGCTTGTTGAGGAGTGTTTCAGTGGATCATCTGTCTCCTTTTCTGCCCCCTGATTGTCTCTTTTTCCTTATTAGTATTACCTCAAACGCTGGAGTCGATAATTATGATAGATATTATGAAGAATGAAGCTAAATAAATGTCTGCCTGTTGATCATCTACAAAAACTCCATAAAATCATATGGTTGACATAGCTGAAAACAGTCATGGCATTGAGGCTGAAGAGGTAAAGAAGAGACTGGCCTTGCTGGACAGTATGGATGATGATAAATATGTTGAAGAAGCAAAGCTAGAGATTGAGAACGGGATTACAGCCTTGATATCTTGAATTATGTTACCACACTGAGCCTTGTTCCAATTCCATCATTGTATGCACGATTTGCCTTGATATCAGCCTTCCTTAAGGCATTCGTTGGGCGCGGACGAATACGATTCAGGCGAGAAAACCAAATCAGGTTGCAGCTGACAGCCTTACAGAGTAATGCCAACTCACCCGCAATGAATGGAATTCCGATTGTACTGCCCTAGACTTCCAACACTTCTCACACTGCGTCATTCGCCATCGTCTTCCTGATCGCATCACTGTTCGGTTTCAGAGGCTGCGCTTTTCAAGTGAGACGAGAATTCTCTTTTCTCTCATTCGTTGGTACCGTCCTGACAGTATTCATCTACTTGCCCCGCGACTCCCCCGTAAACAGTTGACCCTATACGGAAAGATCTAGTTAGTCCTTCGCCAACCACTAGGACAGCACTACTCAGGCAACAGTAGGACAAAACATTTATCACTCTCTTCTGATGTCGAGAGCAGGTTCTATATTTGAAATACATTAAAAGAAAAGAATTTGAAGGATCGAAAGTCGGACCTGAGCTAGCAACAGCCTATCAGCCTTTGTTTTGCGAAAATCGCTTGCCAAACTTTCTTGGTCCGTCCCGTCTGCGTCCGTTTATAATTTGCAAAAACTCTCAGCAACCACAACAATAGAGCTGGGACAGCAGTAGCAAGACACACGGGCGCAGGGTCATGCTATAGCGACTTCAGTACGGCGTCATCGCCCAGAAATAGACAGCAGCGATCCGATCAAAACCTGGCAATAACGCCCTGCGAATACGATACCACAACCCTTCATGCGAGTTGGCGGTTTCCAAGACACGCTCTCCTTTGCTTCTCGTTTCTTCTGGTTTGATGTCCCTGTCAGGGCGCAGTAATCAAAAATGGTGAAGGTAGATTACAACAGGGAATACTACCGGGATCTCGAACTGCAACCCGGAGCAGACCTGGTACAGATCAAGAAACAGTTCAAGAAGTTGGGTTGGTTACACTTGAACGTCCAAAGACAAATTTTAGAGTCAAAGTATAGCTAACTTTTAAGGTGCAAACAGCTCTCAGATATCATCCAGATCGCAATCCGGGGAAGGAGCTGGAGTTCAACTCCAAGTTTCAGGCTATTCAATCTGCCCATGAGGTCCTATCAGACCCGGATCAGCGACTTAAATATGATGCAAATCTGAAAAGGACTGGTCGATTCTACGTTCGTCCGACACCACCGCCTCCAAAACCTTCGCCTCTTCGGAAGCCAACAACAACGACGGGCCAACCTAATCCTACGCGCCCGCCGCCCCCGTCGACCCAGCGGCCAAAATACACCTCAACCCCATCAAGTGGGGCCAGCCGATATGCGGACTTTGGAAGCGGCCCGTGGATGCCGCCACCGCGCCAAGCTTATGATGCTCAGGCAAGAACAGACACGTACAGAAAATGGGAACATATGACACAGGCCCAGCACCAAGCTCGCCAGAATGCCTATCCTCCGCCCCCGCCCCCAAATGTACCTCCTCGAGCCACTCCCCCGAATGGCGCATCGGCTTATGCACGGCAGAAGGCTAGAGAATCGTCGCCGAGAACGGGCGAAAGACCTTCTGCTGCGGACGAGGAAAATCGAGCGCGTAACACATTTCCTGGCATGTCTCGCTCCCAAAGCACACGGATCCCAAGGAAAAATGGCTTCGATCCTGGTACCCCTGGCGGGGACGAGCCTGCAGCTCCAAACACATCGGCCTATTTCAATACGTCCCGAGGCGAGCGTCCCTCTCCCGCGCGATGGTCCACTGCGTTTCCCGAGGCCACTAAACCGCGAGCCCCTACTGCGAAGAAAGCGGATCCACTAGATGATCTTAGGCGGTCTGCCTCCGATGACCATGTTGCCACGGGCAGTCCTCGAGTTCGTACTCCATACGCCGCCACGGGAGGGGAGAAAACATTTCTCTCTGGCGCTGGACTGGGAAGATCAGCCACAACTCGCGAGGTCCCAAAGAGGACAGACTGGAATGGCACGACGCCGAGTCGTCACGAAACCACGTCAGGTCGGCCCGATGAACGAGGGCGCAGCGCGAGCCCTAAGGCTCAGAATCCTAATGGCGGGCCCCGGGATGCTGATTCAACGTCTTCTTCTGCGGACAGTATGAACATTGGCGTGGGGGCAAACAATAGAAGGTTCAAGAAGGCAACGGGCGTGCGGGGCAGTCGCATTCGCAGACCACCCGCGCAGCCTGGTGCACGCTTCAAGCCCTTTGTGGAGCCAGACAGCTCTGATGATGATGGTAGAACCCAGAGCGACGACAAGAATGCGGGGCATAGGAATAACGAAAATGCAAACAAGAATGATTCGTCAGCGTACGCAACGAGTACTTCTGCAGACCGAATTAGAAATTGGCAGCAAGGTTTCCCTGATCGATGGGAGCCTGGGCCGGAAAAACTGCATAACAACATGTATGGACATTTCAAGCTCTCCTTTATTTCAACATTTTACACTGCCCGGAGCTATGCTAAGCCAGGGTGCTCTTGGATTCATTTACACCTTTTGTTTTTTTTTTTTTTCTTTTTCTTTTTTT